TAAGAAAAATAAAGCTAATTTAATAGAGCCTAGTAAGAAAACTACTAGTAAAGCTAGTAGAACTAGTATAACTAGATAAGAAGAATCTAGTAAGAATAAAAAGTAAGCTAAGTCTAAAACTTCTAATAAATAATAGAGATCTAAGTACTAGACTAAATATAAGATTAGTAAAATAGAGGAAAATAAGAAAGAACTCTTTACTTTAAAGAAAAAGATATTATTTAGGAAAACTTCTATAATTATATCTAGAATTAAAAAATAAAAAACTAAGAATATTAAGTCCGGAAAATTTAATAAAAGCATTTTATATATTTATAAAATATTAGCTAAATAGAAGTTAATATTTACTTAGTAAGATAAGTATACTTTTAAGAAGATATATAATAGTATTTTGGGACTTATTTATAAGCGAGAATACTATAGAATTAATAATGAATTCTTTAAAGCTTCTTATATAATATATACTTAGTAACTTACTAATACTTTCTTTATTAATATATAAGAGATTAAGGATACTCTAAAGCTAGTTACTAAGATTTATAAAGTTATTAAAAGCAAGAAGTATATTTCTATTACTTAGATAAATAAGGAAATACGGGATTTCTTTTTTAAGAACTAGGAAATTAAGAAATATAAATATAAGTACTATATTTCTAATTAATTCTACCCTAATTTATAGTTCTAATTTAATATTATAGTTCCTATTCCTAAGTCTAGTATTACTAATCTAGGTACTAATAGCTATATTTATAAGAAGAATTACTTAAAATAGATTAAAAAGCTTAGTATTCGAGAATTCTTAATAGAGAAAATAGAAATATTATAGTTCTATTTCCGAAAAAATAATATATTAATATATAAAGATCTTAGTAATAGCTATTTTACCTTAGCCTCTTAACTCTTAATAATAGATCTATTAATATAGCTCGGATTTTATAAGATATTAAGTAAGTATTCTATTTATCTAATTATTTATTCTTAGCTAGCTAGATATTATATTTCTAGAAATATTAATTATAATTAGTATAAAGATAATACTAAGAATCTGGCTATTATTAAAGCTTTAAATAGCGAATTTTACCTTAATAAAGAGTATTAGAATATTAGCTATATTTTTCTTATAAATCGCAAAAAGGCTATTATTTTTAATAAGAAATTCTTTAAAGATATTAATTACTTTTCTATTTCTAATAAATTTGAACTAGAAGTAGCTAAGAAATTAGGCAAGTATTTACTAAAGGTAATAAGAGAAAAGACTTTAAATATAGTCTATTTAACTAGATAAATAAATACTTTTAGTTAGGTAATTTATAAGTTTAGAATTATAAGAAAGTATTAATTCTCGAATAATATATAAGTTAAAAAATAGCTTAATAATAATTTATTACTTAATAAGCCTTTTACTATAGTTCTAATAAGTCTAGTTATTATTAAGAATAAAATATATAAAAATAGAGTCTTCTATAAGATTATTAAAGTCTCTTATCTAGAGCTTTCCTCTTTTATTAAAGATTAATTTAAGAATATTATAAATAATACGAAATTTAAAGAAGCCATTTACTTAAAGTATATTAGTATAATTTATAATATAATTTACTATAATAAGCCTCCTTAATACCTAATAGTAAAGGCAGAAATTAAGTAATAGTTAAAGGTAAATACTAATTAATATAGAGAACTATATTAGATTTAGTATAAGAATATAGCTAAGCGGGTTTGAATTATCTTTAAGCAAGTTCGAGAGTATGAAATAAGACTATTTAAGAATAATAAGTCTTATTTTAGGTATATAAAAAAGAAATTAGATTAACTAATAAAGGAAAATTCTAATTATTTTATTATTTTAAACTCTAAATAGGATTTTTCTATTATTTTTAGTATTTAGGAAATAAGTATAAATAAATAAGAGATTGGATATAATATAGCAGGCTATATTTATTAAAAATTATATTATTTTAGTAGTTTTAAGATTTAGGTTATATAATAAAGGCCGCAGTTTTTTATATATAACTTGCAGAAATCATATAAGAAAGCTGGTTTTTCTATAAATTTAGAGAATAATTCCTTATAAGTATTTAATTAATTAAGCTTTTATATACTATATATTATTTATACTTTACTATTTATACTTTTAATTTATTATTTTACTATTAAGTCACGTTTTATATTCTAGTATATTTTATATAGGTTTTTGTCTTATTATAGTTTTCCTCTCATAATATAAGAAAGTTAATAACTAGTTTAAAGGCTATAAATACTACTAGTAATATAGTACCTGTAATACTTATATTTCCTGGCCTTATTTTTTTGAAATACAAGTTTAATAATAATATTAATAATAATATCCTCTTTATAATAAATATAGAAACTAGTATTGGGTTTATAAATAACTAATTAGCTATTAATTAGCTAGAATACTTTAAATTAGTAACTTGTTCTAGAAAAAAGATATATTATAGGATTAAGTATAATAGGAAATAAAGAATACTAGTAATAAATAGCTATAGTTTCTATTTTATTTATAAGTTTATTAATTATTACTAGAATTATAAGATTCTTTTATTTAAGCTAATTTCTTATTCTATATACTTACTTTAATTATATAATATAGGTTTCTTCTAGCTTATAAAGTAATACTATTAAAATATTCTTATAAAATAAGTTTAGTATAATAGGGCTCTTTATATAAAAGAAGATTTCTTTAATACTTATAATAAGATCTTTATTTATATAAAAAAAAGAGTATAATTTAGTATACTTAGTAAAAGTAGGGCTATAGCTATTTAATCCGTTAATTATCCTTAATAAAATAAAGAAAATAGAAGTATTATATTTCAGGGCCCTTAATTCTAATTAATTCAGAACTCCTGAGCCTGAATTTCCTTTATTTAATTAAGAAATAGACTAGAAAAACTGCGAAATACTAGATAAATTATTAGTTATAATTTTAACTATATAGTAATTATATTAACTATTAAATCTCGTCTGTAATTAAAGGCATAATTACTTTTATATTAAGTATTATTTATATTATAGATAAATAAAATAAGGCCCTAAATATTATAGTTTTAGATAGAGTTCTTAAGAGAAAGAAGCTAGATAAAAGAAGAGTAAAGAAGGCTTATAAGACTAGATATAAGATTAAGGAAAGGAATTAATATATACTTATATATTATAGGATAATTCTCAAGAAAGATACTAGGCTATATATTATAGGAAGAGCTTAATTCCTTATTTAGGAAAAGATAAAGCATTAATAAGCACTTATTAATAAGATTAATAGGCTTAGGGATTATTAATAGAAGGTTATTATATATATAGTAATAAGGAGAGTAAAGAACTAATAAAAGAAGAAATATATTATAAAGCAGTAATATAAATATTAAATAGCTAAGTTAATATACTTTTATAGAACTAGAAGCCATATATTACTATTTATTAATAATTAATTTAATTAAGTACTTTTATAGTATTATATAAATCTATAAAAATTAATTTATATAGCGATTTTATATAAATAACTTGTATTTTACTAAAATTTGCTTATTAGTATATATTATATAGTAACTACAGGCTAGTCACATGTACTTGGCTCACGTGACTATACCTACTATATTTAGCTTTAGCTACCTATACTATACCTCTTTTCCTCTATAATCTAATTATATTATAATATAACTGCATTTAATATAATAGTATATCTTGCCTATTTTTAGGGAAATAGGCAAAATTAGTAGAAACCTTATAATTAAGGGCCTATTTCATATAAATATATATCTGTTAGAATAGCTATACTGCGAATTTCCTGGGTCATATAACCTCGCATTACATGCGTAACTCAACCAGTAGACTAGACCCCTTTAGGCTTAGCAGATTTAGGGATCGCATATTAATACTACAATACTATAATTCTTACTTTTAAATAATAATAACTTTACTAACTAATACAACTAGCATTTCTACGCCTATATAATAGTGCCATATATTACTAGTAAACCGATAATATCTTTTAATTACTAGTATTTGCTAATAACCAAATTCTAGTATTTAATACTAGTATTTAAAAGCTAGTTTTTAATAATTTAAAAGTATTTCGCAAAATATAAAACTTAATAACTATTATAATTACGGAAGTTTCAGAGTAATCTCTAATAATCTTAAATCTTAAGTCTTATATTTCTTTAGTAACTACTTTCTATAATTATAGGATATTATAGCCTAATATTTATTTCTTTTCTAAGGCAAAAGTAATTAATTAATCAATTACTTTATTATAGTTTTCCTATTAAGAATTTTTTATAATTAAAATTATATAAAAAGCACGATATTTATATAATAATTAAGATATTATATCTAAAGAAGTACTATAAAGATAGTTAGAAAGGGTAAAAAGCCAGTATTCAAAAGCTAGTTTTTTCAGAACCACCTACTATAGGTGGTTCTGAAAAAACTGCAATTTATATGGGAGCAAATGCTAGTAATCAAATACTAGTATTTGGTTACTAGCATATAAAAAAATGCGAAATACTTATTTTTGTAATAACTAAAAGCTAGTATTTGATTACTGACAAATGCTAGTGTTTGAAGTTTACGAAACGGGCCCTAAGTCTATAATCAAGCGAGAGAAAATCGACAAATACTAACGAGGAAGCGAACGCGCCATCAATGATACTTTATCTTTTCCCCCCAAGCCATACTCATCTTATAAATTTTAAGCCTTTATCCGCGGTATATCGGCAGTGTTTCTTGAGTTTCTGGAACAGATACATTTGCGATTGGCTTTGCTGCGAGCTGTCACGGCTGGCGGATCACATGAGGTACTACTCGCGACTCATGATATGGGGAGGTAATAATGTTTAATTCACTTAAAAAAAAAAGGGCACTATAAAAAGGCCTTGGAACTTTTGATTCAAAGCGCATGCTTTGATTATGAACATAGTTGACATTGTTTCCTTTCCATCAGGACAAGTTCAAGCAGCAAACTTTGACAGTCAAATGTATCACCACGAGATCGTCATTTCTGGCAACTCCTCCCTTTCCTTGGTTCCTTTAGTCGACGACTTTGAGCAAGCCCCCCCATTCTCGGCACTTCCTCTTTCTCGTATACTTTGATCAACTTTGAGTAAATGACCAGGGCCTTCCTCTTCTTTCTTCATTAAGCAAGTGGCAACGCTCGCCCTCCCTGTAATATCCCAAAAGCCCTCCCTCCGTGGATGCGCCAGCAATAAGTTAATTGCCCGCCGTCTCACCACGTGATCCCTGCACTTGGTTGCAACAAGGGAGAGACTGACTGCCATGCTGCTATCAAAGACAAAAGTCGCTTTGAGTAATCGGATAGGCTGTATCTTGTATAGGCACTGTAACACATCGCGGGAGAGGTCCGTAGTTGCAAGAGAGTTGGGAAGCTAATAATCACAAACAGACTCCACCTAATCTTGTACCAATCAGTGGCGATGCAGCTCACCAAGAATTGAATTTTGAGTACCGACGCCCCAAGGAACTCGTTTGTACCGGGTCTACTTCTAAAAGTCTGGACAAGGGGCATGACGTCGTGGTACCATTCCAGGCGTTTTTCGTCGAAAACTGTCCTCTCTTTTGCTGTCAATGTGACGAAATCGACGGAAAAGTCGCGTAAGCCCTCGCCCAAAGTTTATCTCTAGCGTAGCGCTCTGGCGGTGGTGAGGTCCCAACAGTACTTTGCTTCTTTTAGGGACTTAAAAAAAGAAGGTATCTCTCTGAACGCTACGGAAGGAGTAGGGCGAAGTGCTTGACTGCACTGCCGGCTTTGGCTACTATCTCTGAACATTACAACGAAGTCCTCCAGGAGTGCAAAGATTCCCACGAGATCGCTGTCCACAAGCTGTGGTGCTGATGAGTAACCAAGGTCGTCTGATGTTATGGGGCTGGAGGTATCCTGATTTATGTCGAAAAGGTCGACACCCGTTGAGCTTGTGCGAGACCACTATCGTGATTTCAAATGTAGCTTTCGAGACAGGATGTCAAAAGACATGAGAAGAGACTATTCCGGACCCATCCTTGAGTCTTTTCTCTGGAACTTCTCACATGAATTTCAAAATATTGCGGTATAGCTGTAAAGCATACTCGTAACGGTGAATACTCGCCTTGAACCGATTTTCGATACCAAAAGAATTTTGTTGCTGGGGTTATGCGCCACCGGCTGTCAAGTCAAGAGCGCCCATAGCGATGACAGCGTGCAGAGCAAAGCCTTCTTCATAGCAAACTTGAAGTATTAACCTGCTCCAAATATCAGTATCGAGGACTCCGGAAAGTTCTGCTGCTGTTCTTTCTTAAAAGAAGCTGAAGTAGCGAACTTCGGTTTCATCGAGGAACGAGAATGCCGTTGATGGTTGCAAAATGGACAGGGCTTTGTTGAGAGATTGTTGGTTTGTTTCTGATTTTTGCACAAAGTAGTGTGTAGGTATATGCACGGATTAAAGGCAGCTGTAGCTTACTGCCGTTCTTGCCATTGCTCGGGAGGCCCTCGGGAACAAAGGCCCGAGCCTTGGGTATCCCCCAAGCTAGCTTTGATATAGGCTCCCATTTCGATGGCTTAGTCGCGGAATGTCGCAGGCAGACTACTCCAGGCTTCTGCCATAGCACGCAGGAAGGTTCACCTTCGTCGCGTTTAACATGTTGAGCCCTATCAAACTACCACATAAGTCAGACTCAATTTTTTTCCCCGCTGGTTCTGTTTTAGTGTTTGGACGTGAGCAGCTGCCGCTTTAACCTGAGCCGAGGGTGAGCATTCCTGAGCATGCCTAACCATGGCCTAAGCTCGGCCTGAGCAACCTGAGCATATGGTAGAGTCAGTCTACGCATGCATTAAGAGGCCGTTTTAGGTCCTAAAAGGGCTCGTTCTGAGTCCCTTAATGCCCGGCTATACTTTCCTCGTTTTGTCTTTAAGCACAGATCCTATTTTGGCTCCCTTGCGACCGAGATTCCTTAAAACCATTTTTAGATTCACATTTACTTATATACATGTAATAAGTAGGGTGGGCTGGGTTAGCCCTACGGTAGCGAAACAGCCATAAAAATGGCTGAATAATGGATCTTGGCATCCATTAGATTCTAGCCATAATTATGGCTGAGAGTGACGCAAAAATGACCGCCTATTATACCCATTATTTCGTAAGCAGGCCCATAAAGACCTTGGAATCGTAATACCTTACTCTCCCACTTTCATCTCCTTCTCGCTTCCACGTCTCCTCACGTCTCCTCACAACCACGGCTCCTCACAACCACGGCTCCTCACAACCACGGCTCCTCACCACCACGGCTCCTCACAACCACGGCTCCTCACCACCACGTCTCCTTACTATTACGTCTGCTAATACCGTATAGGGGTGGCTAAATTAGCTAGGAATAAGTCTTCTTCTCTTAAATATATATTTATTTATCGGCCAGATTTAAGTCCTACGCGCGATCTTAATACTTAAGAGAGTAGTCATTATTCTTAATAAATCGTGAATTTAGTTAGAAAGTATATCCTCGATTTAAAGTGCCTCGGGAAAGTCCGAGGGCTTAGAGCCGAGGTCGAGGGCGTAAAAGCTTTTAATTGGCCGCATTTAAAGTGGAGAAGTCTATTATGAATTTATGAACTCAAGGTGTGAATATCTATTGATCTATATACTACGGTGCGTCTAAAATAAAGTATAGGTGCACCAAGGGCGCCTCGCACGAGCCCTTACCCATTATTTAGCCATTATTATGGGTGGTGCGGCCATAATAATGGCTGTTTTGCTACCGTAGGGTAGGGGAGAGCGGTTAGGATCAGATAATCTTATCAACAGACCTGGCAAGGAGGCAACGAAAAGGTGTGTCTGGTTGTACATCAGGCAGGCCATCCCACAACACCCTCACACCGGTAAGCGTAACGACAGTCCTTACGAGTTAAGCGTAGCTCAAGATTTGATATCAAGGTAGGTGTCCTCATAAATTCCATCGTCTAAGATAGCCATCACTTACATCACGCGAATTATCAAGTCAGGTTCTTACGAGGATGCTGATATCCCTACCACAGGCGCCGCATTTGGGAGTATGGACGTATATGAAGCACTCCTTGCACGAAGATTTCCCTCTTGAATAGGTATTGAATCACCTTCTCTCTCATACAACATCCTAAGATCACAAACCCTCCACAGTAATTGAATGGAATATCTCCAAGTCACTTTGACCTGAACATATGAGACGCTAGAGAGGGATTTTAAGGAAGCGAAATATAATGATCCTGAGTGGGAGTGTCTGAGGTGACGATTTTGAATAAGAATACGTGGGAGGTGTGGGCTGTTATTGAGGGTGGTGCATTGGTTCCTGGTTGGAAAGAGGGGTGAGTTTGAGAATGAACTATTTGGATGGGAATTTTGAGCTAACATGTTGAGGGTAGGGATGAGACTCCGGTGCTTTTAACGTTTTGGGACGAGGCATTGAGTCAATCATGAGTTATTCTGGCAAGACGATGACGTCCCCCTCAAACCTAAAGAATCTACAAGATCCACACTAAAATACCACCCAAATCCATCCATCTTCTTCTCTACATCTCTCCCTTCCCTCAAAAATCCTTCGGTTTCTTTTCTTCCTAACCATCTCCCCCTAAGAAAAACGCATCCTGTCCCCTCTCCTCCTTGGTTAGGGCTGTGCTAGCCAATCAGAAGACTCTCCCCCGCCTCCTTCTTATTCCCGAACACGTTCACCAGATTGCTGGACAGGAATCTCCCGTCGCTCAAAATAACCCGCTTCTTTTTCTTTCTAAGACAAGCTACAGATTCATTACATCGTTGGATCCCTCCTGACCTACGGATATGCAGGTCAATATTCCATATGCGGGGAAAATGTGGAGGCGTGTGGAGAATGTGGAGGTGTGCCATATAATAGACCAATGAGACAGATGCTAATCGCAAAAAGCAATTCAATAGCGGCGGCAAAGCCCATCCCCCCCCCAAGACAGCCTGCAGCCTCACCACCTAACATTCGTCCCCCACTAATAGAACATCATTATTCTCGAAAATGTAGAGGTTGCATACTAAGCCGCAAAAGTAATTCGAAAACTACGGAGGAGCTGAAGATCAAATGTGCTCAACTTATTCGTTAGTTTTGCCTACTTCAACGCCATTAATAGACAATTAGTTACTGAATGCGTAGAAGCACCTGTATCATCTGATGATTTCAAAGCAAATAGGTTGAGAAATTACATTATTCTACCGTCTAAACTTAGATGATTTTGGTACGTTTTAAATGCCTCAAACGTTCGCGGAACTTCCCAGGGATAGGTCTCAGTCTTGTGCGGCTGAACCCCCACCATGCAGCAGTTGATCACACAAGGCTCTCAATGTCTTTTGATTTTGCGTTCACGGAGCTATACCTCCCTAGACCAATCAAAAGTTAATTAACGCCTCCTTCGTGTATTATTTCCCCGGTAAGTTAGATTCAATATTCAGCCCGGGGATTTTTCTAGACATTTTGAGCACAAGGTCGTACAATGACCTTAAAACAAACAGTGCTCCCACCTCCAGCCTGAGCCCAGATAAAACTCATCGTTAACGCTTATAGCTCAGAGTTACATCCAACGAGAACTCTCATTCATTAATCTCGAACAAAACAATAATGTCGTACAACGACCAACAAAGTAAGTTCAATAAATGGCTAATATACTATGGCTAATACTAGGTCTGTATAGCTCTCCCAAACTACACCTCTGTCGCGGCGAATCAACCCATCGTCCACGAAGTTCCCCAACAGACTGGATACACGCAAACGATTCCTCAGTATGTATATCCCCTCCGTATCTCCCTCCCTAACCCGAGCTCAACTCGTTTCTAATACATCAATCACTAGGACCCAGCAGTACCAAGTCAATATGTCGGCTGTTCAGCCACAAAATAACAATGCCGCATTCAACGTACAAGAGAAAGGACCAGCAATAGCAGTACAGCCTATTGGACAGGCGCCAGTCTTCCTATCCGCCACACCATTAGCCGCACTAGGAAGAGCTGGCGCTCCTGCCGATTGCCCTGCTTGTGGCACAAGGGCAATGACGCACATCAATTTTGTTGCTGGAAATACTACTCAGTGATTATGTCCCGAGTGCATCGGTCCTAGAGGCTGCGCGTCACAATGCTGATTATATTGCAGTGCATGGGCGGCCGCGTTGTTTTTTTTTACATTGCACTGCTGTTGCGTTCCTTATTTCATTAGTGCCCTCAAAGACGTTGAGCATAGATGTGGGGGATGTGGTGTGCTCTTGGCTACTGCACATAAGAGCGGTAGAGTGGAGGTTCATCAGTTTCAGCAGGGGTAAGAGGGGATGTGACGGATTAGTGTTTGGACTTAGGCATGTGCTTCCTTTGGATGCCCTAATAACCAGTCTCGGCTGGTTAAAGGGGTGGTCTTCTTCCTGCTCCTGATTCTCACTCGGGTCCTACAGATCTTTTCATTATGTACAATAAGCTTTCGTTACGTACAGTAGGCTGCTCTGGAGACTTCCTTGATGCCTTCATATAAGAGCCCTGGAATCACTCTCCTTTATAAAGTTAGTTCGGTCAATTACACTTATTCGAACCACTGCTTTGCAACGGACACCTTGTGTGACGAACATAGACAACTTCCTAGAGCGTGACTCAAACTATGCTCCTCGTTACCAACAGTCTTGTCATTTTCTGCGTCTATTTTAAAGCGTGCCTTCCGGAGCATTTTGAATCGTTTGCAAGTCGAATTCGAAGCCGATATTCCGGATGAGCTCGAGCTGCTTTTAAGCATAATTTGTGAAGAACGCGCAAATTTGACAACTACACAAAGCGCTAGTGACTATAGGTTGACATCCGTTGCGGTCAAGACTCGCCAAAGACGCTGAGCTGCTTAAGCTACTTTCAGGACCAGGCTCGGCAACGATTGGCGTTTTGCACTATCGATAACAATCGATGCCACAATCGTAAGGTATCGATTGTATCGATAGTGCAATCGATTGTTTAGCGAGCTAATCCCTACATACGTATGATTTTACCCCTTTTCTAATGCCAGAAGATCCAGGAGTTTAGTAGAGTACTATACTATATATAATAAAGGTAAGGCTCTCTCTTATTTACTTATTTAAAGAAAGTATCTAGAACTCTGCTCCTTTTCTAGTACTTAAGGTACTCCTGCATCTTGTCTCGGCTTCAAGCTGCCCCCTATTCTAGGTAGCTTACCGTACGACAAGCCCCTGAAAAGACTCCCTCTGGCTTATCGCTCGTTAGTACTATTGAGATGATATTAATAGCTATTCCTGCATCCGGTAAGACATAGTCCATACTAGTAAGGGGGTCTGTCACGATTTACCCTACCAAAAATCGGCCGCACTCACATATTACTGCCCCTCCTTCCTTTTCTCTCAGCATTTACTATTACTTAAAATATTTACTCTCTCTTTAATTCTTCTCTCTCTCTATATATATCCGATCGGCTGCCGCCAGCTTTACACTGGACCGTGCACTTTAAGGCGAGCAAATCGAGCAAATCAGAAGGCCGAAATTTGGGTTTGAGCGTTTTGATTTGCTGCGATTTTGCGCATATAATTGGTCGTAAAGTGTAAAGCTGGCGGCAGCCGATCGGATAAAAGTATAAAAGTAGAAGGGGGGATTAGGGGATATTAAATTCAAGTAGTTAAAAGCCTTGGTTCTCATTATTAAAGGCGGGGAAAGGCCCCTTAATATAGTACAAATCCACTAGTCTCCTACTAGCCCTCCCATACACTGGCTGCCTTGGGCCCATAAGCTTGGCAACTTTTAATGGGGGAGGGGTTAAGAGGGCGAGTATATAAAAGTAAAAAGCAATAAGTGGAGAGAGAAAGTAAGAAGTGAGCTTCGAGGCTTGTGGGTTGCGAGGAAAAGGGAGCCCTATAATTATAGGCTGCTTATCGCTAAATTTTAGGGCTACGATTGCTAAATTATAGGCTATAGGTACTAAAAATTTAGTGCTTAGCTTTCGTGGGGTGCGGGGTAATAATCGTTTAGTAATCGATTGCTCAGCAATCGTTGCCGAGCCTGTTCAGGACATAAGCACACACTCGCAGGAGATCTTACTATTACACATAACGACAAGTTAAACTTGTGCCATAGGGACTTAAAACCAGCGAATATTCTGTTGTTTTACGACAAAGCATCTACGGGCCAACCCTCTCTCATTGATCTCGGATATAGTAGACAGATATCCGTCTGATCAAACGTCCACTCTGACAGAGCTGCCACCACAGCGAGGAATTAGATAGGGAAAACCCTCTACCAAGAGACTGAGATGACAAGCAAGAAGCGCGGTTGGCGGGTGTGTTTTGGAAGAGGTTGCATATTAGGGTTGGCTCACGCGATATACTAAACATATAACCTGTATTGCTTAAGCCTCAACAGGGTACAGATTCATTTTCAAAATTGCCAAGGTATAAACCTGTGTTTAAGCGATCCTTTCTGCTTCGCTTTACCATTAGGGTTCTGTTTGAGATCCCTAGGAGTTGTTTTGGCTCCTTAAAGATGATCGTTAAGACTTAACAAAAATAAAGATAAGCCCGCTTGATTAGGCCAAGGGCCAAGTATAGGCTACTAGAAACCTAAAATCAAGCAACTTGATTGAATAATGCACATGCCCGGGATGCCCAGTATCAGGCTGCTCAGGTGAGCTGGGTGATTAGCGCCTGAGTAGAAGCGGCCAGCGTACTAACCGTCCTTGGGACAAAGAGAGAAAAACTTTGTGTTCAACTACCAAAATTGTTAGACTCAAGAATTGCAGATTCAAATCATACCGTCGAACGTACTTGCCTAAATTTAATGAGCATCTGATAATGCTTCATTTGAATGTGAAATCATATTTGAATTTACAAGTTACGCAGCAGGTTCGCACCTTCGGATTGCTGGTCCGTGCAACTTTCAGAGCAAATGCACTGCTGCGAAAGACTTGGAGATTCTGGTTCTCAGGAGTCAGCTTCATCTTTCACACTCCCCATATGCAAGGGTAATCGATATCTAACATAAAAGAGATATTAGTAGGGAACAAACTTGAAGTGAAAGAAGTACTTTAAGAGTGAGTTAAGCTCAAGATATACTCTAGTGCTTACAGTACGAAATCTGTCCCTCTTTCGTCACCGAAATGCATGAACAGAACGACTGAGGATCGATCCCACGACGGGCCTCTGATAGGTAAGTTTACATTGTCCCGACGGCAACTACAGCATGCATGCCCCCCATAGATAAAGCAAAGGATTGGACAAGATATGCTTGGTGGTTAATGCCTAGCTAGTGGAGATCTCCCAAGAAAAGGGTTCTCTGAGCACCTCTGTGACCTCCCTCACTTGCAGACACAATGCAATGTCACTTTCAAATAACATTGGCAATAATAAACCCACCGCTGTGCCAAACCTAGTACTATTATACGACAACCCTTACTTGAAACCTTGGTTTTATTGGTCATTTCATACGCGTAACCATTGAAGCTTGGAACTCTATTGGTGGGCTTTGATATTTTGTGAGACCCTCTTAACACCCGAATAGTCATTGTTAGCAGAGACTCACATCATGTAGCGCATTTACAGTGCAAACCTATGGAGCTGGCATGGCATTTGCGCCAGATACAGCGGAGGACAAAATTTTGACAGGCATCCATATTTACATTGGCGGCGTAAGTAAGGCACAGTGACGCATTGCACACCGCTGACTTGTTTGAGGGGCGGACTCTAGGACTTTTTATTATTCTTTTCTTGTTAATGCTCTACCATTTCCATCTCCGACTACAAGCCGAAGTACCAGTGGAACATTGTGTGCGTGCCCACGGCTTGATCCAAGTTATTGTCATAGCCTTAGTACTTATCACTATCCCAATTATTGTCCGTCTTGTGGAGTATGCTAGTGGACTAGACAGTTCAGTTCCAAAACAATAGATCTATTTTTTTTTGCCTTTGAGTCAATACCAATGGTCATCACTACTTTCTTCTTCAATCTTGTGCACCCTGGAGTAGTCATACGCGGAAAGGCTGCAGACCTCCCGAGCCGCCAAAAGAGAGGAAGAATATGCTCAAGGAAACCTAGTACAGGTAACAAAGAACTTGGTCAAGGTGTTAGCGGTTAATAGGGGGGTTAGTTGATTCTTGTTGGTGAAAATTTCATTAGTTTGACTGTTGATTTATTATTGGTTTGGAATCATAATAGAATGTTGGATTTGACGGAATGGATTGGGTCTATGGTTTAGTTATTCTTTCTTTATAGTCCCCTACTTTGGCTATTCTTGTTGTGAGGAAATGGAAACAATCCTGATCCTTATATTATTGCGTAGACGGAGAAGCCGGCTCCTTCGCCAGTTACGAGAGCCTGTCTACCGTCTATAAGGAGGCCGGATTATTTGAGTTTAGTATTAATATGGAAAGTTGGTTGAGAGTTCGAGGCTTTCGTGGTTTCCTGAAAGTTTTTTGTTGTTGTTGGGGGTTTAAAGGGGGGGGATCACGTGTCGTGCTTAAGCGAGATTGTCAAAAGGGGTATCGCTATGCCTAACAAACCGGGAAGATGTTCGCGTGAGGGGAGCTGTCTCTTTTTGCAGTTGATTGATGACTGGGAGGCCAGTCCTTGGTCAGTTATAATAAGTTCGGCCGACGATGGGGACGAGGTGCTTCTGGTGTCAACCAGTATCAGGGTCGCTACCTCTTAACCTGCGCATGGCACAATGTTAAAGGGGAGTGCTATCCTAAGTTTGTTGTTGGCCCGAAAGGAAAATGTGTACAACTTAATGATCCTCTTTGCCCGGCTGCCAAACCTTTTCAAGCAAATTAGGGCTCAGATACTAAAGGAGTAAGGAAACTTTTGAGTTACTACAAATCGGGTTTCGGAAAAGGGGAAGTAGCAGAATCGCATGACTATATCGCCGGATATAGTGGATTGAGAAAGTTGACCATTTCTCAAATAATGTGGTAAGAACATGTATTTATTCCTCTTCAAATTCTCAACTTCTCAGTCGCTTTTTTTCTAACTAAGAGACACGTTTCCAGGAAGTTTTCAATAGCCCTGCGTGCATTAGAGAAAGATAATTCCGATTTTGACATGAACTTATAGCCATAACCATTAACATCTCCGTTCATCGTCTGCTTAATCGTACAATATATCGCCGCTGCTGGGGACTGAGAAGGAATCTCACTGCGAGCTTCATTGTCATAGCGAGCATTCATGGCTCGCTCAAAAGAATCGCCTTTCCAGCCGAATAAGTAATCGCCGTGTTGGCCGTGACCAGTTCTGCGATGATTTGCTAGCGATTGTTATTATGTCCTTGAAACTTTGCATCAATCACGAAAGGTTACACTCACGCATCACCCGGGAATACCCAAAGGTTGACTGCTAGCATGTGGAAACCCTGAGAATGTGATTAGCAACACTCTCTGCCCTTCCATAATGCAGCGAGACAAAGTTCGAATTCTGAAATGCTAATGGACGACTCTTTTTTCGAACTCCTGGATTTCCCAGGTAAAGGGAGAATAAGTGAAAACTTACTGGCTTTAATGCTGTGACACTGCTAACACCGTCATATTGGGAGATGTAATAAACTGTGATCCCTCCGTTCCGCGCGAGTCCATCATTGGGAAATTGTTCCAACCATTTGAATGTCTTATTCCTTGCTAGGTAATGCAACGCCGCTATCCAAAAGTTGCTGAAGTTTTCACTGAAAGTGTAACTCGTACAATTGGATCCGCTAGGTAGATCATAAGTCACAGACTCAATGGTTGCATTGAAGAAATTCCCTCCCACGATTTGGTGAACATGGGGAATTCCTATCACTCCAGCATTGACGAGGGGATCAAGACACTCGACTAGAGTTAGGAGCAGACGAAGCGGAGCATGGGTGCGTGTGGTGGAGCCGAGTCTTGTGCATGAGTTGCTCCAAGCAAGGAAATCTTGCTAAGAATCACCCAACGCATCACGAAATCATGCGTTTGTCTTGGAAACAGAGTTACGCATTGGTGTGCCGCAGCTAATAAACAATGTGCGGGAAAGGCGATTTAGTTGAAAATCCCAAGCTCCTTCACTAACGGGGTAAATGTGCTGCCAGAAACCAAACAGGTGGCACTTAATCAATTCTTCGAGATGTAGCTAGGTACCTCGGGTTTGGACTCGAGATAAATATATCCAAATTCTGGAAGAAGGGAGCCCCAGAATACGCGAGATATTAACTGTCAATCAGCGTTTAGATGTCAATCGCATGATCCAACATAGGTAGTAGTGAGGAAGGTTGCTGCTTTAACGCCATTCGCATTTGTTTCTGTGGATTACTTGGTTTTTTGAGAGGCCAACTACTTGGATAATAGGTGTGGGCAATGTAGGAAGCGTATTAGGCTAGTGGCGACAAGCACCAAAAAACAGATCGAGGTTTATTTGCGATGCTACCCTCTTGCCTTCGAGGTGGTTCAGGATCTAATCTAAAGTACTAATTGCTAGTAAGGGTTACTCGTTTAAACCTCCGGCTAACTCCCCTTTTCACTCGCTAAGAAATAGTGTGTCTTAAACAAGATGCCGCGTGTCCCTTGGCTTTAATCTTAGCTGAAAAACAATGAGATAAACGAAGTTCGAGTCTCACCTTCCAGCCTTCTTTAGACTAATTAATGCTCAATTCTCCAATTTCAAACATCAATTCCTCCACCTCCCTGCGCCTCCACCAATTGCCCACCTCGAAAAACTCATCACAGTCCTTTAAGATAAATCCCCACTTCTTCACAAATCTCTCCATCATCTCCCACCCCCTTATATCCCATGAGTCAGCCCATACCATAACTCCTAGCCAATGAATCAGTGTGAATAATTTCTGAACAGCAGTATAGAGCTCGGGAGCTGAGCTCCAAATATATTTACTTACGCAACCTCCCTTGAAACGCCCGACCTCTGAGTTCTCGAGCAGGAAACGGCGTTTTAGTGTATAGAAATAAGCTTACCTTTATGCTTCCCCTCTGTATCCACTCCTCCCTTCAGCAAGTCATCACACAGAGAATCATAATGAAATGTGCCCAACGCGGCGATGAAGTTATCCCTCAGTTGCGGTAGAGTCACGGCACCGATCCGAGCAGGATGCTTGATGGCCCGCTGCGCCGCCGTGGGCATCAGGGAAGGGAGCAGCGCGGGAGGGAGTCTATGTTTCGAGATGCTTTGACAGAGAGGGAGGAGATCGGAGGTGGGCTTTGAGGCGTAAGGAGCGAGGAGAGCGAGGTTGAGGTGTGTTGCACGGCAGAGGTTGACCTGCATGAGGGTGATATGATGGTCGGGGGGGAGAGGGAAGTGCATGCAAATGTTGGCTTCAGGGACGACTGTAGAGGTGGATGATAGGTCGTAGTGAAGAACCGTGGTGGCTCAGCTTCCGATATTTGACGTGCTACTCCCGTGGCAGGAAGTTGTATCTGCAGAGCTGGTATTCGCGTGGTGCAGCTTTGCTGAAGCTAACCGTTTTCCTGAATACTGTAGTCAGCGCATATCCACTGTCAGATGCCCAGGACCGTGTGTCAATAAATGCGACCTCCTGGCGGCAACGCCCCAGCACTTACACTGTGCTCTTTTACTCAGCCTATTCTATATTTTCTTTCTTGAACACTAGAAATATCGGCCCAGTCGTCAGCCACAAAGTCTTTCGCCTGCAGTAGCTTACGGATTAGTATGCACACCATATTTTCCCACTGGGGAAGTGAAGATTGGAAGTCGTTTACCAACCCCGGCCAGCACGCGCGGTGGCCCCAGTACCACACTCATTCTCCGACGTGCTATCTTCTCCTGGCTTAATAGACTTGAATTGAGTCGACAATGTCTTACGAAAGTAGTTCCTTAGCAGGATAACTGCAGAAGAAGACGGAGGCGACGAGGAAGAGTGATCTAATGCTGCAAGCAGAGAACGTTCCTCAATATACCTTATTGTGGGTTGTCAGACTGGCATGAGTTGAGAGCACAAGGAATCGCTTAATCGAATCCGAGTTAGCTTCCTGCAAGCGGAGGACGGCGCTAGTCCAGAAGCGAGGGTGGACGGCATCGTGAACACTTTGTCACTCCATCGCCATATTTGGAATTGAGCTCAGGAAGAAAGAGAGATACACATAGTAGAGACGTTTTTATTCCAATGTTCGCCGTTCATTTTGCCTGGCGTGGAGGATTTTAGGGGAAAGCCGCTGCATGGTACCAGCTTCAACCTCCCTCTGTTATTCTAACCCCGAGGGAGGAAGTGTTACATTTCATGTCGCTCTAAGATACAGCAGTAAGGACCTTTCCTTAATTTCAAAGGACGACGAGAAAGGGGGACAGCACTTTCGCCATAGCTTAACTTCGATCTCCCCTTTTCATCTCGGCTACTTTGCAACATGGAGAGTGGGGAGGGTGACGAAGGGGAAAACAGAAAATACTAGGTTTTCCATGTCTACAAGAATAGTAGCTATTAGCCCATGCGGCAGCAGTCGTGGCAATGCTTGTAAGGCAGACCTCGCATCGTATCGTATTCGTATATCGAGTTGCAAAAAAGGATCAGTGAAACATCGGCTGAAACAAGAAAGGCAGATATGTCTGTCGTAGTGTCGCGTCCCCTCGCATGAATGATTTCATGCACTCATGATTGCTTTACACAAACCTTTATAGCGACTGCCCAGAGCTGGTAGAGATTGATCCTAGCCGCACGGATTGAGCGGGTCCCTAATGCGATCAGTTATAGTGGGGAAGCAAAGTTTATAAAGAACAAACTCTATCAACAGTCTGCCAAAGATGCTATTAAAAGATCACTTTTATAGAAATACGCTGATTTTCAATCTGATATTTTTTTCCACCTCTGTAACCACCGAGCCTTCTTGTCCTCCTCGTTCTTCGATCGAAACCTAAATACACAATGGACAAAGTCCTAAAAGACCTCACGGACATCGAGCGAAAGCTCTCGAAAATCGTCAAAATCTCGTCAAAAGGAGCCAGTTCGCTCACAGTGAAGGAAATAGTGAAGCTCTCGCGAAAAGGCTCCTCGGTCGCTTCCTGCATGAAGAAATACGTCAGAGACTATGAGGTCCGTTTCCATTCCCCCAAACGCACCGTGAATCCAATTAACACGGGCCGCAGGGCGTCACGCCTACCGATGCACAGGCCAAGGAGGTCCTCGCATTGCTGGAGAAGGTTGCGAGCGTGAACGAGAGGCAGATGAAGCTGGCCAGAGACGACAAGCCGGCAATGGATAAAATGCACGTTGCAGGCCTGGTGAAGAAGAATATTTCAAAGGGACAAGAGACGAGTGGTGCTTTTTGGGGGGTGGTGATTGAGAAGTCTCCCGAGGGGGTGATTAAAGGAGAAGTAAAGGCGTTGGATGAGAGGGTTAAACGGGCTGTTGTGGAGACGCTGAGGGTCTATGGTGATGCGACGGGTGGGGAGGATCAGGATATTGGGGGTGAGGATGATTCTGATTAGAGGGTTAGGGGCAAAATGTATCTTTCCCTGAGATCCATCGAATGTTGCGTGAATTGCGATTCAATTCTTCCTTTCCTCAGTCCTGACCACTTCAAAACAACGAAATCCCAGGACATGTAGAACAAGAAAATGTTTGCTAAAGAGGGAGTAGACCATAGCAAGGCTGGCTCCCCTCCCCTCCTTCCGAGTACGAAGTATGGTATAAGCCGTGGCCTCAAGAAAAGGGAAGGGTTAGCCTTTACTCCTTGGCTAAAAAACTGCAAGAACTACTCTGAATTCAATGTAAGATTTTACAAGTATTGTATCCTTCACGCTCTGAAAGGAAACGCATTACAAATTGAGATCATGCTCAGCTTTTAGTCTTATTGCAGAGTCCTCGAATGATCTGAAATCTCAGCTACCTTGATTGAGTCTCAGCTGACCGCATTCGAGGTTTTGTCGCAAATCACAATCAATGCCCAAAACCTCCCCTGGTACAGCACACCGTAGAAGTTCCGAAGTTGGAGAGTGAATCTCGGAACTCACAGATTTTGCTGCACATCGCACCTGTGTTTACATTACTCCTCACCCTTCACAAGTTTTCTAGAAGTCTTTGCTGGCAGCGATTCAAGCGAGTTTCTCGCCAAACCCGCCACTCCCGTTTCCCCACCACCTCTTTTCCATCACAAGATTCACTCTCTTCTTCCGCCCGAGGTTTTATTGACGTACAACCAAAGCCTCGGAAGCACGTGCGTGCTTATTAGATTCGCGATCCGCTTTGGGGATAGGCTGAGGTGTATGCGAGGATTGAGATTGAAAGGGGTAAAATGTCGCAGGTGCCGAGAAGGATGAGATGAAGTGGAAATGGGATAATGATCGTTTCAGTTTCCAATCCATATCCGTTGCCTATAACCAACTTCGGTTAAATGACCTCACATAAACTTTGTGTGTGTGTATTGAGGAGGCACCCGTATGATATTCGCACCAGCTCCGACGTTGGGGCCGCGGCTCCCCCTCTTCGACACGTTCTAATTGTCTGCTGATCGCTTCTAGTGAGTTCGGGCGTCCTGATCTTGGTATGGTTTGACGTAGTGTTGATGGTAGGAGACGGGCCGAGGGGGGTATCTTTGGGAGGCAGGAAAAAGCTTCGTAGAAGGTAAGAGAATGTGTTTCGAAGAAAGGAGATATACTTCTGTGCATGACACTACTATGCATCTCGAACACTGAATTGCGCTAAATTTCTCACTGCTGCAGAGTGCCGCGAGTGAGGTCGATCAAGAGTAAGCTCCTGATCTAGACATCTTCAGGAAGCCAGAGTCACCAGACTTTGTGGAAGAGGTGTAAAAAGACGGACCGAGAATATAGCCATCTTTAAGTTTGATATTTGATACAAGCCAGTGAGGCCAGCAGAGCTACTTCTACTTCTGGAATATGCAAATGTGGCTATCACCTTGGATAGTGTCGCATCAGCCCAGCGGTTACCCGATAATAATGTGGTCCCGAGTCCTGGAGGGTGGTCTTTTCTGGAAATTCCATTTGGCTTCCCCGGAATGCGGGGTGAGGGATTGAAGAAAGGCAACCTGCATGTTGATGTCGATCAGGCACAAGTGACACGGTATCGGTCCTTCTTGGCCTCATAGAACCTTCTTCAACTCCCATATATTTGAGTTCCATCCTAAGGAATGAGCAGGACCTGCTAGGGGATAGACAGCGGGACTACCCGTTCTCAGTTCCCAACCTGGAGAGGGAGAGGCGGGGATTTTGAGGATTTTTTCCTCCTGTGAGCGAGGTCTTGACGTCTCGTGGCAGGAGAGGTCGTGATGTAAGCGAAGGGAAAGGGCTGAAGCGGCTGCAATAAACGTGGTGTTCGGGAGTATTGTGGGGCATTTGGGCCATGAAGCGTTCAAGTGTGGGGTTCTCATGCAGACTGCAGACTACCCCATAAACTCAAGATGTGTCTGTGCGTGAATCTCGCTTTGGGATAAATTGCAAAGATGAGATATGGAATAGCTCGGGTGACGAGCCGAGATGCCTCGGCAGTGTGAGGCTTTGTAAGTCAATTTCTGAAGCTTCTGACAGGCCACAGGCGACTTGCCTCATCGATCGCGTGGCGAGCCATCTCGAGATCTAGAACCTTAACAAATCTGACAGAGGAGAAATTCCGGATCCGGCTTCCTCCGACCCTGGAGAAGAGAAGCAGATATATTAAAACGAAACAAGGATGACGAAGCAGCCTATCAAACACCGTCTCAGCCTCTCGCGACACGCTTCACTCACCATTCCCCAAACTCAAACCAAACGACACCGACCCCAGCTTCAGCCAAGCTCCACGGCAGGGCATCATGCCACCTCCACACTCCAAGCATCACCTCCGCATTTCAAGTTTTCGACAGTTCTTCTGCGCGTGCATGTTTCGACTTCGGTCCTTCTTTCTCCCCGCGGGCTTGCCCCTTTTCAGCTCTAGCTTCATGCCGCATAGCTGTGGTAGATCATGTGATCTGGTAGACGAGTGCCGGGCTCTGACTTCAAACTTCGAATCGATCTGGACGATCTTGAGATCGTTGTGACATGGATGCTCAACCAATGCAAAGAGAAGGGAAAGGCTCGAACCCTGAACAACCGACGTCAAATATCTCCGAATGAACATAGACGCATGGTGGCGGTGAAGTGGCAGCAGCGGTTGATTCGGTTGCTGCGGCAGGATGGGCAGAATTATGCGATCCAGGAAAGGCTGCCAATATATACGTCGTACCTACTGGTCACGCTCTACAGTAATTGACAGAGACTCGTACGAGAATACGTGTAGCGTACCTCGTGAGTAAGCAGAAGGCCATGATGAAGGTGGCTCGACCACTTCCTTTAATCGTCGTTTCTCTCCCGTCTCGAGATATTGAGAATGGAACGTCGGACGTCGAAGCAAGATGTACGCTGCGTAACAAGCCAACGGAGTTGGCCAATGATGGGATGGCCATAAACTCTGCCATGGAAGGCCGATGGAAGACGCGAAGAAGGAGGTGGGTGTTCGGGATCAGAGATGATTACCATCGTCTAAATTGCCTTGTTGGGCGTAGTGCATAAAAGCGGTCGATGGGTTGACCATCAGATTGAAATCCTCATGCCAATCCTTGGGTGGCGTGGCAGAGGCGATTCCGATTGGCCGGGTGCAGGGAAGCGGGATAGATCGACTGCATCGAGGCAAGCGCTGCGGCCTGGCGAAGGATCGCGCTGGGAATTTTCAGTGGGAAATGGTGTGGCACATTTGTACTGCAGTGATGCGTGTGCTGTGTGTGTGTGTGCTGCTGCTGCTGCTGCTGCTGCTGCACTGCTGTGTGCGCGACAGTGCGTGCCACTTGGCAGTTGGATATTTCGCGGCGCGAGCAGAGGCAAGCAGCCACTGGGAGCAGCAGGCTCGAAGTACCGAGGGGCTTTGCCGTAAAGTAAAGTAACACATGCTGCCATCGTGACAATGCCGTGCCAGGACCAGGCGATGGGGGAAAGTGGCCCAGAGGGCCCGTATTGGCCGTATTGCTTGCTGACCGACGATGACTGCAGGCTTGTTCGCGTGGAAAAAGCAGCATCTTCAGGGGCAAGGGAGGCAGAGGGGAGGAGAGGGAAGACAGAAGGGGAGAAAGACAGGCAGACAGGCAGGCAGGCAGGCAGGCAGGCAGGCAGGCAGGCATGATGAATGCCTCGAGCCCACGCCCATGCCTACGGAATGATCCGTCCCAAGTGTGCCGCAAGAGCCTTTGGAGGCGGCGTGCGTGCGTGCTGCATTCTCCTCCTCCCTGACAACTTGACAAGGGAGGCCACCCACGCCGGAACAGATCGATCAAATCAGGGGCCCTGTGCCTGCCATTACCGTGAGACCAATAATCTCGAGTCGCCGACGACTTTGGGACCTTTGGGTGGACGCCAGCGACGAATGATCGCGACATGATTGCAGACCGCAGACCGCAGACCGCAGACTGCACGAGCAGGTCGCCGCAAGTGAGAGTGAGGGAGAGACAGACGAGGGAGAGGGGGCGGCCAGACAGACGTGCTGATGCTGACACAGCCTCCAATTCTTCCTTCTGCTACGTTACGAGGTTACGGCAGCGAGGCGACAGCCCAGCGCCAGAAACACGATACCGTACTGCTGTGATAATAATGCTTCTTCCATGCCCTGATGATGATTCCATACGCGTCCAGCAATCCCAAATCCCAAAGCGTGTGGCGTGCGCTCCATATCTGCTCTGCTCTGTTCCGCTGCTGCCATTCGCCCTCGCCCTCGCGCTGATCTTAGCAGCCCGCAGCCCGCCTCCCATTCTCAAAGGCCGTGGCCGTAGCCGTGGTCTGGTCCATCGCTGTAAATTACTGTGCTGTGCGCTGCGGTGCGGTGCTAGAATCGCTCCACAATTGTCAACAAACTTCACGACCCCCATTGCTCTTCTCCCTCCTTCACGGAATTATATCCTCTGTTGCATTGTTTCAATCTTCGCACGCCTCACTCCCCCCCCCCCCCCCCCCCCCCCCCCCCCCCTCCCCCCCTTTCGCGATCCTGGGCGCCTCCCTTGCGACTCTCAGACACGATCCCTTGCCCTTGTGCCGGCAGGCCAATAGCAGCGCCGCCTCTGTGTGGCCCAGGGTGACCTGGCGTGTCCTGGCGTGTCCTGGTGTGTCCTTCTGCTCACCCCCCGCATTCGAGGAAATGAGCGTCCCGTCTCCGCCAAACCTCAGAAGGACCGAATAAGTACGGAGGTACTCCAGTACTCCAGACCTCCAGACCTCCAGACCCAGTACTCCAGACGCACACCTCAGCAGAATATCCACTCCACAACTACCCCATACTCCGCCCTCCGAGCCCATTCACGCCCAGGTCAGCAATCGAGGACATAAACGAACGGTGCCGTCGTGGACAGCATCGAGCATCGGGCGTCGAGTATCGAGTGTCGAGCATCGAGTCCAGCGAGAGAGAGAGGCCTCTCTGCGAGCCGGAGTGCGAACGAACTCTCGAACCAACCGCCAAGCCCCCTCGCCCGCCATGTCGTCGTCGTCCTCGTCGTCGGTCAAGCGCGCCTGCGACGCCTGCCACCGCCGCAAGGTGAAGTGCGACGGCATCAATCCGTGTCGCAACTGCTCCAGCGCTCAATTGTCCTGTACCTACCACGCTATTCCGCAGAAGAAGGGGCCCAAGGGGTCGCGAGCAAAGGTGATTAGCGAGCTGCGCGAGACCCAGCGACAGACCACGCTCTCCTCCAAGGTTGCGAACCGATTGAACGGCATCAACAGTCCGCCGTGCAGCCCGACGCTCTCGCCCACTCCGGGCCTCCTCACGAACGACATGGTCAAGGACTGCATCGAGTTTTTCTTCGCGAACATGTACCCGACGCTACCGATCCTGCATCGCGGCCGATTAGAACAACAAGCCATGTACGCCGATCAGAATGTCGATACCTACTGTCTATTGACATCGTTATGTGCGTTCATGATGATACAGCCGGGAATGGGGATACCTGGTGATCCTTTGGGCCTCGACAGCATGCCGGGCGCTAATTTGGTGTCGGGAAACCTGTTGATGGAGGAGACGCTTCGAGTGAGGAAGAGTTACGACCACCTCGAGACGCCGACATTGAGCAGCCTTGTGACGAGTTTCTTCTTGTTCGGATGTTATTTTGGACTTGATTTGCACAATAAGGCTTGGTTCCATTTGCGAGAAGCGACAACCCTCGCACATATCCTGGGGTTGACGAAGGAAGAGACGTATTTACAGTTTGATGCCGTCGAGTCGTCAAGGAGACGAAGGCTCTATTGGTTGCTCTTCGTCACTGAGAGGTAGGATCTACATTCACCTCTTTCTGAAGCCACTAACATCTGAACAGAGCGTATGCCCTTCAACGACATCGACCTCTTTCGCTGCAAGCAACAATCACTCTCCCAACACAGAACGATGATCCTTCAGATATACAATCACACCACCTGACGGGATTCTTGCATCTCGTCAACCTCTTCCGGCCGTTTGACGAAGGATTTGTCGCTCTCTGGAACAAGACTCGAACAGACTGCTCGCCAGCATACCTTGCTGCCCTTCAAAAACAATTGAGCGATGCTCTTCCAGCGTACCTCAACTCGACCGAGAATCAGACTGCTGATTTAAGAACAAGCCAACAATGGCTTCGAACGATGGTCTGGCAACTGAGCATGCAAAATGGTTATTTGAGTTCGAATTGCGATGATCCAACCATGAACTTCCAATACCCCGTGGATATTTCCCGGGACCTAGTCTCGATGACTTCTCAATTCTCGCAATCAAGCATGGAAGTCCACGGCATCGGACTGGTATGATCCCTTCCCATCCCCATCAAATAATTCTAACAACATCACAGATCGAGAAACTCTTCGACGTTGCCTGCTCCCTGACAGATGTTCTCTCCCTCCTTCCACCCAACCCCGACCCCTTCCAACTCGGCCCACGAGACTACCTCCACGACTTCATGACCCTGCTCTCCGTCCTCCGCAACGGCGATAACCGCTTCCTTCCTCTGTTGCTCGCCAAAGTAAACGACGTGCTCCCACGCCTCGTGAACCCGATGCTCCAAACCGTCCCCGACACACCAGCCATGTGCGCAGACATCGACATCTTCGACGGCTTCGGCTCAGGCGGTATCGGTGTCCCTTCCAACTTCCCGGGCTACAATGGCAACGGTACCTCCGGCGGAGACTTCAAGATCGAGCCCGACAATGACTTTAACCATAACGTCAACGCCATCCCCTCCTTCGACAAAAGAATCGAGGAACTCGGCTCTCCTTCAACGGGCGAAGAGGCAGTGAACAGTCCGTTTGCAAGTCCACCGATAATCGGTAGCCCGATGGAGTTCCCTGGTTTAAGCGAGTATGGCGGCTTCCCTGACTTGGGTAGTCCTATGCCCACGCCGAGCATGTCGAATCCGCAGATGGGGAACTATGGGGAGGGTGTTGGTGGAGGGGGCCAGCAAAATCAAATACCATTTAAACAGGAATTCAACCCGCCGAATGGGATGTTAAGGTCGAACTCGCGGCAGGGGAATCCGATGGAGGGTGTTAGGAGACCGCCGTTGCGGCAGGGTAGCTCAAGTAGCTTTGGGCTGATGCCGAGGAGTGTGCCGGATAATTTTGGGGTGATGAATCACTTGGGGAGGGCGAATAGTGCTGGGGGAGGAGAGGGCGTTGATGTGGGGATGGGGGGAAATATGAATGGGAATGGGGTGGGGGAGATGCCGTTTCGGTGACATAGGGGATAACTGACGTTGCGAGCCTGCGAGCTTCTCACGCAATCGAGTAGTTTACTGCGTCAGCCCAGGTAATGATGGCTTCCCTTCCACAAGAGAACCCAACACCGACAGCCGTCGGTCATCAGAGACACAAGTCACCAACACCATCCCCCTTTTTATTTTACGGCAAAAAAAGCTGCGTTACTTTTCAGAGAACCATTTAATGTATAGCAAATTTTGGAGATACTTTGCTATATGAGGAGGGGGGAGAATCGATCATGGCGTTGCAAGTGGGGAGTGTTCTAAGCATGTTTGCATACGTGTTATATCATGTCAGATTTAGCTTTAGGAAATACGTATATAGCACGGTATGAATTGATGAAGGGTTCAATCAGAAGCAGGTCTTGAATCTTGTGATCTGCGAAAATAGGCCCTTTTTGAAGTTGGAGCATCTGAGGGAAAGGAGGGCGGAAGGAGCGAGAACGGGTACTCGGAATCAGAAAGACCAGCAACTTTGGTCGGTTTAGAACTCACTTCTCTTTCCCCCTTCCCGTTCGACCTCGATTTCGCATCAAAAGCACCAACACGATCGTGCTCGACTTTGCATGCCACGCTCGCATGCTCGTTCAGGCATCTACTGTGGCTATGCTGCCCCGCCAAGCGGATGCCTTCGAGATGCCAGCGAGGCTGAGCCAACACGTCCTCCTGCATCGCAAAAGCAAATTCGTCCCAAGTTGCAACTTCATCTTCCACGACTTCCATCCTGGCCTCGCTCCCGGAACGTCCCTCCTGTTAAAGCTCTTTCCATCTCTTGATGCGTGACACGTCGATTACCGATGGCTGATCCCATCAACGCCGCGATCAAGACGGTCGCGGCTGTCACAACACAGGCGTACGACTACGGCTCGAAAGTCAAACATGCGAAGGAAGACATCGAAAATGTCAATCGTGAGCTCGTACAGGTCGGGCAGGTTCTCGAGAAGCTCAAGGCACTTGCCGAAAGGGCCGAAAAGGCCGAAAAGGCCGGACAGTCTGGACAGTCTCTCGATGCCTGGCCGACCTTGATTGAGCTCAACGCCGACGATGGACCCCTTGCGAAATGCAATCAATCCTTACTGGACCTCAAGTCGGAATTGGCTCCAGTCAGCAGTCTCCGAGAGAAATTGTCCCAGAAAGCAAAATGGCCTCAGAAGAAAGAAAAGGTCGAGAAGTCTCTTCGAGCAATCGTGAAGGAAAAGAATGTTTTTCTTGAAATGCTAAATGTGGACCATATGTAAGTGCAGATCCAAGCAAAGCCCACGCTCTAGTCTACTGAGTTTTATGATAGAACACAAAGATTCGACGCTACTGTCGCAGTCTCTAAAGCTCAGATAGGTGAGACATTTTTTCGCCTTACTCTCCTTTTTCGGACTTTACTGACGGAGTGAAGAAGCAAAGAAGAATGAGATAATAAACTGGCTTTCTCCCACTGATCCAAGGACCAACCAAGAAGCCGCAAGAAAAAAGCATGAAGAACAAACGGGCAAATGGTTCACGGAAGGACCAGACTACGCAGCGTGGTTAGAACAACCGAACTCCTTCGTTTGGCTGCATGGAATTCCAGGATGCGGCAAGACTATCCTATGGTATATATATACTTCCCCACAAGTTCCAACGCTTACGGATTTTATAGCTCTGAAATCATTAAGGAAACAACTGAATATTGCCGAGCTCCAAGAAACTATCACTTTGCCTATTTCTTCTTCTCTTTCCGCGAAACGGAGAAACAGAAAGCCTCAAATCTCCCAAGATCGATTCTCGCACAGCTGCTCATGCAGGCTGAAAATATACCCAAGGCGCTTCAGACATTTTACGATAAATATCAACATGGTGAGCCATCAGAAAGAGGCCTCCTGGAATCGATTCAAGCTCTTTTGATCGGCCCTCACACCTATATCATCATCGATGCTCTGGATGAATGCCCAAATACCGAGGAAGAAAGGGCTGGACTATGCAATATCTTGAAAGAGTTGAATTCATGGGGCAATGAGAGACTTCACGTTCTCGTTACCAGTCGTAAGGTAGCAGACTTGACGGAAGCACTTCTACCAATCGTCACTCAAGAGCCTATCGGCATCCAAGGATCGGTTGTTGATACGGATATTCGAAAGTATGTCCGAACACAACTCCAAACCAATTCGAAACTTTCCAAGTGGCCCACAAAAATCCAGGCTGAGATCGAACAGACTCTTGTCAAAAAGTCAGGCGGAATGTAACAACCACAACGCGGCATTACTGGTGCATTTGCTGACCTAGATTCAGGTTCCGCTGGGTTGTGTGCCAGTTCCATTCTCTGTCAAAGTGTCTTAGTCAGAAGGATGTCAGAAACGCCTTGTCCTCTTTGCCTCGGACGCTCGATGAAACATATGAGAGGATACTGGTCAATATACCAATAGACTATCAGTCGAAGGCTCTTACTGCACTTCGGTGGATCATATACGCTGTCAAAGAGCTGAGTTTGGTTCAAGTATCAGACGCGATCATCATCAACCCCCAAGCTGATCCTCCATTCAGTCTCGCCGATCAACCACCAGAACCACTCTGGATCCTCGAAACTCTACCTGGTCTGGTCACAATTGATCATGCTTCCCAATATCTTGAGATCGCACACTTTTCGGTTGTCGAATACCTTGAATCTCCCAGGATTATGGATACGCCGGTCAACATGTTCCACCTGGATCCGTCGAATGCGAATACTTCCATTCTCAAGGACTGTGTTGACGTCCTCAAAAGCCACTCCCACCCGGTGAACCAGACTATCTTGAAAGATAACAATTGGGAAAGCCAGATTTTTGACGTTTCTCCGTTGTGCCACTACGCTTGCGAGCATGGGCACGACCATGCGGAGCTGTTAAGACCGCCCATCGAAGAAGAGATAAAGAGTCTGATCCTCAATTTCGTGGTAAATGTTGATTCGATACTTCAAGGGTGTCTTTCTGAACTTCCAAAGACGATCTGGACAGACCTATCTCGGGCAGAAAAGTGCCCTAGTGATCCTCTTGAGAAAGGGCTGCACATCGCGTCGAGGTATGGTTTAACTAATATAGTAACCGTTGTCCTTGACGCAGGTGCCGATATAAACCTCACGATAAAGGATGGCCCTACTGCTTTACAACGGGCAATTGACGGAAACTGGCCGGAAACGGTAAGAGCTCTGGTTGATGCCGGAGCTGACATAAATTTAGAGGGTGTATACAACGGTTTGATCATGACTCCACTACAACTTGCTGTATATTTGAGTCAGAAATCAACAGTGAAGATTCTGCTTGATGCGGGAGCTAGTGTGAACCTGATGGCGGGGCTATTTGGTTCTGAATTGCAGCAAGCATCAGGGAGTGGCGAAGCAGATATTGTAAAGCTGCTACTTGATGCTGGAGCAAATGTAAACCTGAAGGGGGGGCGATATGGCTCTGCATTACAAGCAGCATCGAGATGGGGCCACCAGGAAATTATGCAGCTTCTAATTAATAGAGGAGCAGATGTGAACCTGAACTGCGGGGAATTTGGCTCCGCATTGCAGGCAGCATCAAAGAGCCGCAACGCAGATACTGTGAAGCTACTACTTAATGCAGGAGCAGATGCAACCCAGGAGGGCGGGGAGTATGGCTCTGCATTGCAGGCAGCATCGTGGAGGGGCGAAGAAGATATTGTGAAGCTGCTACTTGATACAGGAGCAGATGTGAACCAGAAAGGCGGGAGGTATGGCTCCGTATTGCAGGCAGCATCATATCGTGGCAACGCAAGTATTGTGAAGCTACTACTTGATGCAGGAGCAGATACAAACCTGGATAAGGGGATATACGGTTCCGCGTTGCAAGCGGCAGCGTGCAACAGGCTGTTAGGTTCTGCAGATATTGCGAAGCTGCTACTTGATGCAGGAGCAGATGTGAACCAGGCGGGTGGGGAGTATGGCTCTGCATTACAGGCGGCATCGTGGAAAGGCAACGCAGATACTGTAAAGCTCCTACTTAATGCAGGTGCAGATGTGAACCGGAAGAGTGGGGAGTATGGCAGTGCATTGCGAGGAGCACGGACAGGGAGGTATAATGGTATCGTGAGCCTGCTTCTCAGTGCAGGAGCAAAAGATGATGAAGACAGGTCAGCCGAATGATCTCAAGTTGCTTGATAAGACTTTCGAAAGTTCAACGGGGATAACAGATGGTGATGACTTTAGACGAATTTGCCAAATAGCAACGTCAGAGTCAAGTAATGCATTTTCGCTGATTAGGAGTTGTCCAGAATGAAATGAGGTCTGAGGGGTACAGCAATCTTAAGCAGAAGACATGGCCCTTCTCTATCGAACCCCGAAAGTCCGCAAAATTAAGAGAAATGGGTTTGTTGAAGATAGAATACCAGCGAGGAGCTGGTCATCCACGAGACGCGGATCTCCTGATGGATCACCCCGACGGGCTTTATTTTACTTCACGAGACCCGCTCCAGTACACTAACAATCCAAGCGCAATGGTCCTCAACACAGTATCCCGGTTCAAAACACTGGTATATATCTCCAGCAACTTTATATCACCGACTGACCACCCCCGACTCGATATCTCTTACACACTGCGCCGTAATCTCTGCCATCCCATTCGACCTCGCAACCTGGTTACAAAGTCGACAATAAATCCCTACCCCGTCCGGGGAATCACTACAAGCATTATACACCTCCTTGTCCACAATTCAGCAGTGTATCAACCTCCCATCCCTCTCCCAGCCAACAACATGTTGCTCAGAATAGCATTCCCAGCCAAACCCCACGTCCATGCCAAGGCATCGACGAACAGGACACCGGATCGACGGTCGCCATCGCAACTATGATTTCGGGCCCCATTGTGAGACATGGAAGACTGCTGATGTTTCGGGATTAGGTTTTTTGGTGGAGATGGGTTTGGCCGGATTGTGTGTTTGAAGTTTAGCGAGAAAAAAGGGGAATCCTAGGAGCGAGGACCCCTTTGATGAAGTGGTGAGAATGAAATCACTTGGCGGTGTATATATGGTGAGGTTGGACCTTTGTTGAGGATTGGATGAGTGGAGTATAGTGAGGATTCTGAAGACGAGGCGGATTTTCTTTTGTTTTGATGTTATGAACGGGGCTTGAAGTGTGCGAAGATGCTCCTTGAGATGTCCCGCAACCGCGGAATCCAATGTTTTTACACGGAACCAGAAAGGAGATAACCCGCCAGGACATACGGTCTCCCAGATACGCCCCGTCCGTGGAACCAACATCGGATCTTTTGACACCCTGGGCGAGGAAAACATCGGGAAGGATACCCTTTTGAAGAATTACATTGAAAATAAACCGCTTGGACACACATCTTGAATAACCTTAGACTCCAAGAACAGCCAACGCGTCCAGCTTGGTGGTCAAACTCTACCCGCGAGTCTTGCCGGTAGACCATCCCAAGAGACGCTCCCAACCCCTGGCACGACATCCCGAAACACCTGTGCGAGGCGAACACCACCTCATCACTGCGTCTCGCCCACTAAATCTCCGCCTTCACAACGAACAACTCCTTCACCAACGCCAATAACGACATCCACATAGACCCGTCTCAGATACCTCGACGTGGAGCTTAACATCGACGCTGAACGCGGAGAAGAAAGTGATATTAGAAAAGCCAAAGATTAGCAAAGGGAGGAAGTTCAAAGAGGAGTTATTCCTTGCGTTTGTGTTCTTACCGTCGAATTGTTGGTATACGAGGGGTGAGATGAGGTTAGGTGTTGAGGAAGAGGCGGGAGTGAAATGAGGGTTAGGAGGGTGCCGATTAATGGGAGGGTGGATGTTACAGTTCGGATTGGGGGACGGGCAGTTTGATATGGAAGTATAGATGACGGTGTGATACCGATAGGAGAACATTTCCGCCTCGCGCTTCGCCGCGGAGGTGGTAGTTTTGGTAGTTTTCACCTTGGGAGCATGGGCGCTCAAGTTGGAAGCATTTCTGCGGGTCCTGGAGGCAAGAAGCTAGACAATATTTGAATTTTTGAAGTCAAACGCATAGCGTGTTATCCATACCAGAGTTCTTTCTATTGCTCGTGATCAATTAGCGTTTTAATAATGCTCCCCGTACCACGTTACGAGGATCAACCCCCGACGCAACTTCTAGAGCAAATCCTCACAAGGTAGGGTTCGGTTACCACCACTTCTCCGACAGAACATTCGCTTCATTCATCCCCTCAGCGTTCTTCGCCTTCTCAACAAACTCATCTGTCATCGTAGGAATACCACAAATATAACAGATAGTTCTCTTCCTTTCTTCTATAGGCCCGAGAGCATCGAGGAGATCCGTATGATGTATCCTTCTCCTCTGGATTTCTATCCCCTTTACCCCTACCACGTGTTTCTCGCTTCGAACTTCCTCTCCCCCATTTTGACCAGAAGTCAGAAACAGCTGGAATTGCCCCTCATTCCCTAAGGTGTCAAACACAGATATCAACCGCTCCAAAAATAAGATTTCTGACGGGTTCGTGTGCGGTCCTGGATCCCGCGTCGTGTAAAAAAACTTCACGACAAGCCCTAGCTTGCCAGCTTCCCGTGCCGTCTGCTCAAGATGAGATACAATACTCATCAAAGGATTAATTCCCACTCCACCGGCGATGAACACAACTCTCGTCGCCTTTCCTGCTCCTTTCTCCTCGACCCCACTTTCCCCATTACTCAGTAAAGGCGGAGGCCAGACAAAACTTCCGCCAACTCTGACTTGCAATTGGCTTCCTAAAATCCTCTCTTCCTCTTGCCATAGCCACGCAGCAGGTGGGTTTGAAGGCGATTTCTGAATCGCGAGTTCGAGATAGTTGCTCGGCGGTTGGAGGAGGGAAGGTGGGGACGTGATTGTGAAACCGCCTGCTTTTGAGATGCCGGGGACATAGACGTCCAGCCATTGACCGGGAAGGAACTGTTTGAAGCAATGCTGTCAGATATCGGCTCTTTAAGAAGGGGTAGAGATGCAGGGATATACCGTAATGGGTCTCCATCCTGGCTCGAGGACTGGGGATAGACGGAAGAGTCGGATGGTGGGGTTTACGGGGTCGATATTTGTGAGGAGAACGCGGTGTAGTGTCTGTGGTACGTTAGTTGAGATTTGATAAGTGGAGGCAGGAGATATTGACTTCGTCACGTGGTTCGGCGGCAGTTCGCTCGAGATGGGAGAGGGATTGTTTAGCTGTTTTCGAGGCCATTGTGCGCAGGGGTGGTCGATGGGTTGATGAAATGGGAATGATACGAGGTGGCGCGGTAAATGGATGCTGGAGAAGGTAAACGTACACTAGGTATTTTCATTTGCTGGTGAGTGGATGCTAGTGAGAAAGCGTGTCGGAACGTCTGCCGACGACGTTGATGTAGATCGGCATTAGCCGAGAGCACTGAGCGGCTTAGGTAAGACAGCTAGAGAAATTTATGGATATTCTGAGAGGAGGAATGCATAGCTAAGTCAAGGGAAAGATAGCTGAACATGCACTCGATTCTCTCTAGGCGTTTGCAAATCCAGAAATCCCTCTCCCATTGTGAATGTCCTCACGTAATCATATCCCCTGTTCTCCCCTCAGTAAGCGGCGTCCAAGGGCCAAGGCCACCTATCAACCCATATCATTGACGAAACAAACAAGAAGCCCTCTAATAGTACTTCCTATATTCCTCGTCCTCTCCTTCAGCGTACGGCTGTTGTACCGATTCCGAGGCAACATAATAACTACCAGAGGGATGGACACAATAATGATCAACAGGGGGCACAGGGCCAGTGGCGGTATGGTATCCACACTCCCCGAAATAGTCGGCATCCGACCCAGCGGTATACGTTTCAGGAAGAGCTGAAGAGCTACTGGAGCTGTGGCATGCTGGTTGACGATAATAATCTGTATCTAATCCGGGTGGGTAATCACCAGGGGATAAAGCAGAGCTACTGGAGCTCTGGTATCCGGAATCAGGGTAGAAATCCGGACCTGATCGGGAGGGGTAGATGGCAGGAGTCGTGGCAGGGCTTCTGGGGCTCTGGTATCCGGATTCTGCGTATGGAGGGTTGCTCGCGTCCGCATACCAGCCATCTTCCTGCAGCTGGGAGTGATGAACAACACCGGGATTTATGTACTCGTAGAAGTCCATCTTAGCCCGTCTACCAGGGGTTTGGAAAATGGCGAACCTGATGAAACTACCGTACACTTCCTCAGTCGCATCGCTTCCTTTGGTCTTAAACTGATAGTCCTTGAATGTATAATTATGCAAGTCGTCATGTTTTAAATCTCCTCGATCTCGAATTTTGGTTGCCACAACACAATGGCCACCTCGATTAATCCTTGTATATCCAATTGCAAATGGCCGGTTTTCGTACTCGCGAATCCATGGACTTAAGAAGTACATAGCCAAGTCTTGTTGGGTCCGTAGAGTGTCCTGGCTGTTCTCCTCTCTGTTGAATGGCACTGTGACCACGTGCACGTCTGGTAACCTTCCAAAAATCCACTCTATTTCTCCCACCAGGGGTGCTTTACTAGTCCCAGAAAGCCGTACGCCTAAGCGATCCAATAATTTTTCATACTTCATGTTGAGAATATAGGCAACCGACACATAAATGCAGTTGTTTGACAACCTGTCAGGGTTCCAACGAGAGTATCCCTTCCTGCCGCCTTCCTTGAGAAGCCCAAACTCCTCCCAGATTTCACTAAACACTGCTCCATGTTGGCTGCAGGCTGGTGCTTCCTTCACCACAAGGCCTGCGGTGTAGCCAGCGTAGGAATCCGGAGCTTGTTGCAAGGGCCAGTCTTCCACAGGTAGAGCATATGTCTGCTTTTCCACATCCAGTCCAGAAAGAGCTGCACAGAGTTTATCTTGTTCAGCTGCGTCATCATGCAAGGTGGAAGGGGCAATGTAATTGGGTTGGTTCCCGTCCCTGAAGTAGTCCTGCGGAGAATTTGTGTCTCCCGCGGGATAGAATTGATGCGAGGAAGTGTTATATCTCGGTGAGGTTGGCTCTTTCGAGCGTTTGTTCCGAGAGTGTTTTGAAGCCTTGCGCCCAGAAGACATGATGGCCAACTTCAATCGGCGTCAATAGAATTGACCGGCTGCGCTATGAAGCCGCAAAAAGTTTCAACGGCTTTGAAAAGAGGCACACTTGATCAACACAGCATATTGTCGTGGTTTTGAAGGAATGCATTTGCTTCAAAGGCGGAGTGGCCTCATTGGGCCTCATTGGGTGGCAAGCCACAGCCTCGCCAGACTTCAGTGGGGATTGGGATTCTTTCCTTATTGCGATCGAGCTTCCAATCAAATTAGCTGATGGGTATCATTGGGTTCAAGTCAGCCCGGAGTGATATCCACTAAACTGTCGGCTTTGCTGCCCAAACGCTAGTGGGGTAAAGACTGAGATAATTGATTGGTACTAGATACGGTCTCTCGAACAGGCTTGGGCTCGACTGAAAACAAGGTCAGCAATCCATCCTCGCATACAACGCCTCCTTTACCTAGCTCAACTGCGCCTCCCGAACCTTTCCATCTTCCAATGCAGATTCAACATGATGGTTCATCATCGGGCTCACACCCTTCAAAAAGCAAGCCACGATCCCATTCGCCGCCACAAGGCACGCAATAGCAATCCACACATATCTCCAGCTCTTCTCGCTCGCATCCACTACCACCGGCGCCCTCGAATTCCCCGCTAACTCGGGACCCACAAGAGAGGCGTACTTATTGTTGTAGATAGCAGTGAATATTGTGATACCAATGATGCCGCCGAGAGCACGGCAGGAGATGCTGATTGTTGCTGCGGTGCCGATGAGGAAGGAGGGGATAGAGAGGCCGAGCGCCACGACTATTCTCCAGTTAGCAGTTGTGTGTCGTTGGGGAGGCAATCATCTTTACCTGGGATAACGGTCGTGACTGCAGTGCCAATTCCGAAGAGGGTTGAGAAGGCGTAGGCCCAGGGCAGTCGTTGAGAGTTTACGAGACCCATGAGTCCTGTCCCATGTTAGTAAATTGCTCAAAGAAGAGGAGGGAATTGGGGCAGCACACCAGTAAATAGAGAACACCAAAATAGAGCAACAACCAACATAATCCGATAAGATCTCGTAGATGCCATCACCCATCCCGCAGGAATACAGCCGAACGTCGAAGTGATCAGATACGGTGATAGAATAACAGCGATCCTGACCGCATTCTGGGAGAATAGATCGAAGATCTGCTGTGAATACAGGACGTTGACACCAAGAAGGAGCATGCCGTCGATTGTGCAGACGAAAAGTAAGATTGGGAAGTTCATGGTCTGGAAAAGGCGGTGGTCAAAAATGCCTTCCTTCACCACGAATGCTTCGTAAAAACCGAACAGGAGAAGCCCCACACAACCAGCGGTGAGAGTAGCGATGACTTGTGGTGAATTCCAGGCATATGTGCTTCCGCCCCATGTTAAGCCAATGATAAGGGAAGCGAATGCACCAGACATAGTTAGGATGCCGATATAGTCGACATTAAGAACGATATCTTTCAAGACGTGGTGGCGGCCGAGCAGTGGACGGGGTGGGAAATATGTTACTGCAATGGAGAGAGCAGTAAGGCCATAGATAATACCGTTGAAGTAGTAGGCCCAGCGCCAACCTCCTGCACCTCCGGTGTTGTCACGAACAAAGGCTGCTGCGAGAAATGTTCCGAGGACGACGAAGGCGCTGGCCATTGCTTGGGAGACGCCCATTCCCCATGGTCGGAGTTTGTTGGGAAGGATTTCTTGGATGCAAGAGATGGATGTGATCTGTTTTCTGTCAGCACTACAATTTCGGAGGCCACATCAGGTGCCTACGCAACCAGCATTTGCGATTCCCGTCAAGATGTTTCCAGCGATAATGTCGGTGATTTTATGTGCTGAGCCCGAAATGCATGACCCGACAACGCCGAGCAGAGCACCGCACACAAGGAACCATTTCTTTCCCAATCGATCGCCGAGAGAGCCCTGGACGAATCAGTCTATACCACTCCAATTGCGTACAGTCGAACTCACGAAGATAGGGCCCGCAGCCAAGACCACGAGGAAGTTCCCATTGGCAATCCAGGAAGCAAGTGCGGCGTCTGCCGGTGATCTGGCGACGGTCGAAACTTGGAACTTGATCGTCGTATTGGTCTATAGTGTCAGTGTTGGACAGCTCATTTCGGTTAGGCAGCTCACAGTATTCGCAAGAGCAGCGCAGACATTGCCCATAGAAAGGGTCATCACACAGAGTATGGTTCGCCATCCGAGTTGGTAAGGGGTTTGTGGTTCGTCCTCATTTTGTGCCAACTCTTGAATTGTGTGGTGTTTATGAGGATGCCCAATGTGTGATCTCTCTACCTGGGAGATCTCGGGCTTCGATTCGTCGGTCATGTTGAAGTAGCACCTCAGTTTTCGAATATCGGAAGGTTTCTCAAACCTTGGAGGCAGAATCGGCTGTTCGTGGGGTCTGGTGGACTGATCTGAGGACTCTTGGGACTTATCTAATTAAGTAGTCATTCGATCTGTACTCAAGCTGTGGGCATCTGGGGTAGAAGCTCGGTCAAAAAACTAGAGACCGGGGTAGGAGTTAAGGGTCTGGATGTGGACGGTGAAGATGCCGTATCTGGGTGCCGGCGGCAGCTTTAACTCCGCTCCAGATGTGTCCAATCCACTAATGACACTTTATTGTGTCTGAAAGCATTGTTAATTAGAAAGGAGGCTTTAGTGGGCGGAGCTAGCAAGCGAAGTCTCCTCCACACGCCACCGTCCACTCCACGTCCACTTGGCACATGCCACCCCCAGACCCCACAAACGCCAATGAAATGGAGAAGACGGGACATCCTGGGAAAAGAGAACGCCTCAGATCGGCCATTTGTGCCAGGTGAATTGCCGTTCAGCGTTTGCGGACACGCATTGAAGCCGCCGGTGCTCTTGGATTGCGGGCTGTGGGAATCAACAACCCGGTGCAGTGGTATCAAACTTTAACGTAGCTCGGAATTCATAAAGAATTGACAGTAGTGCAATTGACTCAACCACAAGCATTTGTGATCTTCGGTATAGGCGTAGATAGCACGAACTTCTTCACCTCCTCGATATCCCGGGTACAATCCACCAAGCGACCCTCCAGCCCTGCGCCTTTGCCTGCCGCAAGATAGACACAAGTCCAAGCAGGAGTCTCCGCTTTGAAATCAGGATGCATCTTCGCCATCTTCGCCATATGCTCCACTACATATGGCGCTTCCTTCTTCGTCTTCTCGGGGAAAGCAGTCTCATGAAGCTTCGTCCTCACCTCTCCTGGATGAATGGAGAAGACTGAGATCCCATTGTCGTCAAAACCGAAGGTATCCTTCTGGAGGATATTCAATTCGTTCTGCAGGATGCCAGCAAATCGTGTGATGGCTGTCTTTGCACAGCTGTATCCAGCAGCCCAGGGAAGATCTGCGGCTGCTGCTCGTGATGATGTGTAGATGATTATGCCTGAGTTCCGCTTTTGCATTGAAGGGAGGATCATCCGTGTTAATTCGGTGGGAGACTTGACCATGGTCTCCATTTGTTTCCACCACTCGTCAGGATCGGTCAGGTGGAATGGCATGAAGGTATTTGTTCCGGCATTGTAGATGAGGATGTCGATAGGACCAAGACCTTCTGTGACCTGGGAGGAGATCAGCCATCTTCTTGCGAGCTTGGAAAAAGTGACATGCCTCCCTCACCAAACGTTCTAACTCTGACCTGACGCAAACATCTGCCACAATGCCTATTGCTTTTACACCGCCGCCCAAACTCAGTACATCTTTCGTAGTCTCCTCAACTTCACGCTTCGTTCTTCCTGATATTGCAACTGCAGCACCAGACCTTGCCAGTGCAAATGCAATCTCTCTTCCAATGCCTCTCCCAGATCCAGCAACAAGGGCAACTTTGCCTGCCAGTGAACCTTTGAATTGTTCCGGCACGATGGCTGGATAGATGCCAGTTCGCAAGGTAAACTCAGGTTTCGACATCTTACTGAACTAAACCTTTAAATTCTGAAAACAAAGAAGGAAGAAGAAGGCTGAGACGAAAAGCAGGCCAGAAAATCGGGGGTGGATACCTGCCCCACCTCCGAGGTGGACGGAATGAAAGCTACCCGTCCTTGCCGCCAGCCTCGTCCGGAATGTGGGAAACAGCGATATATCAACAGCCTTCTCGGCCATCCTGCAAGATGCAGCATCCGGTACATTCAAAATGGGGTTTGAAATATACGTTCCTGAAAACCTCACCTTCCAAGACTACCTCGCCATCTGCCAATGTGCGCGAACGCTCGCCGACGCATATGATCGAAAAGTCCGTCCCTACATCCCCTCAGGGCCCTTAGATTGACACGTTACAGGACAAGCAGCGTCTGCGGGCATCCCTTGCACCCGATATAATAGTCGACTACAGTCTCGTTGTCCCAGCCTGGGGTGCGAAGTCCTTCACAGCCGATGGCTTTGTAGAAGAATGGCTTGGCCCCAAACACCTCGGCGTCAAAGCCCTAGCCACACAGCATCTACTCGGTATCCCATATTTCAAGTCGGTTTCGGAAGAGGAGATTGTTGTTGAGTGGCAGCAGATGGCAAGCCATGGGCGGCGTGTCGAGGGGGAGGACTTCGCAAGTCCGATGTGCAAAATCTCCGAGACGAGCGACGGGAGGAGTTGGATGACGCAGACCTTCGTAAAGGTTGAGGGGGCATGGAGAGTGAGGACTATCAAGCCGGAGGTGCTGTATCATACGGGCGATTTTCGACAGATTGGGAGACCGGATGAAGGACCAGACTTGAGGGCGTAGATGGTGAGGAGAAGTGTGTGTGGGCCGAGAAATCTGACGCGATCGACGCGAGGCGAGGTGCTTTTGTCTCACGGGAAACGACATCCCACCTTTCTGTCAAACAATGCAATTGGCAACATGCAATATTGGTGAAGGTAGGTAGGTATGTTTGCTTTTTGAATTTGATTGTCTCCTGTCCTTCAAGTCTGTCTTCAAGTTTTCTGCATTGTCCTCTTCCGCACTTTACATCCGAGAATGGAATCCCGCTCCCTCCTCAAACTCGTCGAAGCCGACGCAGAATCCCACATCTCCTTCCTCCAATCCTTTATCCGCGCCGCCTCACCCAACCCGCCAGGAGACACTCGTCTCGCAACAGATGTCTTGATCTCCTACCTTCGCTCCCATAGTGTCTCTCCCGAGATGATCACCCCACAAGCGCACATGCCCAACATTGTCAGTTCCTTCACCTGTACCACCCCCGGTCCCCGCCTCATTATGAATGGCCACATCGACGTATTCCCCGCCAGCGACGTCAAGACTGGGCATGCGACCCCTGGTCCGGTGATCTGGTTGACGGAAGAATCCACGGACGAGGAGCCGTCGACATGAAAGCTGGCACCGCCGCGTCAGTGATTGCCTACAGCTTCCTGTACCGGTACCGGCATCTTCTCTCTGGTTCTCTCGCACTCTGCGCTGTATCCGGTGAGGAGACGGGCGGGAAGTGGGGCAGTAAGTATCTTCTCGAACTTGATGGGGGGTGGAAAGGCGACTGCATGATCAATGCTGAGCCAGGAGGCTTGGGGACTATCAGATTTGCAGAGAAGGGGACATTGAGGTTAGGATTTGAGATTAGGATCGAGGGTGCGCATGGTGCATATGTGCGTAGGAGTAAGAGCGCGACGAGGATTGCGGCGAGATTGATTGGCGAGCTTGCGAAGGTGGAGGAGCTTGTTCCAGACCTTGACATTGGGCTGGGAGAATACATGAAGCGGGAGGATGTCAGGGCTGCGATTGATGAAGCAATGGGGAAAGGCGCAGCTGGCATTGTGCTAAAGCCGACTTTGAATATTGGCACCATTCATGGTGGATTGAAGATCAACATGATTCCGGACCGATGTGTATTTGAGGCCGATATTCGGTTACCTGTTGGATTGAAAGCGGAGCAGGTGATGGATGTTATTTATGGAATATTGGAGGGGTATTCAGAGGCCAGTGTCGAAATTCATGAGGCGGCGAGTAACCCTGCTGCAGCGTGTTCTCACGACCATCCTATGGTTGAGATCTTGGTGAGGAATGCTGAGTTGGTGATAGGGAAGAGACCCTTGGCCATTCCGTCAGTGGGAGCTACAGATTGTAAGTTTTGGAGATATAAAGGGGTGCCGGTTTATGTGTTTGGAGTGTCTCCTGAGACGATGGCTGCAAGAGATGAGTCTGTTTCGGTCGATGAGTTCCTTGCTGTGATCAAGGCGCATGTCCTCGCAAGTTGGGAATATCTGGGAGGTAAAACATGATGGAATAGATATCTACAGCTCTAAAACAACATCCCTTGTCCCATAGGAAGGCAGGGCCATGGAAAACAAAAAATTTACCCCAAGAAGAAGTAAACCCATACGCTACAAGCAAAGAAAACATCTACTGCTATCGGATATTTCTTCAACTCCACAAACTCCAATTAAAACACCCAAGATCGACAAATCACCTTCCGCCACAATTCATTCATCGTCCGTCTCCTTTAGAAGTGACAGGTTTCAATGAAAGATCATTCTCCCACCCAGCTAGGACATCTGCAGAGTGACGTTGCTCCTCCTCTGTGACATTGGCCTTTGGAGCTTGGTCCCAGACCGTGGCATTTGGTGACAGGTAATCCAAGGTACTCGCAGCGTCCATCGTCAGAGGTTCAGGCAGCGTTTGGTTCCCTATTCCCATCTCCGCTGCATCAAGCGTACGCTTCGACACTGCTTCCATCGTCCTTACGCCATGGTTGCCGAGCCATTCCCCGCAACGGTATTCATTATTTTGCCATTTGCTCAGCGGGTACAGCCCTGCCCAAACATGCGGTGCGTCGCGCTCGAAGATAGTGTGGCCCATAGCATTAGTACATAATGCTGCGTTCGCCTCGAGTTCGTCCATGTGCAGCGTGGCAATCTTGATCATCGCGCAGTCTTGGTCTCCCCAGTCACGGTCTTTAAAGCCCTCAGGACAGTCTGGCCAGCCTCGCTTCCCGCAGTTTCGGTATTTGTCTACTGTGTCTTTGCTTGTTTTGACGGTGTAGCGATTCCAGAAATGGTTGTCGTCGAAGTCCTTGTGTGGCCAGCGGAGCCCTAGTTCGCACATTGACATGTACGTCGTGTACGGCGATTTGTCCCACAGAACCTATGATATTCAGCAATGTGTCGAAAATGGCGAAGGTGAGTACTTACCCGAGGTACTCGGTCTGCAAAGGTCCAATCCGTTTTTTTGTGCTTCGCACTCCCTGGACCCAGGGTCAACGCGTTCATGAAATCCGCAGTCTCGTTGGCCGCGTGGTTCCCACAGGTAGCTGGGAAGTTGAAGTTCTTCCACCAAAGGCGCTGGTGTTCGTGGGTATCGAATGTGTTATCGTCGTACATGCACACCGGGATGTGAAAGCCGCGGGGGTGGTCTCCAATTTCAATGCTTCTGATTCCCCAGTCCCGCGCACCCCAATGGTTGCCAAACTTCTTATAGCTTTCCCAAATTTCCTGCAGCATTTCATTTTTGTTAAAAGAGAAGCCATGCAGGGCGCCGAACTTCTCAATCGATCTGATGGCAACCATGTCGATTTCGTGAGGCTCAGTATTTGAGAAGTACCACCTAGCTGCTTGGCATACCAAAGTCGGATCCGTCTCTGGTTCCGGACAAAATAACGATTCGTACTCATCTCCAGTTTTAGTACATTTTTCAATGGCGTCCTCTCGGTGTGAACATTTCACGTAATTGTATCCAGCAGAAAGAGTTACAGAAGCCAAATCTTTGATATATCCGAGTTCAAATCTCCTGCGGGAGGAGTCAGCCAACTTGCCCAATATCTGATACGTACTTACTTATGAAAATCCTCAGCATGGTGCAAATCATATTCGATCGTACCCTCTTCATTCTTCCCAACCCATTTACGAGCCAGCATCCACCTAGCAACCATCGACGGACGCCCGGGCTCCGGAACGGCGCCGTCGTACATGTCCTTGTATAGCATCCACACCTGTCTTCTCCCGTTGTGCAGTTCGGCATTGTACCGCTGTCTCAACAAATCAATGTTCTCCGAGTTTAGGTCCTTCCAGTCTCCTTCAAATTCCGAGCAGATCCAGCCTGTTCCGGACCCACCAATTATCGTTGGCAACTCGACGACGCCTCCTTTGAGCCCAGCTTGTGCCTGTTCGCGGTGCTCCTTCAGTTTATTCCTGGGCCAAGCTCTATAGGCTTTGCTGTTTGTCAGAGTATTTATCCAAGTGGTTTCCTCTTGGCTTCTATCGGCACTCCACTTATTGTTGTTAGTCAGAGCATTTTCCCAGGTGGTTCCCTCTTTGTGTCCATCGGCGCTCCACTTTTCGCCATGATGGTAGTAGTTCATGAACCATTGCTGTGGTATATGTTGCAGTTGGTTCCACGCCATTTGTTGTGCTATATTGGTCACCAAAGTTTTGCTCCAGTCCTCGGCAGTTTTCGAAAGGGGAAAGTCAACGTTCTTAAGCGCATCCTCCGGCGACAGTATAGGCTGCTTGTCCAAGTTGAGAATCCCTAGACTGTGAAGAGTGTTTTCCAGGTGCTCAGGCTCGACCCAATCTCCCTTTATATAACTGACTGCGGCTTTTAGTGTTGCTTCTTTGGCTTCGTCGCCTTCCAAGCCCTGCTTCACGTAAGTGGCATGCACCAGCCCAACGTCCTTCAACGATAATTGTACGGCCTTCTTCTCCTGCTCGAGCCTCTCAAGCTTCTCCAAATATTTTTTGCGGGTTCTCCCCTCCGGCCCGGACTTCGTGTGCTCTAATATCTTGCCTTCTATATCCCTCAATGCAGTGTGCTTCTGCGCCTTGATCCTCCCGAGGCTGTCTGCGATCGTCTTGATTTCCCCATCTAAATTGATGCCCTTCAAGTCTTTTTCGAGTCTTGCCAAAGCATTCTTGAAACGTTGAGCTTGAATTAGATGCGTGGTTTTTGTGACCTCCCTTTCGACCATTTCTTGCAGTCTATTGACCAAAACTTGGCCTACGCCATCTGTGAAAACCCCGATCGCAATGTCAATGACCAAATCAATGGCAATCTGAACAATGGCTTTGTAGATGTCGCAAAGTCGTGCCTTGTCGCTGTTGACCTGGAGAGTGAATGTTTTGACGAAGTCCGGAATAATGGTATCGAAGCGTAGTATAGTATCCTTAAATCGGGTCTAATGAATAATTAGTATGAAAATAGAGAGCGGGATCTGCGTGTCCACTTACATCAAGCTGATTAGTATAATCGTGCATTACCCCCCATATCATCGTAGTGAACAGGACCCGCCTGCCAAGCGGCCTATTCTTGGGGAAAAGGCGGATAATATCCGCCACCAAAGGCGGCTGGTAGTTGCAAGAGGCAAAACCTTGCTGACAGCTAAAGTTGGGTTCCTTGAGATATTGCCTCCAGAATAATTCCCACTCACCGTGCTTGTCCCACTCTGGTGTGCCTTGTGCTAGGACAGTCCAGCTGGCATACCATTGTACGGCCATTGATTCCTCGAAATTTTTGTCGTTCATCTCAAAGTACACGTCATCAGGAATCTCTTCTTCATCTGGGAATATCGTGAGGTCATTGAGATCCTGGAAATACTTGGTGTAGTTGAATTCCACGGTGGCGGCGTTGGTGGTGGCGTTCGGGGGTATTTGTAGTGGGTGGTTGAAGGCTGCATGAATGCGGAGGCAAAGTGGAGTTGCTCTCATCTCAGGAATATCCTCGCAAACTTGCTTAGCAACTCGTGTGTTGATGTCCTTTAACATAGCTTCTGTGTCGTTTTCTATAGCATCTATATCAATATCATTGCCGGAAACCTTCGATGATGAATTCGAGAATCGGCTTGCCGTAAAATTCGTGGTGAGAAGAATAGGCACCGGGCTTGTAATCTCCTTGCAACTCGCACCCTCGCAGTCGTTGGGCTTCAAAGCGTCTCCCAGCATGCTTCCAAGGGACTTCGTATTGGCAGAAAAGTTCATAGCATTTCCTGGCATGGCGATTGAGGAGTTAGACGTCAGATCTAGCACCTTGATTGCTGTTGGGGCGTCCTGTGACAAGATCGAAGAGCGGTGGGCCGGGATGCCCAATGCCTGCCTGGCTGCTGCAAAGTTGCTTGGACTAGCCGTAAGAAGTCTTTCGTACGTGCCCGTTGGAGAGCGATTTGAATTAAACATAGAAAGATTTGGTACTGAGGTCCCGGAAACCTTGTTCGCGGACGCAGAGGAGTTTCTTGTCGAATTTGAGGAAGTGTTTGCCCTCGCTTGATCCACAAAAGTAGATAGAGCTGAAGTAAGGCCAAATTCAGATTTGTTTGACGAAATGCGCCCCCCTACTGGATCGTGATTTCGAGTGTCGGCAGTGTGCTGGATATTGGCCTTGGTCGGTTTCGAGGGAAGTGTCGTTACTTCTGAAGAAGAGGCAGTGGACTGAGCGGCGGAAGTTTTCGTCGGCGTTGAGGAAACCGTCGTCGCGAGAACCAAAGACTCGCTGGACGGTTGCAATGCCATCCTGCTGGGAGAGCTACGGCCACTAGTTATGGCTTTAGCTGCAGGTTCAGTAGGTCTCAAATGAGTTGGAACCACATGGTCTGTCGGCGGAACGCTAATGAAGTTGTCTGATGCTGCATGATTTTCTGGAATAGTCGTGGTCGAGACCTGAATAGTGACATTTGAGAGCGCGCTTTGAAGCTGGTTGGCTTCGGTGGCGGAATCGAACAGCGGAAACAAGCTTTCGGGAAGCGTTATGGTCCCGGCGTATGTCGTCGTTGCTATCAAGGCAGTGAAGTTCGAGGTCGTGAAGTTCGAGATCTCGGACGCGTTGAATGCTGTGCCGTTAAGGCCGAGACTGGAGTTAGTACTGCCTGTAAAATTCAGCAGCTTGACCCCAGCTGGTGAAGATGCAGCATTATTCTGAAAGGTGATGGGAACTGCGCCAAAGAAGGCAATAGCTCTTTTGAAATGAGCGTCGGACAACATGGCTGCTGAAAGCTCTACATCAGGTTTTGTTCTATGAGCTCATATCGCATGGATGAAACATTTGCGCTTCTGGCGAAAAAAAGGTCAGGTAAAAATCGATGTATTGCGATAGAGGTAGCAGAGAGGGAATAAGTAGAGGAACGCTAGCTTTAAGTTTTGGACTAGGCCAGACTACTGGCGACCTGCCGTGTGACTCGACTTCCGGCTCGCCCCTTGATCATAGGGTGGAGAGAGTGGTAGGCGATAATGGCACTAAACGATTCCCGCCATGGCGAAATTCAAAGAGGTTATATCTGAGTAGCTCACGGCAGATCACATTTATCAGACCCTTGAAGAAGCAGCACAATGCCTCAACGTGGGCAAGCCAATACTACCTCTCAAGAGAAATTTGAATATCACCACCATCTTGTCAAAGACTATTGCGTAGGGCAGGGATTTCATTAAAATGTGGTGGCCAAGCTTAACGCACTAGCGTTTGGGGCAACCATGGAACCAGCCGCTCTTGCCACGGCACCGAACACAAGGCTAACGGCACAAGCAAGAATGAATATCGAGTGATCACTAATGAATCTTAGGCAAGGGCTTCATGTTGCTCTTTAATTTTCACCACATATTATGCAACGCTATTTATCTCGGTTCCGACCAGTCTACCTGGTCTGTGACGTGCCCAGCAGAAGGATGACCATAAGAGATTTTCAATCGCAAGCGCAATGGAGGCTAAAATAGTCAGTGAGGAATAAAGTCTACTCGGAAATCGTATGCTTACGCCTTTGCTTCCCGTGATTCTCATAGATTGGGTTGCTTCGGAACCCGGCGCTAAATCAGGGTTGGACATCGCATTCAGTTGGAGTTTTTGGGTTTTCGGAACGGCCGCTTGTAAGGCAACACTGGAAATTGACTGGTGCATGGAATTATTTCGGAAGCGTGCCATGACTTGGACCGTTCCTTCAGCATTACGTTGGAGTTGTAAGGTGATGTTGAGGTCATTCTTGTCGTAGCAGGGGTGTGTTGGAATTACTGGAGCAGCGGGCTGTGGTGGCGGAGAGGACATGCCAGAAAAGAGGTCGTTAGAAGGGGCAGAGGCACCTCTAGCTGGCTGTGTGGTGCCAGATGTATCGAAGAGATCCATGATAGAACTCATGTTAGATTGTTGGGGAGGAGAGGTGGGAGGAGGTGACGAAGTACTTCCACCAAGGATATCGGCAAGGAGATCCGTGTTGTTCTGGGATCCGTTTGTACCAAGATCTGCTGCCGGCATGCCACCGTCACCCATGAGGTCGAATAAGAGATCTTGTTCAGCTGGCTTAACGCTTTTCGACTTCCGATTTGATGCTTTGGTAGACTTCTTTGTAGCTTCACCCAACACCCTTGATTCTTCCTTGATCTGTGGAGGAGGCATCTTCTCCAAAACACCCCGTCTGATTGAATCGTACCCGAACAGGTTGTCGTATTCGACAGCGCGTTGCTGGACTTCAACGTCAAGACTTGCAGAATTGCTCTGAAGAATTCTCCTGATCCGATCGATTTGCGCTGGGTCCGTAAAACGGGTGGTGAGCTTCATCAGGGACGTAATGATGTATTCAGTGGCAATTTGAGTAGCGTAACTGCTGTTGAGAATGGACGAGAACAGGTCGACAACTTCGCTCTCCTTTACTTCTTGCACGAGCTCCTCCTCTTCATATTGCCCTCCTCGCAAGAGCGCATCGCCATACTCTCCTATGCACCATGCTCCAGCCAGAGTCAGGCTTTCTTGTGTGATGTCTTTCTTGAGGTTGATGTACAACTTCTGAACGGCGTATGTCTGTAACTCAGGGGTGGTTGCAATGAGTCGGATGAAAGATGACAAGATCTGCTCCTTAACGTAGTTCCCAGCCAACGTCAGAACTCGCAACATCGTATCGACGTGCCACCGTTTGTTGGGAGAGAATCTGTCCGCTGCCACACCAATTTGACTGGTCATGATGGGCTTGAACTCGTTGTCGGCAACTTCCAAGAACGCCAACAATTCACGTATTAGAAGCCGAACATTGCTCTCGTTGATAAGAGTGAAGCTCAAGTCCAATGCGCGTCTCCTGATACTAATATCAGGATCTCGAAGACATTCCAGAATGGTGTTTCGGTGCCGTTGGACGGCATTCGGCTCAACAGCGACGACTTTGATTAAGGTGTTCAAAGCAACATACCGAATGTTGTTGTCTCGGTTGGAAAGGAATTTACCAAGGATGTTAACGCCAAGTACGCGGAGGCCGGAGTCAGCCTCGATATCCAGAATAGTGAGAACTGCTTCGTATAGAATCGAGTTACCCACATTCTTGGAAGAGTCGGTATTTGTAGCTACTTGTGCCAGGATATCGTTGACCTGCTCGCTAGTCTGTGCGTCTCCCCTGCCGAGAACTCGCAGCAGTTGCAGAATCTTGACTTGTAGAAATGGATCTGTGATGCCAGTGACATCGTGTTCTGGCGCATATCCAGAGCTGGCAAGCGCTTTCAATGTCCGCACTAGACCTCCGCTGAATGGTCTGAACTTCTCCACAATTCCTTCCTCTCCGCCTTCTGCTTCATCAGCCTCACAAAGACTTGTAACCAACGTCAACCCGCAAAGCAAGACACCATGGTTTCGATCGGATAGGAGGGTAGCAGCTTTTTCGAGAAAATGTTCTTGCAGATCTGGGACCTTTCGACATATTCGCATGGCACAAAGGGCAGCTTTCCTTCGGATATACGGGTTTGCTGTTGAGAGGAGGGTTTCGATTTCGGGAAAGAGATCTCTTGACATTTCGACGGATGCAATGTTTCCCAGCGTGCATAAGGCCAGTCCAACGATATATTGGTTCGAATGGTTGAGGTCGCTGTAGGACGATTAAACATTTATTCCACAAGCTCAGGATCTTGGCATACTTCTTCAGAGAATTGGTGACTAAAGTCAGTACCTCTTGGTTCTCGTCCAGCAACAACATTGTGCCCAGGTATCCTAATCGTTTGTCCGCAAATCGAGGTGATGCAAGAAGCTTGAGACATTCTATTTGACCGAAATGCGTGCGTTCTCCAAGGGTGAATAGGTATAATAGCTTTGCGACATTATTCCGTCTCGAGAACAGAATGTCAGCCAGGAACGGACTGCTGATGTCTGTGACCTACCTGACGTTCGAATCCCCGCTCTCTTCTCTGAAGCTTGCCCTGATGGCCGCACTCTCTTTCTGCACAACCGCCCGCTCATCAGCAATGGTTTTTGAGGCGCGCACGTTGCGAATGAACTGCTTTACTGCGAACAGTCAATAGACAGGTCGAGGAGGGGCATTTGAAGAGGCCTACAGGAGCTCATTCCGGCGGTCTGGGGCCCCGCAATGGGCCTGATCGTCTGCTACTACCAAGTTGGAGAGTAGAGAGTCTGGCAGACCGAACTTTTCGCAGGGTCACAGAGAGAAAAGCTTGCCGTTCCGTAGAGCTCTCCTGTCTGAATCGCACTGTTGAAGGCCACCGCGTTTGATGTTCGTGATGTGCCGCTAAAACTCTGAGCCTTGCGGCTGAGGCACAAACTTTTAGGGGTGACATCTGCCCAATGAGAAGCTACATGATGAGTGTGGCTTGTAGGCCGCGCCACTCTTGCGGGTCGAAAACCGCATCCAAAAAATCATGGCAGTTCAGAGTCCTATCCTCCCTCCTTCTAGGTTTCACGTACAAGAGCCGATCTTGGGGGCACCTGTCTTGGGATGTTTCTTCCTATGTCTACATAGACTCCCCAGTCATCCTCGCGTATATATCTCACAATTTCTAACCTTGAAACAAGTTTCATAAGCTTACCACAGCTTGATGCTATCGCAACTCGAATTATTATAGAACCACCAGATATTCCAACAACATGTCTTCTTCTGCAGACATCCATGCCAACGGAAATGGAAATGTCTACCACGAGCATATTCTTCGGCCAAGGGCTGTCAAGCCAAACAACCCAGCCGTCTTGCGAACCATGACCGAAGAGGGTCTCTTGGCTGGTGAGAGTATGCAAAATGGAAGCGTATCAGGTCAAACTAGGTACTCTCTTCCAGTCCTCTGGGAATGCCCCTATTAACATCAACAGTGGTCGATCGACACCGGTTCCTGCAGACGCTCCTCCTTCGGTCCAATCAATCTCCTCCGCTCGAAAGCAGCTCCGAGCTGAGCAACGCCGCAGACTATTCCCCACGATCGAATATGCCTCCAGAGTGTCCCATTTCGATCCCAATAGCGATTACCGGGATTTCCAGGGATTTTACATCCTGTTCTGGATAGCTCTTACCATCATGGCCATAACCACAATGTTAAGGAATATAAAAGACACGGGATATCCTATGAGAGTGCAGATTTGGCAGCTATTTACGGTCAAAGTCTGGGAATTGGCTCTAGCAGACGGGTTGATGGTTCTCAATACTGCTGTTAGTCTGCCTCTTCACAGACTTATCAGAAGTCAGATTGGGGCTAAGCTAGGTTTGAGGTGGCAAGGAGGTGGAATGGCTGTGCAGAGTATATTTCAGTTAGTATGGTTTGCATTTTGGGTTGCGTAAGCACTGATCTCTTAGCGAAGTCTTCAACGCTGACTTTGTAGGCTACCTTTTAACCGTGAGTGGACATGGACAGCCCAAGTATTTTTAACATTGCACACTTTGGTGCTGCTAATGAAAATGCACTCCTACGCCTTTTACAATGGCCATCTGAGCGAAACCGAACGAAGATTGAAAGCATTAGACGAACCCTCTACAGCTTCTAAGGCGCCTGCGTATCAATATCCAAGTGCTGGACATACGCCGACATCTGAGGAGAGAGAGAAGAAGGATGCAGATGAGTTATCACGACTTCGAGAGGATTTGGCCATTGAACTTACATCACCAATGGGATCAGTCACATATCCTAAGAACCTCACATTGGCAAATTATACCGATTACATATTCTGTCCAACACTTTGCTACGAGCTAGAATACCCTCGCACGCCAGGAATTGTATGGACGGAATTGGGATACAAGATTCTTGCTGTTTTTGGCGTTATATTCCTCCTAACCATCACATCCGAAGAATTCATTCTCCCTGTGATGATCGAATCCGCTTATCGACTCGAGACAGTTACCTCCTTCTCAGAAACTGCCCTCATCCTAGCAGAATCAATCTCTATGCTTCTGTTCCCGTTCATGATCACCTTCCTCCTTGTCTTCCTCGTAATCTTCGAATACGTCCTTGGAGCATTTGCCGAAATAACCTGTAAGTCACCCACCCTGATGGAAGTTCCGCCTGACAGTTCCAGGTTTCGCCGACAGACACTTCTACTCGGACTGGTGGAATAGCACCGATTGGCTTGAGTTCTCCCGCGAGTGGAACATCCCTGTCCACCACTTCTTCCGACGCCACGTCTATAGCGCATCTCGACCCCATATTGGACGTCCCATGGCGACACTTATCACCTTCCTCATCAGTGCCATCGGACACGAAATCGTCATGGCATGTATCACGAAGAAGATTAGAGGCTATGGATTCCTGGCACAGATGAGCCAGCTCCCGATTGTCATGTTGCAGCGAACGAAGTGGATTAAGGGAAAGCGGGTGCTAAACAATGTATGTTTCTGGTGCTCGATGATCTTAGGTTTGAGCATGATGTGCTCTTTGTATGTACTTTGTTGAGCAGGTGTTAGAGATGCCTGGAAGATACCCTGGATATGGTCTAGATTTGCGGCTTTTCTCGATGTATCGGCTTCAGTGAGACGTTGCCATATGCCTCCAACGAGTCTTCATCCAGACAACCGTAATGCTCGATTCTATTTTCGCCTACACATTTGAAAAACCAAGTGGGTCAATATATCGTTGGTGTCTCTATCGCGTGGGGAGAATTGTAGCTCTGTCTGTCCATCTTTCCTTCTTCACACCATGTCCAGGCTGCGCCTATCATCTCTCCCTAATTGTCCGACTCAGGGGCAAAAGTAACGCGCTTTTTGCCAGTATCCTTTCTCTTGAGCCTCTTGCTGCGCCTCACTTCTGCTTCCTTAGGCCCATATTCTTCTCTCTGTTTGCGCTTACGCATACCCCTTTCCAAATTTCCTCCCGCAGACCAATATCCCATATCCTCTGGCCCCTTAATTCCACCCAGCTTTCCTTTAAGCTCTGCCTTCCAATGTTCCGGCAAACCTTCTGAAGCGCCCCACAATAAGCCGCCCAAAATCTTCCGCTTCTTGCTGCCTTCTAACGTTCCCTCTTTTGCTTCACCCTCCCCAGACTTCTCTGCATTGTTCATAGTGCCTACCATGACCTGTATATTACATTCTCCAAGCGGAATAAGAGGAGCGTTCCAGAAACCAGGCATTCCAGACTTTTCGTAAAGTTCCACCTCAACCTCCTGCATCTTCAGGCCCCGTTTCTTAGCCTTTGCGTACTGAATGGCGAAACAGCCCTGGGACAATCGATAAACCAACCCATAGACATGGTCTCTCTCAGACGGGATGATCATTGGGAAGCGTTTCGATTGTTCTATGACCCAGTTGTACATTGAAAGCTTGCCAACAGCCACACATGTCGAATCAGAGAGCAGGGCGGGGTCCATATCTTTGCCATAGGCAAAGTATAACACCTCCTCGCCTTCCTCTTCTCGTTGTTCTGGAACTGCTGTGACAATGGGAGCCGGTGGGTACAGATCCTCGGACCAGTCCCCCTCAAACGGTGGACGGAGGTAATCGTAGGGGCCGAGTGATTGTTCGGGGGCTTGTGGGACATTCTCTGGCGATTCTTCCCTCTCCTCTGAGACATTCATCTTCCGTTGCCTGGCAGAACGTTCTTCCATGGCGTTTTGGGACATTGAGAGGTCATTCCAGAGGGATGGCAAGGGTGGAGATGGTGTATTTCTCCGAATACTAAGAGGAGAGAAGGATATTGGATTTCATGTGTTTGCTTGGGTAGAATAAATGTTGGTTGTTCAAGAAGCCTTTAGGACAAATAAATTTAATCCCTGTAGCCCGCGAAGTGTACGGTAGAGCGAAGTCGAGGTCCTCGCGGACTAGAGTGGAGCGGCGACGTCGCCGGCTCGGAGTAGATTCTGCTTGTCGTTATTTGATAAAGGCTTGTGAATGTGTTTAGCAGTGCGAGCCAGCTCCGACCCCTTAATTTCTTCACTCTGATTGTCTCTATCGATCACAAGAGATCTTGGCTGTGCAAATAGAGACAAATGCCGACTATCCGAGTGATACACTCGATAAAGAGGCACTTCGAGTGTCGGGGACTTCGAGATTGTGAGAGTGTGGGAATGTTTGGATTGAAGCTGTAGAAGCTGGAAGTCGAGAGAGGGCTCTAATACTCCAAGACTCGCCTAAATATCGAGGCTTCGGGGATTTTGTGAATCATGGAAGTCTGATCAGATGGATCAGAAGTATCTCTGCGAATTCAGTCTGAGTCATGAAGTAGAAAGGGTGGCTTTGTTAAGGCAGATCAAGGCTCAGGACGGCGTCATGAACAGACCGCGAGTCAGTAGGAACGATAATAACTACCGTAATCACCCTTTAAAATTGAATCATGTTGTTTAATTCGAGAACCGTCAGGTTTCCAAGTCCTCTGGACCATCCTCTGGCGGTCATTATATTGACACCATTCCCAAAGGACTTGAACGTCGTCCAATTCTGGAGTTTCATCTACAGACGACATATTCAAATCAATTCGCGGAGTCGGGTTACCTGCTTAATTTAGTATATAATCAGCAAGGGAAAAAGCCTTGGAAAGAATGTGTCCAGTCCAGCAGCAGGATAGAAGTGATCTTCACATTTTGCAACCTGGAGGGAAGGTTGCTCTTGAAAAGAGCTCGCCCATGCAATCACTCGGGCTGGCTCACAATTCCTTTCGATGAGAGCGTCCAAGTCCTCAGGGAAAGTTATTATAGAGTCCTCGAGTTATTGTTCGTCATCTTTACCTGCAGCTCTCTCCTTGTTCAACATTCAATGAACCCCCCTTTATACATATCATATCAGTGTGCCCCTGCCAACCCCTGCAACACCCCTGTTTTACTCGCGTAGCATTCCTAAAACATGGGTGTATACCCAAAGTAGTAATTTTTGATCTCGACTCTCTTTTAGATGCATAAGCACCCGTACTAGGACCTGCCCAGAGAGGGTGCTTATGCAATTGAAAATTTGATTCCCTTATAGGCATCTTCCCCCGTGCTCAGCAAGCTAATTTTTGCAAATTTATCATAAAGTAAGTCTTTCTTTTTCGGCTATTCTTTAGCCCCCGGTACGCGCAGAGTAGGCGAGCAAGAAGCGCATACCCATTAAGAAGTATATCCTCAAGGCACGCTCGTCCTGGCTTGCTCGGGTACGTGGATGTGTTTCACACGCCGTCGCGCGCCTTCGGCGCGCGATGCCGTGCCCCCAGCCCATTAAAGTCCTGGTGTTAGTAGAGATAAACTTTAGAACTCCCAGAATTAGCACGATGGCTAGTTCTCAATGTCGAGAACTTTCGATGCGGACAAAGCTTGAAAAATTGCGTGTTGATGGCATAAGTGCGAAGACAAAAGCAATCTGCGCTGAATGGGTTCAAAGAATCCATTCTGCAAGTCTCCTATAGACAGAGTAAGGGCTGGATCAGAAATCGGTCTAAATATGGTTGATGGTCTGCGATGCGTAATAATGAGAGATGGAAGGAGGTTTAATTTGGAAGTGCAGGGGTACCGGGGCCTGGAGTCAGCTTGGGCTCACATCAAATTGCACATGACATTGCGCATATTGGACTTAATATTATGTGACGGCGCTGGCTGGAATTATGGGGGGTAGGCTGTCACCTGGCTAGTTCCCCTGTCAGGCCAGCGTTTCAAGCATTTGAGCTAGTACTTCTTCTCTTTTACTCTCTCTCTCTCTCTCTCTCTTCTCCTTCTTAGCTTTATATTCTACAAGACAGAATAATAGAGATCTTTGCGCCTCGTTCCAATTGCTCTAGCTCCACCGTCACACCCGCGCGGTCTAGTATTATCAAGTAATCCAGGAGAGGGTTGCTCCATTCAGCGCTTATTAGAACCGAACCACTCTCTCCGGACTGGGTTCGACACGGCAGTCGATTTAAAGAGGATGTCCTAGATCTTGGCTTTGATAGTATCCTAGCCCGAGTGGTCACTTGCGTCACGCGTTCAAAATTCTGAAACACATCAAATATCTAGAGACTTCAGAGACCGAGGACCTAATTAACCAAACGCGACAGCTCGATGACGGGTTCCGATAGTGGCTGATGCAAGTCCCTGGCGAATGGCCATACGAGCCGTATAGTATTCCGAGTTCCTGATCCAGGAGAGACTTCTACTCCTTCTGTTATCTACGTCTGCGCACGACATGGCCACGCTGCAGTCTGGAATCTACATTTCGGACTGCGGATGCTCATGACCGGTACCATTCTCGGCCTTTATTAACTCAGCCATCCACTCCTGCTCCCAGTCCACGAGTCCCACAACTCTACCTACCAACAACAACGCCACGAGTGCATAACGCAGCTGGAAGCCTGAGCCGAGAGTTTTGCATCCACCACCCCCTTTTCACTCGGCCGATTCAGAGCCGACATTGCAGACGTCCTAGACTCGCAGCCTGCACTTACTCTCAACACAGACGAAATGCCTCCCGACTATTTGGCCATTATCTGTGGCTTCGAGCCTCGACGGCGTGGGGTCAATCCAGCAGCTATGGTTCCGCCCCGAGCCCGCGCGCTTCCTTAGGCCACATCCTTGGCGACGGGGTCCTTTGGTGTGCTGGAACCGATCCACGGGCTCACGAACGACCGACTATCAGAAGGTTGACAAAGTGAATATCTCGGAAACTTGCGGCTGGAAAAATTTAGCAAAACAATCCATGACATAGAGAAGGTGAATTGAGCTGAAATGAGCCGAAAGTTCGTATAGTAAATGAGACTCAACAGAACGGTCACTGGATCATAAACAAGAATGAAGAGGAGTGCATGGGTAATTTCGTGGGGCCCGCTTAAATTTCATATTTCCTGAAGGTCCGCCTTTTCCTCGCATGGCCAACTTGGTTGGAATTTGATTAAATCGCCCTCTTTTTGCGATCCTGGTGCGATGAAGCAATTTGCGTATGATTTCTCCGCTTCCTATTTGCGGAAGCGGCCAATCAGGGGTTCGCCAACACTACGAAAGCGGGCGGCATTAAAAATCGTTGATCCGCTGAAAAGCGAGGGACGCCAAAATCGCTACCTTTGAAAAATCACACCAAATCTCAATGCAACCCCTAAAACTCTTTAAAATAGCTTTGTGAGGTAGAAAAGAAGCATATCTAACTTTTGTGGGATTTTCTCAATAATTAAATATAATACGGAATTACGAGAATTTTTATATTGCGAGAGTCAAGGCTATGCCCACCCTTGCTTAGCGAATTGGACGATTTTTATTACCGCCCGCCTTCGTACAGCTATTACCATAGAAAAGATGTATTCTCCGCCCAGCGTTTTTTGTCCGTTTCACGCCGTCTGACTTTTCAATCCTGGAAAGCTCTCTAGAATTTGATAGAACGTGATTAATTGATCTGTGCCAGCCTAGCAGAACATTAAAGCAGCATCTGTCTCACTGACACAGGGTTACCCTCAAGGTATAAATTTACGAGGGTAATAGCTGTATCACCCTGTGAGGCTGTGCCTATGATTTTTACTAGGAAAGAGTTGCTGTAGAATAGACGTTTGTGTCGGGCGCAGTCACGAGTGATTTGCCCTCGCTTCGGTGCGGTCGCTGCTGGTCTGCAAGTCAGCTCACGGGGCCGGCATATTTCTGTTCACGCTCTCAAAGTCAACAAATAACAGTCCTCGAACTACTCTAACTAGCCAATTATGATTCTAGGCTTTGAAATGGGGGCCAAAATCAAATTCTTTCAGGGCACTTGAGCAAATGCGAAGTAGGCGAGATCTCCCTGTAAGCGAAGCTTACTCATTACAATCCTCCTGCACGTCTTACTCCAATTTAGGTACATCATAGCCCCATGGGGAAAGAAGGGTGAACTCTAAGCGGACCGGAACGAGGTCTCCCCTGTTAAATAAACAGTTCTCACTTGTTGCTTTACGCGCTCAATTAGGATTCTTATCGTGAACCAACCGCTTCGAAGAGGATAATACCGGTGTGGCTATGTATAGGAGCCAGGTGTTACTTCTCAGATAGTAAGAATGATAATGCAGTCATCCATGCATGTTGGCTGTTAGGGTTTGTTTGGTACATGATCGCTGTGATACCTTCCACTTTGCTCGAGGAAGCGAGAGCTAGACCCCCCAAATAGTTACACCTGGCCCCGACACTGCAAGTGAATTCACAGGGTACCGTGGTACGTGTCAGTGTAACCCGAGTAGAAATGCCCACGGCCCCCCAACATTGCAATTTTTACAGATGAGTGCGCTTTCTTCTTTGCATCTTAACATTTCGCTCCAATCTTGCTCTGTCGACAATTGCCAGAACATTTTGGCTTGCAGGCCTCAACATGGCGGCCAAAGTTCCTGAAAAGAATGCTGGCGTTCTAGATGTATCAATCTCAGATTCAATGGAGTCCATCGAAGCTCAAGGATTTGATGAAGCAAGGACAAAGAAACTCGTTCGAAAGCTCGACTGGCACTTAATTCCCTTCCTCTCCCTGATCTACCTGTACGTCCCTCCCTCAGCAGACATTCATAGAAATTGCTGAAGAAATGCTCAGATTGTGTTTCCTGGATCGAACAAACATCGGAAATGCCCGTTTGGATAATCTCGAGAAAGATCTCAAGCTGGGGGGCCTACAATACAATGATTGCCTGGCGATTCTCTTCCCGTTCTACATCGCAGCGGAAATTCCCAGCAATATGATGATGAAGCGCTTTAGGCCAAGTATGTGGCTCACTTTCATCATGGTTTTCTGGTCCATCGCGATGATCTGCCAAGGCTTCGTCAAGAATTATTCAGGCCTCATGGCGACGAGAGTCTTCCTTGGAGTCTTTGAAGGAGGTCTGTTCCCGGGAGTAAATTACTACATCACCCAATGGTACTGCCGACACGAATGTGGTTTCCGCATGGCATTATTCTTTTCTGCTGCAACACTAGCGGGAGCCTTTGGCGGTATTCTTGCTCGTGGAATTGCTGAGATGAATGGGGTTGGTGGGAAATCTGCGTGGGCCTGGATCTTCATTCTAGAAGGTCTTCTAAGCATCGTTGTCTCCTTCGCCGCGTATTGGGCCGTCAACGATTATCCCGCTACGTATGTATCTATTATCATTCACAAAATAAAACTAACACAGCATCTACAGAGCCAAATTCCTCACCAAAGACGAGCGCGAAGAAGTCGAGCGCCGCCTGGCTGTCGACCACGGAAACCTCTCCAACGCATTCGCTTACAAATACGTCCTGCAAGCTATCAAAGACTGGAAAATCTATATCCACATGCTCATCTGCATGGCTAGCTTCTGCCCCATTTACTCCTTCTCCCTCTTCTTGCCAACAATCATCAAGAATATGGGATATACCGCCAATCAAGCACAACTTATGAGTGTTCCACCTTATGTTGCAGCTTGCTTCTTTACTATTGCAGCAAGCTGGTTTGCGGATCGAGTTAGGCAGAGGGGGGTTTTCATGTTGGGATTTCAGGTTATCGCAATTACGGGTTTTGCGATGCTGGCTGGGACAAGCAAGCCAAGGATTCAGTATGGTGGAACTGTGCTTGCTGCTATTGGTACGACGTTCGGATGTTGATGTTTGATTTTTGCTAATAAGGTCTTAGGTATCTACCCTCAAGTCCCACTCGCCCTCGCCTGGAACGGCAACAATATCGGAGGAAGCTTGAAGCGTGGTACGGGGATTGCGATGCAAGTTATGGGCGGCAACTGCGGTGGAATCATCGCGTCTTATGTTTATCTCACCAGAGACAGTCCCAGGTAAGCACAAGTATAGGTTACATTGTTTTGCATTTCAGAGGCTGACTTCGTGCAGATTCATCAAAGGACACTGCCTCCTTATTGGCATAATCGGCATGGCATTCTTCCTCACACTGTTCATGACGACATGGACAAGAATGGAGAATTCTCGACGTGATAAGGTGGCAGGAGAGGGAGGACCAGTTTCTTTGACGGAAGAGCAAAGGATAAAAGATATTGAGCTTGCGGATAATGCTTCGTGGTTTAGGTATACTGTCTGAAGCATATTATTGAGAGTTAGTTATATTGGAGGTCTGAGGTTGACATGGGAGTTGGTCTTTTGGTGGAAGAGGAGTGAAATTGGTCACTGATGTTTGATTCGGTCTTTGTTAGAGTTAAATACATTATAAATTCTTTACCCAATGATCTTAACATTTGTGGGATGAGTTGACGGCGGTTCAGGGGCAGCAAACCTAAGCGAGCTCCACGCCAACATCCTGTCACGGAGTAAATATATTCGTAAAATGGCTCCCATCTATTCCTGAAACTTGCATCTCATAGCATCTCTCTAGGGCGAGGTTCATCGGTCCCAGCACCTTTTTGTGCCAGCCCTGCAATATTCGAGGTTAGCGACGCCACTGCACGTAGGGAGGGGGAAATGGCCGCTTACTCGCTCCAATCTCTCGAATATCCTTCTTTCGCAATTTCCCATTCGCAGTCTTCGGCCACTCCACAGGGCATCCTTTTTCTATATCCCCAAGCCACCATATCCGTACAGGAACTTTAAACCTTGACAATGCTCCTCGGACCCACTCTCGGACTATCTCATCGTCCGGTCTTGTGCTTCCATCCTCAAGCTCTAAAAAGGCCGCGACAACTTCGCCATATCTTTCATTTGGGATACCAAACACGCATGCCTGTTTAATGGCAGGATGTTCGAATAGCCTCTCTTCAATCTCCATTGGGGCTATGTTTTCACCGCCTCGGATTATGAGATCCTTGATTCGACCCGTAACGACAAGGTACCCGTCCTCATCTAAATAACCTTCGTCGCCAGTGTGCATCCATCGTCCTGGGGCCGAATGGTGAGTTGGCTCAAGTCCGACAGTTTCACTATCCTCAGTGTGATGCTTTATACTGCACCTAGTTCTCTCAACATCTTCGAAATATGAATGCATAACGCTAAACCCACTGACAACGATTTCGCCTCGAGCTCCCCAGGGCAAAATATTACCCGTGTTGGGAGCTACAATCTTCGCAGTCAAGTTCGGCAATAATTTTCCTGCTGTCTTCTGTTTCTTCGAGATGGGATCGTTTGCAGAGGTCATTGTTGCAATTGATGAGAGTTCCGTCATGCCCCAATTTGTGTAAATGTCGCGAATCGGGAATTTTTTGATGACCCTGAGGAGCAAGTCCTCTGGCATTGCCGAGCCAGCCATGAGTCCAAATCTGAACAGAAAAGGGTGAGCATCCATTTCATTCATTGCTCTAATGCGAAACAGGATTTTGTACCTTAGAGACGATCTTTCTGTCTGTGTAAAGTCAGGGTGCGAGAGCTGGTCAATGAACATTGTGGTAACTCCATAGAGACCTGTACACTGGTATTTCTGGACGGCATTCAGAGTCAAAGAAGCATCAAAGTACTCTGATGGCAAAACAGTAGCTGTTCCCTGAACGAGGTTGGCACAGAGACCTGCATCACAATCAGTTAAACATATTTCTGTAGCAAATTATAGGTCCAAATACCAATAATAAGACCAAACGCGTGAAATAGAGGAACAGGTATGACCACCTTGTCCGTCATCCTGATATTCATTTTCATCCCGATATATCTAGCGCAGTTCAACATGCCGTGATGCGTAAGTGCCGCTGCCTTGGGGGAACCAGTGCTTCCCGACGTGAATTGGAGGTTGAGTATATCCGTATCCCTCAGCATCTTCTCGAAGGTCTCCCAATCAATTATTTGCTTCCTTCCCATCTCGAGCAGTCTTTTGAAACTACCGAAAAATGCGGATGAATCCTTGGGTGGGTAGAATCCACTGATATCATGGAGAAGAACTACCATTTTTAGGGACGGAACCACTCGTTGCTCTAGTTGGGCTAGGCAGGGTCGATAGTCATACTTGTATGTCCCGAGAGTGGTAAAAAGCAGTTTCGGTCCTGAAGGCTATTATTAGTGAGCATATTCTATGTAGATTGCGTTAAGGAGGGCTCACTTGTGGTCGATAGAGCAGAAATAATTTCGGCGTGAGAATAGGCATAGTTCAACAACGTAATGATTGCTCCTATCTTTGCACATGCTAAAAGCAGCTGAATAATAGTGTTAGTGTTCTTTGTTGTTAATTGGAGGGGGCATAGAAATAGATAGACATACGTACATAGACGTATTCTGAGCGATTCCCAAGCATCACCGCCACTCGGTCACCTCGTTCTACACCCTGAGAAATCATTCCAGCCGCCAAATCATCGCTGTACTCGTGCAGCTGTGAATACGAGATGACCTCGTTTTGGTGCTGTGAAACGATTGCCATTCTATCTACATGTTTTCGGCTTTGTCTCCGTGTGAGCTCTCCTAAAGTGATATTCATCAGCGGAGGATGCGAGGGACCTCGAATGACTGAGAGACGTCGCGCCTGATTGACCGGCGAGAGGTGATCATTTTTCTGTTTCAAGTTTGGCGGCATCACCAAGGAAGGCATTGAAAGATAGGAAGGGAGATGGAGACGACGGAAAACCCTAGACTTTTTGAGCGCACAATTCGAGAGAAGAAAGACTGGCTTGCTTGCACAAGATTCGAGAAAGTCTACAAATTTCAAGTCACGCCCTGCAAGAAAGCACTAACAGATAACACCCAAGCTTGAACAGCCGAGGACTCATGGAAAGGGAGCAGGTATCAGCAAAGAATTTGTGATAATGCCAAGCTGCAGTATTCAGCAGCAAGCGCTCACTTCTGCAAGGATCAATGATCCGGAGTTTGAATTCCGTTGGAAAACAAGCTCAAATGCAGTAGCTGGGACAGTAAAACCGATACAGCTCGGAAAACACTGTCTTTCTCCATCCAGTCCAGGCCTCAGGTTCGCGGAATTGATCAGCTGGCACCAAAGTGGCTCTTGATGCAGATAACCCCGCACAAAAATGACAGCGAAAGCAAGAGCGGCTCGCGAAGTCGGATAGTCAGGTGGCGTATGGTCTTGTGCTAAGTTATTCGTGCTGGAGGAAGTGTTGTCAAGTCGCGTCCGTCGCGAAAAGCGGTCCGCAAATTCGCGGGGCCTCGCAGGGACGGAATGTCCAAAAGTGTTGTACTAGAAGGTGGAGAAGCGTCCACTAGCTTGTTAAATAAAAGTGGGATTAAGGTGGACATAGACGAAGAGACAACAGTCGGCGTATGGTGGGGCTTGAAGCAAAGCTCGCAAGTGACCGATTCCTGACGGGAGAAGTGAAATCCATGCGATGTCACCGTGTACCAACTGCTGCTTCGGCAAAGAAATGGCCATTTAAATGCTTTGGAAAGCTATCTACTTCGTCTAGATAAGAACAAACGGGTCATCGAAATACCAGACAGGATCTCCATCAACATTCAGCTCACACTGAGTGTAGCCGTTCCCCATAAACTGGAATCTGTTTTTGCTGCGATAGGTGATATCGTAATCTTCATATCTCACATTTTTCAGCATCTCAAAATAATGCAGTCGACTGCCAGGATAAATTGCTGTGACGGGGCCGTGTTGCTTGCCCATCTTGAACCACGATCTGCACGGTGACGACCAGACAAGTCGCTTCATCAACTCATGTGTGTGTTGGTAGAGTTCCTCAGCAGCGGCCATCTTTGGGGCAAAAGCTTTGATGTTCTCGGTTTGCATCTTTTCCACCATCTGGAAGAGATATCGCGTGTGCCATTCCAATATCGGCAGGAGGGAGCTGTGACTCGCAGGCCCGTTGGGGCCGATAAACACTATCATGGTCAATCTCAGGGGTTAGGAGCTTAAGCGAGGTGTTGAACTTACAAAACATGTTTGGGAAGTTGGGAGCGGTGATGCTCAGGTACGCTTTAGGGTTCTCTCCAAATTGTTCCTTGATATTTGCTCCATCGCGGCCAGTCACCTCGAAGCGAGGCGTGAACGAAACATCGAAGCCAGTAGCACAGACTACCACATCTACCTTGTGCTCGGTACCTGAATCATCCACCAGCCCATCTTTCGTGAATTTCACAACTGATTCCGTCACAACTTGGACATTATCTTTCTTCAATGATTGTAGATATCCCGAGCCCGGAGTCATTCTTCGGCAGCCAAGGTCAAATCCAGGAATTATTTTCTTGGTGAGAAATGAATCGTTATCGAGGTGCTCCCGCATGATATCTGCAACTAGATCTCTGGATGCCTTTTGATCTTTGCTCGTTCTGTGCATCTATAACTCATCCGTTAGTTGTTTTCACGCGAACGGGAGAAATACATACCAGAGTAAAGCGCTTGTTGAGCTCGCCTTCGATATCCCTGCAATACTTGGCCAGCCTCGCGGGATCCTTCCTGAATTCTTCCAACTGTTCATCCGTGTCTGGCGTACTTGGTTAACACAGCTGGGTAAGAGGGAAGCAGCGCACATACACTTGAAGTTAGTCCCCCCTGGGCCGGCATACTTTGCACCAAATCCGGTCGTGATCCACACAGATGATCTTAGGAAGGGTATCAATTTTCCAACCACTGCCCACGTAAGCTTGCGCCGGCTTTTCAGATAAAGTACCGCAAATACCGGGTTGAATATTTGGAATTATTTGCACTGCAGAAGAACCACCTCCGATGACAGCTACGGTCTTCCCACTCAAGTCATAGTTGCCATCCCAAGCCGCACTGTGCATGAGCTTTCCACCAAACTCTTTGATGCCTGGGATGTTCGGATATTTGTAGGTGCTATTTGGGGAATTATCAGTGATCTAGTTGAGCAAGCTTCAACAAGGGAAGGCACATACTTGAGTACCCCAGATCCATTAACCAGAATCTCACATTCGTCCTCAAACTGACTGCCATCTGCAGCTATGACGATGAGTCGCCACATCCCAGCGTCTTCATCCCACCGCGCTGATTGAACCTTGGTGTTGAACTTGACGTATTTCTCTAGGTCATACTTCGTCGACACATGCTTGAAGTATCTCCAGATTTCCTCAGACGAAGAGTAGAAATGGCTCCAATTTGGATTCTTCTCCCAAGTGAACTGATAGCTATGACTTGGGATGTCACAAGTGCAGCCCGGATACCGGTTCTCAAGCCAGGTTCCTCCGATGTCATGGTTCTTCTCATAGATCCGGAGCTCGACATTCTCGAGGAGGCGCTCCGCTTTGTATGCGATCTGCAGCCCGGCGGCTCCAGCGCCAACACAGATCATACGAATGTGTCTTTTCGCATGTAAGGGCTGCTCTGTGATACGATAGCCGTCGAAATCTTGATTGTACCACTGGTTCTCGTGGCGAGCGTCGCTGGCCGGAATGGGAGCATCTCGATCGGGTCCTGAAGAGATCGTTATGATTCGTGCCGGAGCCATGACTTCTGACTTTGGTTGTAGGCAAAGGGGGGGTAAGAGTGAACAAAAAGCAAGACGCAATGATCTTCAGGTCTTTGGTGAAGGGACAATATGTTGCACTGTTGCACGAAGCAAGTAACGAGGTATTTAGTCCAAGTTACTCCTGTCGGGTATCGAGAGTAATGGACGATCGAAAGAGCAGGCGCGTCCTAGAATCTCCTCGCAGCCAGCCTCGGCAGCAAAGCTCCCAATTGCCAACTTGCGAAGTTGCCATGTACGGACATACCCCAGTTCCGCACTGGCGAACGTGCGGGGTGGTGTGGTCCGGCAAGCCAGAAGACGGAACACGGCAGAGTTGTGAACTGGTGGGGTTTGGCTAGGACGGCAATAGTGTTCGCTATTGCTTAACTCCGAGCATTTTTATACCTAGACCGTACTCGTACACTGATGGTCCGCTCGGGGCTCGTCGGGTCGCGTCTATCGCATACCTCGCGAGTCTCTCTGCTGCATCTCGTCAATCCAAACTACTAGCTAGACCTTGGAAAGACGAAATGGGCCCCCAATTAGCGTCCCCCGCTGCAAACCCTCCAGCAGCTTTGCATTCCCCAGGAAGTACCCCAGATGCTACCCCGTCCTTCATCTTTTGGTGGCGTTTTGGCGTTCCGTTGGCGACGGTGGCCTCCAAGACAGGTGGGCCCAATTCTTGATACAAGTAATGATCCTCGAGTCGTTGGTTAAGTGTTCAAGGTATTGCATTCACACTCAATCAAAGTCAGCTTGTGCTTCAGGTTTATCTTCTCATACCACAAATTCTCTTCGGTTATTCAGAATCATAATTCACGATGGCGGAGAAGAGCATTTCAGCCGATGTTCATATAGAACATGTCCATAAGAGGCAGTTCAAGCATTACAATATCATGGTGATAGCAGCCATGTGCTTTGCATCGATGGGCATGGGCTACAGCGCCAGTATCATTGGAACCACCTTAGGTATTCTCATTGTTTCTCGATTTCCTTTCTCTCCATACGCTTTCGACGCTTGGTCTTGATCAAACTAATACTAGACAGCACAACCTTCTTTCCTTGCATACTTCCACCTTGATACTCGAAAGGATGCGCTTTCTTTGATATCCACCATGAACGGATTGTTCCAAGCGGGCGCGTTTTTCGGCTCGCTTGGTATCAACGTTGTCGGCGACAGATTTGGCAGAAAGATGTCCATCATCATCCCATCTCTTCTAGTCCTGGTATCTGGAGCTTGTCTAGCCGGATCCGTCAATGTCGGCATGTTTATCGCCTTCCGATTCTTCTCTGGAATGGGCTCTTGGTGGCTCCTAGGATCGGTTCCAGTCTGGATGTCCGAGGTGGCTCCGCCCAAAAACCGAGGCGTGCTTGTAGACTGCCACAGTGCTGCATTGCTTTTTGGCTATTGTGCAGCATCCTGGATCGGAGCAGGGTTCTACTTCTATCACCCTGTTGCGAACAATCAGTGGCGGGCTCCGCTCGGATTCCAATGCTTGCCGGTATTCATTGTGCTCTGCTTCATGCATTGGCTTCCGGAGTCTCCCCGATGGCTGCTTCAGAATGATCGGACCGAAGAAGCTGAACGTATACTTCTCAAGCTCCACGACCCCGACGAGGCTGCACTCGAGCTACAGCAGATCAGAAACCAGATTGCAGTAGACAATACTCTCGAAAACAGCTGGATGTCTCTAGTGACGAAGCGGTCATATAGGAAACGCACCTTTATTACGCTTGGCCTTAGCGTTGGGATTCAGATGACCGGGGTTCTGGTGATCAATAGTAAGTGAACGCTAGAACATCCACAACTCCTCCGACGAGTCAAATTAACAAATTCCAGATTATGGCCCGACCATTTATGCAAGTCTAGGTTTAAGCACAAGCCAACAACTTTTGTACCAAGGTGGTTTCAATACACTTGGTTTTGGCTGTGGAATTTTGGCCCTCCTAGTGGTCGATAGATTTTCCAGACCCACGCTCATTGCCGGAGGTACCGCCATTGTTCTTGCAACCTTGGTCGCAGAAGCCGCTCTGGTAGCTTCGTACCCGCCAGTTCCTGGCCAGAGCCAAGCTGGCCTCAAGGGCGCTCTGGCGATGATTTATCTCTATATCGTAAGTCTTCGCTGGAGGGACACTAAATTTGCTCTAATGAGGCTAAAACTTTGTAGGTTTTCGCAGAATTTCTCCTTGATGGCACCCAATACATCTACTTCAGTGAGGTGTGGCCCAACCACCTTCGTGCCAAGGGAATGACAATTGCGATGGCAACAATCGCATTAGTGAACATAATGTGGCTCCAAGTGGCTCCTACTGCTTTCGCGTAAGTGCAGTATCGTACTTTAAATTCTTACCCGTGCTAAGTGTTTGCAGAAATATCGGCTGGAAATTCTACTTGTGCTTCATCATTCCTGGATATATATTTGCAGTATGTGCATGGATCTTCTTCCCTGATACTAGACACCTAGCTCTTGAGGAAATTGCCGCGATCTTTGGCGATGCGGATGAGATCTATCATGTACAGGACGTCACCAAGCTCTCGCTTGAGATGAATGGGAAGTCGGAGCACCAAGATGATGTGTAAGGCGTGAGAATAGGAGATGAATGGAATCGGCCAAGCCAAATGGGCTCTACACCTGAAGAATTCTTAGCTGTATGGCAATAGTACATGCAAACGTTGTGCAGTATGCGACAAGTTATTCTCATGAAATACAATTTCACTGCTGAATCTCACGTGATTCATGCTCCATATGAGTGAAAAGAGTCCAGATTGAGTAATGAGTTATTGAAATCATATGTCTTGCAAGTTGATGCCACTTTCGGCCACTACTGAGTCTCATAACGTTGGTCCTCGGACCTGTTTACTGACCCCCTTTTCAGCTCGGTTATCTCGGCAAACAAGGAGTGAGCGGTGCGGGGTACGAACCCCACCGCGATCCAGCGCTATACGGTATACCTCGTAGACGTAACTGCATTTCCAGCACGAAAAAAAGCTTCAAATACGAGATGACTTTCAAACCATCCAAAGCCATTATACTAGTCAAAATCTCATCCACAGCCACCAACCATCATGGATCGCGCTTCTCGACTCGCTCTCGCAAATCAAAACCCAGAACTCATCAGAGTGCCACCTCATTCTCAGACAAACACTTCCTTCCACTCAGCTAACCACCCTCAGGTCCTACAAGAATCACCCCCCGCCCGTAGTCTTGACAGTGCCCCCTCCATCCAAGCCCTTCGCACCCACCTCGCATCCCTAAAACGCAATCTCACTCTATCCAGCTCCCCCAGTACCACCACCCCTTCCTACACCGAAACTGACCAACAAATCCCCGTGCGTGACAACAGTACCATCACCACCCGGATCCACCGTCCCGTCCCCCCTCCTCCAGAAGGCAGCCCCGGATTGGTGCTTTTTCACGGCGGCGGATTTTGTTTAGGGGATTGCGACAATGAGGTTGCTTTGTGTAGACGCTGGACGGAACTAGGGGGCGTGGCGATTAATGTTGCGTACAGGCTTGCGCCTGAATGGAGGTTTCCGACGGCTGTGGAGGATGCAGAGGATTCTTTGCTTTGGGTAAGTCCCTTGCGTTTCTTTCTCAATATCCATGCCAGTTATAGGTGATTTGTTAACGGTGCTTGCTTTAGACGAGCGCCCACGTCAAGGAACTTGGGATTAACCCCCAGCAAGGCTTCATAATCGGTGGCATAAGCGCGGGAGCGAACCTCGCTGCCGTAGTGGCACATCTATACCGCGACGAGAAGCGCACACCACAGCTCACGGGACAGTACTTGTGTATTCCCACAACTTGCGATCCCGTTGCATTGCCCGAGAAATACAAAGATGTTTATCTCAGTCGTGAGCAGAACAAGGACGCGCTGGTTCTGAACCAGAAGAGCATCGATATGTTTGAAGGTAAGTTATGGCTAATCCGGCGGATATACACCCAAGGAGTGAACTGTAATCTTTATTTGTGAGAGGGAACTAACGCTAACGATGGCCCGCGAAAGGACACTACAACCCCAATCCCCACTCCCACCTTCGCTCCCCTCTACTTTTCCCCTCGCACGCAGAGCTACCGCCAGCCTATGTCCAAGTCTGTGGCGCAGACCCTCTGCGAGATGAAGGCTTGATCTACGAGCAGGTTCTGCGGGAGGAGGGGGTAAAAACGAGGCTGGACGTGTTTCCTGGCTTGCCACATGGGTTTTGGAGTTGGTTTCCAAAGGCCGACTTTAGCAAAGACTTTCAGAGGAAGACTGTGGCGGGGTTGAAGTGGTTGCTGGGGCGGGATGAGTAGATGGAGATGGAGGTAAATGGGAGGGGAAACTTGTGCGAGTGATGTCACATCTGGCTGTCAGGGGGTGGGCTCGCCTAACTCCGGCACAACACTTTGAAGTAGTAGCCTTTCAACAATAATTCAACGTCGTGTAATTAAGCGTGTTTAGATATATATTTGGCTTGATTGATCAATATATACTCACTCATCATAAACTAACCGACGACCATCTCCAAGATACTCTTTACTTGCGCCGCATCCATCAAGGGGATCGGATTCGTTGGTGCCCAAAAGTCATCCAGCGTCCTCTTCGATAGCTTTTCAATCTGATCCGCTCCAATATCGACCTCTTTCAAAGTTCGCGGTAATCCGAGTGTCCGAATAATCACATCAAGCAGATCTCCGAGATCTGCCTTGTCTTGCGACAACCCGACTTTCTTGAATAGCTCAGCTGCCCTGGGTTCCGTCCACAGAATGCTCCGGACCTTGTCTTGCTTCTCCTGAACGTCCGGGTTGTTTCTGCCATGTTCTAGATTCCACTTCATCACAGCAGGACACATGATACACGACGTAACACCATGCCCGACTCCCATCGGACCTAGCTGATGTCCGATAGCATGACTACCACCCATGGGAATCCCAGCTCTAACATTCTTCATTGCAAGCCTCACTCCCATCTGACAGTGATGCCTCGCCTCGACACTCTTCTCATCTTGCTTCGTTATTAAGAGCCAAGGAACCAGAAGCCTTAGCCCCGCTTCGGCATCCTGGTCTGACTCTGGCGTTGCCTCGAGAGAGCACAGCGCCTCGACGCAGTGGTCGATACTCCTGACGCCGGTGCTGAGCCAATGGAACCAAGGGGTTCCCAAACAGAGCTCCGGGTCCAAGATGATTAAGCGCACGCCCATCCCGTTCTGCAGAAATCCTTGCTTGTGCTTTGTCGTAATGTCGTCCGTCCCTCCGGCCAGCGAAAAGTACTCTCCTCCGGACAAGGACGTCGGGATGCAGATGAGAGGGATTGTAGGAGGTTTCACACCCGTTTTGGGCGTCTTGGCTTCGATAGAGTACCCGGCCAGATCTTTGGGGTCGGTTATGTTATTCGCAAGAGCCTACTCAGTCAGTTCAGTCAGTTCAGATATGTTCTAGAGAGAGAGAGCAGAGGTAAGCGTCTTCTCACCAGAACAACGATCTTTGCGCCATCGGTTAAACTCCCTGCCCCTAAAGTCACAATACAATCTGCATTTCCAGCCCGTGCTTCGCTTGCAATCTCAATGATCTGGGTCCACGGCGTATGAGGACGCATCCCCTTCTTCACGCCTACTATTTCCACCTCCTTCTCTTTCAATGCTTCGATCAGCAGGTCCAAACGATCGGTCTCCCGTGACAGCGTTCCGGAGGCGATGATATAGACACGAGAGCATTTGAAGGTTTCGGTAACGTGCTTTGCGCAGGCTTCTCTGTAAGGGAGTCCGTAGGAGAAGTAGGGGGATACCAACGAGCTCGTTTCTGCCGTCCCAGATACTTTGCTGGATGGAGGTTCGTCGAAAGCTGCTTTGTAGGTTTCTGTAGAGGACATTTTGTTGTGTTGTCAGTTTCCTTATGTTGGTTGTGCTCGGGGAGGCGAAGGTGGACGTCTGAGTCAAAAATTACACGGACAGAGAAGATTATTAGGGAGGTTTAGAGAAGGTGGGGAGGATTGGAGAAGATTTCCCTACTCCCCCACCACCAAAGGTGGCTAATGGATCAGACTTACCAGGGACTCTTTTCACAGCTAGAGTTGCTCAGCTCAAGGCAGAATCTTGCCGAGGGTGGCGTCTCCCCACTCTTGGTGAGTACTGGAACCGCGATCACAATGCTAAGCGCCTAAGACTGTACCATGGACTTGGACCTGGAAATGGCGGCACGACCTCAACATCGTACTCACGATGGCCAAATGTTAGGTCAGACGCGGGGCGGCCTTGCGGGGAAGTGGGGAGCTACAAGCATGTTCCCAGCATATTTGGAACCCCGCACTTGCACCCGACCCATCCGAGAACATACGCTTTTCATCCTCATTCACATTGCGTCGGCAGTATCGTCTTTCGTGTATATGTGCGAGGGGTAGTCCCCCGCAACTGACCAAGGTCCCGATGACAAAACTCTCCCCCCACGCGAGGCGATGATTGCGATGATGGACCCAGAAATGCCAGTATCTCGGTCTTCAGATGGCCCCGACCGTCCAAGGAAGGGACGCTCAGCACCGCGCAGCCGCAATGGGTGCTTGATGTGCAAACAGAGGCGGGTGAGATGCGACGAACGCCGTCCAGTTTGTGGTCACTGTACACGTCTTGAACTGGAATGCATCTTCCGAAAACGGGCAGGTCGCAGCCGGACAACTTCGACACTTGGATCCATCGATCCACAAAGCCATCAACTATCCATAGATGGCGATTTCAATGGAGCTAGGGAGGTGATAGCAACACCTAACCCTTCTCCTGTAGGCGAAGCTGTTTATGGTCTCGAAAGGGAAAGGGCCAGAGACGAGCCCCTGACTGCTAGCCGAGAACAGCAGCACATTGCCCACGCCTTCCCTTTGAATGGATCTCTGCGACATTCCTTCACGACAAGTCCTCAGTTACTTAGACCCGCCTCTACTAACAATGTCCTGAACTCGAATCTTGCCTCGAGGACATACCCCAGAGACCCGTGTGAGGCATATTATGGCTGGCAAACACCCACCGCCCCCGAAGATAACTACGACTTCTCCTTAGATCGCACTTTCGATCCTCCAAACGGGCAAGACTCGTTGGGAACTTTCACTTTTTCCGATATCCAATCAACTGCTACGAACTGGAGTCAAGACTTCAACGCCAACCCGTCCCTGCAGGCACCCCGAGACGAGAATGGCGTTGTTCAAGCAGCTGCTCAAATTGAATGGCCACTCTCAGTCGGCAGCCTTCTTGAAACAAGTCTTTCCCAAAAACGTCCGGAGTCCTCACTAGCGAATTTTCGAATAGAAAGCAATGATATTGATTTCAGTCCAGGCTCGGATTACATGAAGAGTCAACGTTCGAACTTCTTGCTCAGCTATTTCCGAAAGATTACTCAGCCGCCTGCCTCAATACTCATCACCGGGGTCAGGAAATGGCGTCGACTGCAGAAACACTTCACGAAGCTGAGCCACCAGCACCGCGTAGTAGCGAGCGCGCTGTTTGCCATAATTGAGCTTCTCGCCAAAGATGACCAATCAGTCAGTCGAGCAGATACAATCGGCAGTTTGAAGTCGATGGGTCCCGCCTTAAAGTTACACGAGGCTGCTAGGAAAGAAGTTGAGGTGATGATGTCCAAAGAATGGCAAAAGGCATCATCGGCTCGAGACGCGCTCTTGGCGTCGATCTTTCTCCTGGCATGGTTTGAAGTCGTGAGAGATCAGGTACATGATCAAAAGCTATTTCCGGGAGAGTTGGCAGAGAAAATCATCACCAGTAGTGGACCGTGGAACCGCTACTCGAGGCAACTACTGCAATGGCTCAACACTCTGGATAGCAAAGCTTCTCACTTGGGAGGCCAGCATCTCCTTTCACAGAGAGCTTTGCAGGTGGTCTCAGAACACCACACCCAGATTAATGCCGACGACAGCAGCGACGAGAAGCCTTCCGATGACGAGCGAACCAACAACTCGGTCTTTACGCCACAAGATCAGAACTCTTCTCCCTCCACAACAGACCTCAGCAGCGGTTCACCTCAATCCTCAACCGCCACCTCATCCTTGGTCCCCAGCACCAACAACGGTCTCAGAAGCCTCCGCCAAATGAAAACAGTGCTCCTGAATACCGTCCTCCAGCCCGCACTCGACTGGTACCAAAGCACGCAAGCCTACTGCCGCCACATCAGTTCCCACGACCGACACCACCGCTCCCGCTTTACCGTAAAAGACGAATACGAGGTCGTGATCGCGTGCAAGCAACTCGAACTCTCACTTCTTCACCTCTGGCGACAGCGTCCACAAATCATCCGCCTCTCGTCCACTCAGCTCCGCGAAATCGTATGCGCTGATGTAGCTTCGAGACTTGAAGCGATATTTAGTTTGTATATGGCGAGTTTTTGGGTCTTATTCGTGTACTTGCATCGGGTTGTGTGGTGGCATCTTCCGCATTCCGAGGCGGCGGAGCACGCGCTGCAGGAGACTTGGAGGCATTTGCAGCGCAGCTTCGGCGAGGTGGTTGAAGGCGGAGGGGAGAAGAAGGTTGTTCATCCTGCGCTGCTGTGGCCGTTGTTTATGTTTGGTTCCGAGTGTGAGGATGCGGAGAGGAGGAAATGGGCGGTGGAGCAGCTATTGGCGTTGGGGAATGCGAGTGCGATTGTGGGCTATGATGAGGAAGGTGAGTCATTGCCACCGTTTCGGCTGAGTTTGGGAGCGACGAGGAATGCGAAGAGGGCGGCGGTGCTGTTGGAGGAGTTGATTGAGAGGCAGAGTGCGAGGAAATGTAGGGTCGATGATAAAGAGCTCTCTATGGAGTTGTTTGGGTGTCATTTCTCTATTATCTAGCTTTTGGGAGAGGGTTGCGATCATGTCTCAGCTGGGGAACCTTCAGAAAAGGGGGCTCGCTTAAGGAGTGCGCGCTTAAGCGAGCCATACAGAACATCAGTTGAATTCAGGCTGCCCTAGTCTAAGCACAATCAACAACCTTTCATAAATATGCTAAGCCGGAATTGCGGGATCGATATAAACTACTAGGACAGCACCCTACGCGCACTTGAGGAGGGAATATCTTGGTTTTTGGACCCGGTCTCAAGTGAGAGAAGTGAGAGAGAACATCAAAAGAAGCATCCCGAGGCAGAGTAGACAATACGATTCTAGCAATACATTCTCTTACGCCGGTGGGGGCGGGCTGCGATCTCCCATCCTTGCTTGTCTTTGAGTCCTGACTATGCGGCTGATGTGGTGCTTGGCTCTACGCTTGGCAATGGCTGCAATTTGTTGTAACTCCAAGCAGTTTTCTCAAGCCCGACCATGGCCATACAGCCTCGGTATCTTGACGGATCGAAAGTTCACAGTAGCGTCACTGGTACAAACTTCCTGAAATTTGTAGAGACTGTACATTGTTCCTTCCTTTCCCAACTTAATATATTCACATCCGAGGCCATGACAATACCTATTGAGGGGACGGGATTTCACTCTGCTTTAAGACACTCCAAGTAACTTCCGGCCAGAATCCAAATAGTATGAATCTTATTTTTTTGTTCCCAATCGAGGTAAATTTTGTCTGCTTCCTTTTCGTCACGAGTAAGAAAGCCAAGTAACCCTGTGACACACGGTTTGAGTGTCACATCAATTCTTTCATAGGCCAGCACTTTGCAAACACAGTAGGGGTCTAGCCTTGCAGATTGTATTCATACATAAGGAAGCCGCATTTCTCTACCGGCTCTTCTTTTATTCTGTTAGTTCTACACAGATATCCACAATGGGTCGACTTGCCACGCTCAACAATGCTCTCCTCCGCAACAGCATGACTCCTGTACAATTCAAAATTGGTGAATCCTCCTCCCGAAATGGCGGCTTTGAAATTTTTGTCACAGAGCATATCCCAGCTGCCGAGAATTTATTCTGCAGGAAACAAATGGCCTGCTAAACACCTGCGATAATTGCTTCGCGTCCTTAGGGGAGTAAGGGTCGGCCCTAAAGGTCGTATAAGAGTTCCTGCAGATCCAGAGTAGAATCTCGTCAGATGCAGTGGCTGCAAAGTTGTGAAAGATTGTTCAAAGGTAAGTGGCAGGCTTGCTTATCCTGGCTGAGGTGTGTCTTGACCCACCTTCTATAATATCGAAGTTAATCAACGCTGTCACACTTGCCAAAAGGATGCGTGGAAGCACCACCACCCAGCCGAATGCAAAATCCTTGACGAGTAAAAAGCTCCAATGAATTTCTCCGAGCTAATATCCGCTTACTCCTGAATCGACGCGCTGGCATTATTGGTGAGGGGGAATGGTCTGGTTTTATCAGCTTACAGGCACAAATGGAGGAATAAGTCGAGGAAGGCGATCGACTGGAAAGGGTGGTGTCTGAAACTGAGAGTTGAAAGACTGGAATGAATCGGTTGCGTTGTTGAAGGAAACATATTGCTGCGTTTATCAAGTTATCAGCTGTATAGCTTTAGACTGATAGAATTCTAGGTAAAGCTCAATCACATAGCCATCCACTCTCTGGGGCAGGAGTATCTTGGAGTCGACTTTGATCTTCTCCAATCCTTGATTAACAATTCTTGCAAGCCTAATGTACGCTACTTTTTCGAAGGTTCTGAGATTCGAGTTCGGTCATTGAGGCCGATCTCTGCGGGAGACGAGATCACAATATCGTCCGTCAATGGCAATGACGGAAAACACGTGAGACAAGGTCTACTGAAGTCTTTGTGGTTCTGCGGCCGTCGTTGTAGGTAGTCCTCGAGTTTGTTCCCGTGTTCTTGTTTTGTGTTTGGATAACACAGAAAATTAAATCTTTAACTTGCAGGCGTAAGGTGTTTAAGTGGAGGGAATGGAAGCGATTCTCGCACTCTACATGAAAGCTACACAGCAGAATCTATGCGCGAAATGTAGGCCTGGTTTCCTTGTTTGAATTCCGTTATCCAGAGAGAACCGAGTTGGCGATGTTGAAAATTTGTATTCGTTGGCAAAGGCTGGCCAGCTTTTATGCAACGTTTCCCATCCCTACATAGCAATCTCGCGATAGGCTATCATTCAAAGCAAAGCCACGCTCGAGAGGCTCTCTATTTACTCCATTTCTTTTTTTGTGAGCGACCATGTGTAGTGCCCTAGCCGGGTTTACCTTGCACGTATATGTAACCTGTTTTTGCTCACCATTTCCTTACACAAACTCGCCAAGGATAGCTCCTCTACTGTGCCTGAATTGTCTATACAGAACTTTGAGACAATGATGGTATATAAAATATTGCATGACGAAAGCTACGAAAGGCGCTCAGCAAGATGTGGGAAGCTCTCAATGCACAATTGGTAGGGGAGGCTACATTTGCTGGTGATCCAAAGACCGCTCTCATTTTGATGAGCAGCCAACAGTTCCAGGAAACATATGAGAAACATTTGGAGAAATTGTTAGCCTGGGCTGGGATTGACGTATCTTATGCGAGGGCGTTGATTGATTGAAGTCAGGATTGCACGCGGTGTGGTGTTACTTACAAAGTAGTATCAAAGTCTTCAGTTTAATTTACCTTGTAAACTACGCTCTTCAGGCAATTAGCAAACTTTAGGTCGGGAAAGGTATACTACATATCCTCCCCCATACCCCCTTCAACAATCAGGCACGAGAATGGAACAGAACCATACTCTCAGCTCGCCTCAGTTCCTTACTTCCGAATCAATTCACCACTTAAACCTTAAAGGGTGGGCCGCTTTAGTCGCGACGTTAAGTTCGACTATTACTTCACAACTAATAGGATAGACTCTCTAAAAGTCACAAAAGCCATACTTTGGTTCCTTTTCGTTTCACCCAAGCCTACCGTATTAAAAAAAAACTTCAGTGAGAGGATATCTATTACTCACCGCTCTAATCTGGCAAACGCAATGGCCTGCATAACTCGGTCCCAGATAGAGTCTTTGTAGTACGTCCCTTCCATTTGAGATTAACTTTGTAGTCCTCGTATTCGTATTCGTAACTTTGCCTGCAACTTTTGGAACGGCCACAATGTGTCATCCTGCCCCCCCCACCCTCCCCCCAACTACTCCTTTCCACTCTCTATTTCTCGAACGTGACCTTACCGGAAAACACTCTACAAGGGGTGCACCAGAACACACGCTCTGGGTCCCAGCCCTTCACCAACCTCCATCCGCTGCTACATACTTTGCAGTATCTTTGTTGCACATATCAGCCAAGCTTCGAATTCCCTAGTTTTCGCGCCCCTTTACCCAACCTCTTGCCGGAGAGACAGGGCAGGGCTCATCAGCGGCCAAGTAATGTTGTTCTATATCACGTGACCCACTTTCTCAAGAGAAATGATAAGGTACAAAAGACCACAGGCAAAGATAAAGGGGAAGATGTCAACTATTCCATACGGATTGCGTATCTTAAGGGACATCCGCGCTCATTCAAAGATGTCTAATCTTCTAAGTGTGGAGGATGATCCGAGGATCGGAAAAAGGTGATTTGATGTGTGATTTAAGCTTATTTGGTAGCACTGCAATTTTAGCGTCTACGAAGGCGAAAACACCCTTGCATGCAAGTTCCACCCTCCAACCCAAATCCCGAGCTAACTTTGGCGGGATAGAGGAAAAGGAAGGGGAAGAGAGGGAGGATCCGAGTCACGTGCAGATCGACAGGCACGTTACCTGCTCCAACCTTGGTAAATTACTTACGTTCCAAGGAACAGGTGGAGCAATAAGCTTATCGGGTCACCTTCTCACTCAGGAAGGATCCGTGAGCAATCGAGGATCAATCCATGGGCATATCGCCCGTCACCCCGGCCCCCCTCCCCTCACTTATCATGTTCTTCACACCTCACAGGAGTAGCGAAGGAGAGACAAGGCACAAGTCAAGCATGGAGAAGATAGTGATGTAACAGAGTGGTATCATTCATAACTCACACAGTCAATACATTATGCAGCCAGCTGCCTTTGCTTTTACACCTCTTGCAAGGTTTGAACGGTTTGGTATACGCAAGAAAGATCGCTCAAATCGCTCACTCGCTTGCCTACTTCCGAAACAACATCAAAAGTAAAAATAGGGTAAAGATAAATGTCTTGGTGGTGGACGAATAAAAATAGACGTAGGCACCGAAAGGAGAAGGTACAGTCCTCGTATCCATCGCCAGCTGGACAAGTCGATGGATGAAACGCATCCATCCGTGTCGGCGTCGAACGTTGCGTTACGTTGCGTTGCGCAGTGCATGCATCCTCAATAACCAAGGCAACTCAGCTCCGCTCCTCTCCATCCATCCATCCGCCCTCCCGCAGTGGAACGGGATTCTCCGTCGGAACCATTCTCCCTCCCCCAGCATGTGTTGTTGCAGCGCATCCCAAGCCCCACCAAGTGGGATGACGTCATTGAGGGTTGACGAAGATGCAGCCCGGCCAATAGCGGGACGCCAACTCCCGCCCTATTTTTCGCGCCCGAAACGGCCCTTTGGCTTTCCTCCAATGGGGTGGAGGAGAGGAAAACCAATTGGAGGAGGAGGTTGGAGGTGGCGAAGTGTGCCGGGAGATGAGTGGAGCTTGGCGTTTTGGTCTGCAGGCAACCTGCAGGAGGGTGCATGTGGGTGGGATTTCTGAGGAGGAGTGCAGAATCGCATCTGCTGTTTGTTGTGTTCGTGGTATTGGTGGGATGGTGGAGATGCAGATTCGCATCTGCTGGTGCGTTTTCGATGTCGCCATTTCGGGAGGTGTGATGGTCCAGGCTGTTCGTGGTGGGATGATGAAGTGAGATGTTGGAGCTGGCTTTCGCACAACTCGTTCGAGTGCAGTTCGATCCCTTGGTGCCGGTGTCGTCAATCTTTGTGTTGGTGGATTTTCGTATCGTAGAGGAAGTGACATCGAAATTGAAGAAAAGAAGAAACCCTTCAGACTTTCTCCCCTCTGTGGTCGTGTATTCCACTTTCCAGTGCTGTAATTCCTGTGCCCTTTTCTCCCCTCATTTATATCCTACCATCCTCGCGCAGCGGTCACAATAGTAAAGGTTATGACCGAATCGAACCATGCCGCTGGCACTCGCATCATCCGTGCTGATTTTCCTCAAATCTCCATCTGCTGCTCGGGAACTGGTGACGGTCTCCACGCACTTGGCACACCGTGAGCAGCGCATGACTTCAACCCGTGGTTGGGCCTGGTCCATGGAATAGTGTTGTTGCTGGGCGGGATCGTAGTAGTTGTAGTTGGAGGAGGAAGAGGAGGAGTAGGAGGAGCCGTATGAGGAAGAGCCGGACGAGGTCTCAGAGGAGGTGGAAGTCCGTTGGGCGTAGTTGGGCGTTGTTTGCGGTTGTGGTCTGTGTGAATGATGGGAGGAGGAAGATTTGTGATGATGAGAGTGCGAGGAGCGATGAGGAGAGCTAGAGCGAGAGCCATGCGCGGCCTCAGTCTGGAGTTGGAAGAATCGGTGGGACATCGTGACTTTCTCTGCGTACACACAACCAAAACCTCAAGATCGAGACTGGTCTAGATTGTGGAGGTGAGATTGTTGCTGGAACCTTCAATCGATCGATCAGAAGAATTGAGGATGCTGGACTTTATCCAGAGAACAGAGAGGAGGGAGGAGACTGCCAAATGTCGTGTCGTATGTTGCTCGCAATCACGGTTTAGACGTGTTTCTGCCGCTGCAACTCTTGGTTGGCGTGCAGCGCAGACACCGGGGCTGAGGCCCAACGTCCGATGCACAATTCAGAATTCGATCAGAGGAGCGAGGAACCCTTGATTCAGCCAATCTGAAGGCTGATCTTGCCCTGATTAGGTACTCGGCAATGCGAGGTGAGGTAACCGGGATGCGATCGTCAACTGTTAGTGGTGGGACGGCGCTGAGAGGGGACCAAGGAGGAAAGTCCTAATTTCGAGATAAGGGGAAGTGTTTTGGAGAGTGAGGAGAGTGAAGAGGATATAATTGGTGGTGGTTGGTTGTATCTTGTATGTCTGGGGGAGTCGGCGGTGATGTCGTGTATGCACCTGCGGGAGCAGCAGTGCCTCAGTGCCTTCGTGGCTTGTGACCACAACGTTGACGGTGGTCTCAGGATCCTATTTTGAGCACGGACTCTCGTATGGACTTTCGCACGGACTTTCTGGATACAGAAGTTCGAGCAGATATGCCTCAAGTGGGAGGACATGCAGATATAAGAATTGCATCCCGGCGTGAAGCTGACTAGGCCGCGCAGTCTAGTCCAGTCATCACTAGCCCTGATCGTGCAGCCCTCGATCCGCGACGCCGAGAGATCAGAACACACTTCAGATGGATGCCGCGGGACTCTCCTGAGCCACGAGACTCGCAAGCCCCAAGCAAAAACTCGAGTCTTTGCCCAAGGCTTGGGAGTTAATTGTCCAGTCACAAATGCCGCAGCCTAGGTTTGCCTCCCAGGGGCTCCAATCAATGCCCATCCGCGCCCGAGAGAACACTGAGCCCCGTCTGGCCCGATTAACCGTTACGCTGCGACGTCTCGATCGAGCTGCTGCTGCTCCCGAACGCGTATTCTTTCTAACGGGCGCCTTGCGCAAACCTTGCTGCGCTTCTGCGGGACTCGGCAGGGAAGCGTCGATGAGGACTGTCCAGGGAGGGGGCCTTGCGATCATGATAAGAGATCTTCACAGATGACAGGTTTCAGTGTGGGCGTTGCGCGTGGAGACACAAGGTTGATCGAATGAAACGAAACAGGCCGTACGCAAATCGTACTGTACGATGTTTATTATTGAATAGAGTGTGTGTTGCGTTGTGAACTTGTGTTGTGTCCACACATGCAAAGTCAGCATTGGTATGCGTCCAAGACACGGCCACGCCGCCGATAACAAAGCAGCCAGCTGCCTGTTCTCCAACAAAACACCCCTTTTGCTTCCGCAATGCCCGTTTATGACCACGTCTACCGTGCAGTAGGGTCGTATCTAAATTGGGCCTGGTTGTCACGAATGGGGATCGCGTGCCTCGCATCCGACTCGCGCTTCGATCGGATCTGGGAATCTTCCGCCTGTACCGAGCCCGGACCGGAATATTCCCCTGAGACCCGAGGTCATCCATCTGCTTCTGAAACCTTTCCATGTCCGCTACGATGACTCAGTTCTCAACCTCCTTTTCTGCGCTGCCTTTTGGAGGTCGAGTATCTCTCATCCGATCTCCCGAGGTTGGCGTTCATGGAAACGTTCTGGTGATCCACTCAGCAGGCTAAAAAGCCACTGAGGCAGCCTCCCGCTCAGAGGAACGCCTCTCTACGCCACGACGACGCCGAAGGTTTCTTGTGCACCGTTTATTACTCGATGCAAACCTTCTTCTAAGCAACAGGTTGTCGGCCGCCGACTTGGAGAGTTCAACTCCAGTGAAATTGCCGAAAGGCTCTTTGATGGAAACAGGCTGCCGTCGAAGATTGCCGATTTTCCTTTACTTTCAGGTGCGGAAGGGCAGGACAGGGGAGAAAAAGTTTGATAAGTCGTGACCGTCAAACCGTCATGCTTTTCCCACGGAGCGCATGTGGGTCAGAACTCCAGAGATCATTGTTTGGGAGGGACCAATGAGACGGATTTGCGAGGTTTTCGTTCCTCGAGTAAAACTTCCGCGTCCTCCAAGCGGCTCAAAAGCTTGGTCAGGCCAGGCTGTTCTCGTCCCCACACATGCCTCTACTGCGCAGGTTCGGACATATCTTTATCGCCATTTTCCGTTGAGAAGAGTATCGTCATCGCTTTCCCAATAATACTAATTTTTCAATTGAAGAAGAGAGAAAAATAAGAGTTCGTCATCAAGTTAGTACTGAGTTGCAGAGTGATAAGTATGCAGATCTATCAATCCGATCCCGAGACATATTAATGACCTGCTCTGAAGATCTGAAGGGGAAGACCTGATCTGGGCGATCCCCCTCTGACTCCAATCCCTAGTCTCTGCCTAAATCATATCTTATCTCTGTTTCGTATCGCTTGCCAAGGGATAACTGCAGCCGTTTGTGTGCATGGACCTGTGCTCAAGTCATATCGTATCTCACATGCGAAACTGAAAATCCATGTGCAGTTGGCAGGAAGCACACTCGTCATGGGTATTGCTCAGTCGCAACAATTTCTTCATCTGAGAACACTCCATACCCCAGATCTGTGCCAAAATGTGCCTCGTCGCCTTGATCTGATCACCCACCCCCACCCTCCGTGCTCTTCTGGATTCTGGCGGACGAGAGACGTCAAGTCAAGTATCAAGACATGGCGACTCTTGGCTCTGGCTTGGGATTTTGCACTGTCAACGCCAAGAGCTTGGCCCTCCTCTCCGATCTTAAACTGACTTTGTAAACTTTAAAAGGGCTGCTTGACTTGAATCGGAGAGTTTTGGGTTCATGGCGTGGCAGGCAACCTGAAGGATGGTGGTTCCATTGCCTGCGTTCAAACCCTGTCACCTCGGATGTCGTCCGGTAAGGCACGTCCAAAGTCAATAGAAAGCTAAGTTTAGACGCACAGGATGCGTGGTGCACATCCGGGTCTACTTACCATCTGAGCTTTCCGTTCAGAGCAATCACGATTTAGAGGCCCATATTGACCTTGCCATCGCTCGCTCGCGCTCGACTACATTTAAACTTTTAACGTCCCTAATCTAATTCTTCCAAATCTTAAAATGCAAAGCTACTATCCAGTGCCGGCACTATGACCGGCACTTCCTTCACCACCAAGCTTTCACTCGGAAAACTCCCTCTGTTCCAATTATCGACGGCCCCATCCGCTCCCATTCAACCCTAAGCAAGCAATACCCAAACGTATTTCGGCATTAAATTGGAATGGATGGGATTTGTTTGTTTAGATTAGAATCGAATTCACTCCGCACAGATAGATGAACGGTATAGGAGTTGGTGTATTGGATCATGAGATCCATGGCTGTCGATCTCGCTAGAATATTGATATTTATGATGGAGCTCAGAGCCCAACCACGGCTCTCAAAGTTGGAAAGTGATTAATCCAAGGCTCAAAAGAAGGGCTTGACGAAGTGGCCAGCCCTATTCCCGGGATCTGGATTTGACGGGGTTCGGATTTACTTCTCGGGTCGGTGAGGTTCGAAGGGGTTCTCTTCCGCTCCTCCCTCCTGCTCCTCTGCAACATCCCGACTCCCAAACCCCAAACCCCAAACCCCAGCGCCTGGAGCCTAGAGCCCCTCTATTTTGCCGTCCCTCGAAATTATTTCTTGAGGCTCACTGTTCTTCAGATCCATAGGCGACGAGAGACAGACGGTTGCAGTGTTCTAGGCAAACGGATCGGCAGCACTAGCGGGAGCTAGAACGTTCTTTACCTTGAATCAAGGAAGTTCACTCGGAATGCTTGCCGAGGAAGCCCTGGTTCCTGATTATTATTCACTGCGGAAGAAAAGTTGGTTGGTTGGTGGGGAGAAAGGTCCAGGTCATGCACAGTGACGAAGATGGTCCACGCTCCTGGATAGAACTCAATGCCACTTAATAGTGCCTCGGTAGATGAAGAAGGACAGAGCATACTATTCTCCAGATATCTTACCAGGCTTATTGGGATAAAACCTGGATTGGCTGGAGAGAGGGAGGTGGAGTCGATGCACGATGACGCCCAGGAACGGTAAGGATGCATAAAAAGGTCTCTTGGAGTCCAGAATATTCAGAAGTGGAGTGGGATGGGGTGTTCTCTTGGCCGGGCATGAGGCGAAAGGATCAGTGGTGACGAGGTTGAGAGATATAGAGACATCACGATGCATGAGCAAGAAGTGGGACAGCATAAGGGGGATAAATGCATGTTCCCACGGAGTCTAGAACGACGAGGATGTACTCTGTGGTGCGTTGCGAAGTAAACGAGTGGAGAGGGGATCGAGAAGGATGGAGGACGTATTGTTTAAGGTCTCGTGGATCTGGAACAGCTTACCTGCTCAACTGTTTGAGCGGGCGTTTTTCGAGCAACTCGCCCCGGAGGCATTTGATAGACAAAGTACTCACACCAAAGCACGCGAAGGAAAAAGACGGAAAAGTCAAGGTGTTCAACTTTTATTTATCAACTCCTCTCTGCTTGCTTGCTTCGCTCGCTCCGCCCGCGAAGAACAAAGGTTGTATGTATGCACATACTCTTAACACCCACAACTCCGTTCGAAAGCAAATACAAAGAATATCTATACAATAATCGAGTCAAGTTCGCTCGGTATCATCTCCTTTCCACTTCTCTCGACCCCATCAATCAATCCAGATGAATCCAGCATCTCATCTCATCTCATCTCATCACTCTCCATGCGTCAGTTCTTAGTAGATCTCGCCCCGCAGCTCACCAGATATGAGCGAAAAGGAAATATGTAGCCGCCCAATCACGGCCGGGGAATCTGTAACCTTACTGCAACTCAACAAAAACATGAACAAGAAAACGCAATTTGATTGCCAAAAAGGGAGTCGTAATTCATAACAAGAAAGGCAAGCTGGCAAAAAGAAAAGCGCTCCCTCAGCTCAAAAATCAGGCAAAAGGAAAAAGTCTGTAAGCAATGTACTGTTTATTTATTCCCTCTCTCTCCAGGGCTAGCCTAGATTTTCGCGGATCAGAGAAGGAAAGGGGAATCGTTCGCCCAACGCCGTGGATAGAATGTACAAATGAAAGGTCCTCGATGCAGAGCATCACATCACCACGCAGCAGCAACCGCCTTCTTTCTGCTTTTCGTTTTCGAGAGGCTCCTGTGTCCTGATCGGGGGCTTGGGGCTTGGCAGCGGTCCCACACCTTGCGTACTACCGGATATCTTCGGCATCGTTGAGTAGCCCCCTGAGGTTCCGGGCCGTCCTGAGCTCAGGGCTGGGGATTTCGGCGCTCGTAACGGCCATTCTGAGGGATGTTCTTCTTCGGGTTGGTGTTCTTGTGGTTGGGCTGGTGGTTCTGGCGGTACGTGGAAACCTTCGTCACTCAGAGGGCGGAAGGAGGTATCGTATACGTTCCCGAACTTCCCTTCCTTTTCCCATTGTTCTTGTTGTAAACGTTTGGCGACTGTGGGGAGCAGCTGTTGGTCAGGAGGCAGTCGAGGATCGGGCTTGTACATTGAATTTATCCACGGAGGATCTCCTTCTGGCCGCTTCACACTATTGCTCTGTCCCAGCTCTCCGGATCGCGTTGGTGGTCGTTGAGCGGAGGAGGTATCTCGTGTTGCACCGGCTTTTGGCTTGGGCCTTTGTTGGGGTGTTGATGCTGCCCGAGTGCCTTTCTTTCCAGGGGTCTTCTTCGTAGGAGAATTCTCGGGGACTAATCGTTTGGCTGGTGTTGGAGTGGCTGTTGCATCTTCCAGAACCTTGATGCTTTGGCTCCGCCCGCGAGATTTGGGATATGATATCGCTTCATCCTCGCCCGTCCATCCCCCACTCTGCTTTCTAATTATAGGCGTATCTCGTTCGAGATGTTGCATAGGTATTGGAAGAGGACTCGTTTTGCAGACCGGTATCCTTGACACTCCTTTCACCCCTCCACTAATATCCCGGTATATGTCCCCCTGGTCATCAGCAACCTCCTCCGGTAATCGTAGATCCCATGCATTATTTTCAGGGGCTTCCTCTTCCTCGGTGGGAAATGATCCTACAGGCTGCCGTTTTTGTGCTTGCTCGCTTCTGATACCATTGCCCTGCTGATCTCGACTATGCTCTCGGCGGCTCGATTTGCTCGCTGCTCGTGCTCGAGGCAGTATGATTCCCGCAGCCTGGAGCTCCTGGCTCTCTATGCGCGCAAGTTTATCCCGGTGGATCCACCTTGAATGTTCTGGGTCCTCATCGTCATCAAACACATCGCCGTTCGATGGTTTCCGCTCCCCATAATCCATGCTGCTGATTCCACTCCTATTCGGCCCATACAGATCTAACAAACTGTCCGGCGCACTTCCCGTTTCGCTAATACTGCTATCCTTGCGAGTCAGCGCATTTATCCGAGCTGGCGCTAGATATCCAGAGTCTGCAGAGCGTGTCGAATTGTATGTGTCGTTTCGTCGTTGGGATAAATCGGGACGGGAGTTTTGGTGACCCAGCGAGTGACCGTTTGTTGTGTGAGATAGGGGAGGTTTGCTCGAATTGTTGAGTTTCGTTTGAGAGAGGTTCTGTTAGGGCAGGTCAGTACTGCAATCAGGTGGAAGGATTCACCATGTCATCCAGATAACTCACCTCTGTTTGCGTGGGCACGGAATAGTTCCATGTGTTCGACGTCCCATGCGAGCTGCTCGGGGGGGTCAGAGCAGTTGGGGCTTGCGGCGCGGAGACCGCAGCCATCTTGCCCTCTGGTGCTCGAGATCAATGCAGGCGGAGTTGTGAGGTTGCTGACGTTCTGGAGAATGGACAATAGCGAGGTCTGCTGCAAACGAGCGTCGGTGTTCTTGCACTAGGCTATCGGTGATATTGGACTGTCTCGCACACTCCCAACAATCCCCGAGACCCGGCAGGCTGGCAGAGCGCAGTGATCGAGTTCTCTTGTATCCTCGAGACGCGGTGGCAGCACAGGCCGTTCTCCAAGACCGTCAGCGAGCAATTGACAAAGATGGCTGGTGGCTAGCGGTTGAATGAGTGGACGTGCGCTGCGGGCCTAGGCCGACGCGACGGTAGGGCAATTGGCAGGAGTGAGGGAGGCGGACGGAATAGCCGTGTCTGGATGGGCGTGCTATATGCGAATCGCGAGATGAGCGACTGTTCGTTGGGGTGGAGAGACGTCGTCGTCCGTATTTCTCGTCGCCGTTGCTGGAAAAGGGGAGCTCTGGATGGCGTTGGTAAGGTCAGCGGCCAATAAAACGGGGGGCTGAAGCCGAGCAAAAGGAGACGAATCACAGCGTCCTGCAGCCTCGACCAGCATTCAGCCTTTCAACCACCGCAATTGTCCAGATGGATTCCTCTGATATCTTCAGACACACCGAATCTGTGCGAGGGTTCAAAACACAACCCTGAGGAGCAGGAGCTCATGTTTCAAACGAGGGAGCAGAGATTTTCTCTTCTTCGGCGATGACACTGTGATCGAGGGTGGGTTAGGACCAAGGCAGGTGGGCATCGGTGGTCACTTCCCTTCGAGAGAATGGCTACATCTCTTCTTTCCTGAGCTTTTCATCTTCTCTTCAAAAGCCATCTGCAGCGATGGCAGACGCGTTGCCTACCGTGCGCAAGACGCGCTTCGTCTGCGTGTCCGATACCCATAATGCGACCCCCAATGGCTCTTTCAAGCTCCCCAAGGGCGATGTCCTCCTCCATGCCGGGGACTTGACGAATCAAGGAACCTTCTCTGAATTGAAGAAGACGATCAAATGGATAGAGGAGGCAGACTTCGAGGCAAAGATTGTCGTTGCTGGTGAGTGTGGAGGCATCCTTGACGAGCAGAGACTGACGCTTGGAGGCAATCATGATATTACACTCGACACCGATTTCTACAATCAATACGGAATGTACTTTCATAATCAAAATCCCGAAGATCCCGCTAAGTGTCAGGAACTGCTCGAGCAGGCGCCGTCGATCCTCTGGCTGAAGCACGAGCATGCAGTCATCAACCTCGTCTCGCCGTCTGGTCCGCAGACAACCTTCAAAATCTTTGGCTCTCCGTTCTCACCCACTCAAGGAATGTGGGCATTTGGTTACGGCCCGGACGAGGCATATCAATTATGGGACCAGATACCCCTAGATTCCGACATTGTCGTCACCCACACACCTCCAAAATATCACTGCGACGAGACAAGGGAGCGTCGGGCTGTGGGCTGCGAAGGTCTCAGGAATGCATTATGGCGAGTTAGAAGTCGTCTTGCTGTATGCGGACACGTCCATGAAGGCAGAGGCGTTGAATGTGTGCGCTGGGATCTTGATGCTTCGAACATCAAATACAAAGAGAGCAAAGTAATTGCCTGGGAAGATCCAGGACGGGAGAACAAGAAGCTATCGATAGTCGACCTTACGGCCAAAGGTGGAAATCCTTTGGATAATGATGGCTCTGTTGGGGACTATTCCCAACCGGACACGGCCACGATCAAGGTCGTGCGGGAACCGGTCCCTATCTTATCACCTCTCAAAGGTGGTGGTCTTGAAGCTCTCTCGACAAGCGCCAAGCCTTCAGCCAAACTCGGAGTGTCACGGATCACTGCGAACCTACTTGCCGTGCCAACCCAAACTCTACCGCCAGCAACACGCGGCCAAGGAGGAACACCTCCGTCAGAAAGATGTGATCTAGCTGCTTTGTCAGGCAGGATGGGCCGTCAAGAAACGTGTATCGTCAATGCTGCTATCATGGCCTCTAGTTGGCCTCGGAACGGGGCCAAGAAATTCAACAAGCCCATCGTGGTCGACATTGACTTGCCTGTTTGGAAGAAAGGTTGATATGCGTGCTACCCCCTTTGGAAGGAATCGTTTGCTATCAAGCGGCCCAGTGCTTTCTCGTCCGATGTTAGTTCCTTCACTCATTAAAGACTGCTCATTCCTCCAATTAGCGTCATTTCGTGCCTAAGCTTTCGTTGACAGGCCTGATCTAGTTACAATAGGAACTTGTCGAATGCATCGTCAATCCATCATTCAACTCCTGCCTCTCCACAGCCTCTTAGTCTTTTTCTGACCCCGGTCATGTGACGAGTCCTAACAATCTTCCCGCCCTTAAGGCAGCTGCTACAAAAAGTCCTTTCTACATGTTTACCAGCAACCAGACGATGCTTACCTTTCAGCATCTACCGCTCATTGCATGGCCACCTTCAGCTCTCCCTGGCCCTCCACATTGAAACCGCCATTGTTCCTCTAAGATTCTAGAGGAGAGGCCACCGCAGCCGATCTTGACCTCACCATGCACGCCCTACATTGGCTGTGGCTGCTACTTTCGAGCAAAGTTACCCTCGGGTCGCCCACCACTTCTGGTACGGAGGTTGGTGATTCCACACACTATGTGCTTGGCGTACAAAGAGGCATGAGTCCAGCGGAAGCTGTTCGATATTGGGAAAAGACTGGCGAATGCCATGCAGAATTTGTTCGGGCGAACGAGGCATATTGAAGGGTCGGCCTTCGGTGGGTGGTACGTGCAGTCTATGGCCGACATGGCTAAGAAGAATTCAAACGCGTACAAAAATTTGAACGAAATCTTGTTGTTTGCAGAACTCGCAGCCGGTATTGCTGACCTTAAGTGCACTATGACTACTAGAATCTGTCAATCTCAGGCAAGTTGCAAAGAAATCGTCAACTACATCCAAGCCCAGATCATCACCAAGGACGGTTATTGGTGTGCTTAAGAGCGACAACACAAATATTGAACTCCTTGACCTCGCAAGGGAACCTATCTTGCACTCGGGCCTTTTGCTGATAGATATAACGAGATACTTCCACGCACCTTACGTACGTGAGCATGCAGACGGTCTGCCTCATCACATAACCCGGCTAACATTGTACAGGAAGAACACAACACCGCCCAACTCGACCTCATTTCGGTAGCAAAATGAATTGTCGACGACTCCACTGGCAACGGTGAATGAATCGACATTGCCTGCATGTTTATTGTAAAGCTTTACCAATTGGCCTTCAGGCTGCTGAGTTCTCGATTTCTGGCGGCATGGCTGCTGGGAACGCTCTCTCAGGCCTCAGTAATATAGCCGTCTTCTACATCGAGGCTTTCAAAGCCACGACGGAGTTTGGAGCTGCAAGGGACGATATCCTAGCTGTTCACATGTACAGAAATACCCCTGATAGCCACGCTGGATATAGAATGACAAATTTGCCAGCGCGTGGATTGGAATTGTGTGCCAGTGTGGGAGGGAAACCCCCTGGTGTCTCGTCGGGTGGTGTGCCTGATGAGAAAGTCCGATACAATCACCGAGAGATCCAGAGCCACACCAAGGGGGTTTTCACGCATTCGAGGAGTGCTCTACAATAGTTCTATAGCAGTCTTATGCAAGGCAACCGCTCTGGTGACTGGTACCCACCAGGGTCACTTCTAAGTTCCTTCATGAGTCGGTCAGACGTGGCTTCTGCGATTGATAGTCTTGATCATAACTCGACTGCTTTGAAATGGAAGTCTAGTATCGACATTGAGCAAAGACAGGCAACTAGCGATTAAAAGGAATTTGACCCAAAGCTCTATTCGGGGCCTCATCTCAGGGGCCTGGGCCAGTCAAAGAAATACTATAAGAAATGCGCCCACAACGTGGAGAGAAGCACAAAGATCTGCAGTGCCAGGTCCAGCAGGCTCTGGTCATCTCACACCGAGAGTTGATACTACCCCGAAGATGCCTCCAACCGTGTGTGCCAAGTGCAATGCTTCACGTTACAGCCGCTCAAGAATTACGAGAAATTCCTGAATGTGAAGGACAAACTGGCCAGTGGAATCTTCCCTTGGAAGTTGTCATGAAGGCAACCTATGAGAGCTTCTTGAATCAGGGCAATAACTTTAAAGTCCCAACCGAGTGGTTGTACATCTTACCTGGGAGAACAATCTTAAGCGTGATCATGCCACGCTCACTTGGCCGACTTGAATTTCGCATCAAAGCCTCGGCTACCAAGCTCTTAGACGATCCTATGAATGGGGGGATGAACTGGTGGGGAAGCCAGCAATTTCCTTGTAGTTGAAGGACTGGAAGTCGAGCAGGATGAAGGAATTTATGTATGCATTGGGCTGGGCACCGGGTCAGAGGGACTTTACCACAGGCGCTGCGGGTGATCTATTAAATGATATCTGTAAGTGCTCTCCTCGTCTGGTTCTCTGCTCAGCATACTGTTCAGCACATCGCCCAACCCCTTTGACGTCTTTAAAACACCTGCGCAGTCGAACATCCCCGGTGCACTCACTGCCTTATAGGCGTTCGAGCAACCGAACATTTTGCTGACTGGGTTCCAGGCCCAGCTCAAATAAACAAGTGAGACAAGGTCTGTGCCATCCCGTGCCCTTCTGCTCGTTCTTCTCACTGTCAAAGGCTCAGCCTTTCGCGAAGTGCATTTTCGGTATTGGCCAAACTTCGCTCTTTCCCTTCTTAATCGTTCTATCTCTCTGAGCCCGCAAGATCTCAAGCCAACGAAATATTTCTGGCTACGGACTTATAAATACGCCGGTCTGGCATTCTTGAAGGCACAACAGCGCCGTACAGTAGCTCGAGTCTTAACCTTGCTGCAGAACCGAATAGATTCTTGGGTTATTGCTTCAGACTAGACAGCAACCTTCAACAAATAAACATCTAGCGGAGCCGCGAAGTTTCAGGGTGCGCCAGCTTTGGTGTGATAACGCAGATTCTGAAAGAAGTTGCTAATAATGAATAGAAGTCCTCCTTTGGCCGGTACTTCAAACTTTTTCCCTTCACGATGTTCAGAGAGACACTTCCACCAATAGAGCGAATGAGTTCCTCTTCCCTATATTGCCGCCTAGACATCGAATTTAAGCATCAGTCGCAGTCTATCCCCTTTTCTGAATGGCTATCCTTGTTAACGCTATGCTTCGCTCCACTCGTTGCACATGTCCTCGTCGGAGTTCCTGAACCGACTGTTTGCGGTAAACTCCCACTCCCTTGGCATGAAAGGATCTGCCATTTCAACCCTACGTCTATATTCTGGAGATACTTCGCAATTGTAGATCGACGTGCTCATGCTAGGAAATGGGATCGTCCTGATGATCTGGGTGCGGTTAATGCGACCTTCTGGGACGGAAACCGTTGGGATGGGTCCGTGGAGAAAATGGTCAGGATGAGAGGCAAGGCTACAAAGGAACCATCCTATCATCACATCTATGTATTCTCTGCATCTGCGGTTGGGACTCTCATTATCACTTTGCAAGGGATCCAAGCCATTTACGAGCTGATTGCCAACGCGACAGGCAGCGTATATGCCAGTGGACACCCTATCTCTAAGGTGTTCTTTCCGTTGGCTATTTTGGGTTTAGCCAGACTCCCTGCGGCTCCCTGGCTTACTGCAGAGTATAGATATCGCCAACACAAAGAGTCAGAACCTCTAGGCGAAGGGTATTCGGAGCCCCTACTTCCCCTGACCCCCCATATAGATACCAACCCCATCGCTGCTGGGTCCAACGTCCCATCTAATCAGTATTATCCTCAGAACTCATGGCGGGGTATTCTGCCCGGGTTATTCTAATGGGATTTCTAGTAGCGCTGATAGTGCTCAGTGTGTCAAATGAATAGAGTAAAATAGAATAATGGCCGTTACTCATATTCTATTCAAGTATAAACCCCGTTACTCATATTTTATTCATATATTACTCAAGTTATTCATGAATATTCATGAATAACTTGAATAACACACGTGATTATTACACGTGATATGGCTAGCCTAGTCAGGTAAGGCTCCTGGGAGGGGCCGTACCTAGTACCACCTTACTACCTAATCAGGTGGTAGTAGCACTTAGTAAGTAAATTGAACCTTAGTAATACTTCAAGTTTAATATTATAGAAAATCTGTATTTAAGTACCCTTATATAAGCTTGCTTAATAAGTACCTTATTTATTTTTTTAAAATTAAAATATATATTAATTTATAATAATCCCGTAACTTACACGTGACTATTCATGGTTATTCATGTTATTCATGAATAATTATTCTATTTTACTCAAGTTTTTTAAGCTGCTTGTTACTTATATTTTATTCAAGTTATTCATGAATATTCATGAATAACTTGAATAACTTGAATAATCCTTTGACACACTGATAGTGCTGGCCCTTTGCTTTTTCGCACTTGACTTCAAGTCAGACACCAGGATCAGTCTGACCAGCTTCGTCTCGCTGCTGTTTCATCTGTTTTTCCTCTTATGTACCTTGGCAATTGTTGCACCCTTTACTTGGCGGAAGGAAAGGGAGGAAGGCAATACAGCTACAATTCCTTGTATTTCATCGGCTTGGTACCAAGTCTACACATACATGCTTTTTTCGCCAGCGCTTGTCTTCATATTAATAAGCGCCTTAGAGACACGGAGAACCAAATGTGGCTTGTACACCACAGACCATATTGGTTGGGGACAAGATGATCTCATTTGTCAAGCATACCTAGGTTAGGTTCATTGATTATCTAATTGGTAAGTGTTCTTGACACAGTGCCTGTTTGAAGTTTTTGGTTAATTTCGTTCTAGCAGCAGTTCTCCATGACAGAGCTGTGATCCTGGCATTGATATGGTCTAGCGCAGCGGCATCCTACAAGGACAATTGTCAGATGGAGCGATCCAGCACTGACCCAATCCAGTGCTGTAAGCGACCCAGCACCGGAAACAGTCGGGTGCAGCTTGTGTACATGGGCTCTTAGATGTGGAGAAAGTTATCTGCCCTTATCCTATCGTATTGTATATATGTATGCATCTGTAAAAGACCTTGTGGAATATGTTTTGATTAATTAGGTTCGCACAATATCTTGCCGGCAGCAGAGAAGCTTCGCCCTTTGAGCTCATGGCATCCTTCCTTTTCTTCTGGATTCTTCACGCTACGTCTTATATCCAGAATCAATACACACCTTGATTTAAACCCTCATATTACTAAGTCGTAGTAGGACTAGGTAATATAGTGATTTTGGGGTAGCAGGGAACAGGTAGTACTTTAGTTAGACCTTCAGCCCAGAAGTGCCCAGACTGTATTCCTAATTTCCTACAACTGGGAACTGGTTATGTTACCAAGTTTTGCTACTCCAACCCAATCTCCAGCCGATAATTTGTCTACCACCCAATGTATTTTGAGCTATCTATTGAAACGCTGCAATCTGTAAACGTCGGTGTCTAGTACAACGAAACCATCCACCAAATCTACCATGATCACCCGCAATACCGAACGGAAAACTTCGCGGAGGCCCAAGCGTTTGCGAAGAACATGTCTGGGGAAGCCGCCTTTGAGTGCAATCTTTCGAAACCAGACCGCGGCAAGAGGGCAACCCCGAGAACGATCATTCACCACCAACAAGCCATGCACCCAGAATGGATCGACCAAACGATTATATGGGAATTCCAGAAAGTCAAGTTTGCACTTGGTATGATACCCACCTTTAACAGGGCTCCTTGCTAAACATCACGAGTGGCTTAATTTCAAGTGTAGAATTTTACTTGACAGAAATATTTTCCCTTTCCATCTAAGCGGCTAGTTTATATGTCCTTTTAGTAGGGAAAACGGGTGTCCCTTCTTTACGTAGCCTTGCTGCCGAGGAGCAGACACCGAGTCTGCGAGTTGAAGCACTGCCTCCGCATGTTTTAGATGGCGGAGTTGGGACTGCGTAATGCAATGTATGGTGCACTGCCTTGAACGCTCCAAGCTTGAATCTTTGGAAGGCAGACATCGTTCTACAGGAGATTTGGAGGAGGCTGTGGTTCGGACGTTGAAATTGAAATTGGAAATTGAGCGAACTGTTTGGGTCTGCTGGAGAGGAGCGTGGTGCAACTACATTTCTGAACTTTGCTTCTTATCCTTTCAATTGTCCTCTGTTGATGGATAGCTGAAAGGTGTATATGGCGGTTGAAGACAATATCTGGTATTGAAACCTGGACAAATCCAGTAAATGGGGGCATCGAAATGAGGTCACGTGCCGTGACACATTGGGACGACGACAGTTTCCATTTCATCCATCGGGCACGTTAGACCGATACAGCGGGAACGGCATAATCCGGTCACAGTGGCCTCGAATTTTGGCGACTAGGCCTCATTCGTTGTCCTTGCGAGAACTGGAAATGAGGCTGCAGCCCGGGCATCGGGCTGTGATCTGGACTGAGAGGTGACGAAGCCTGGGGCTGCGAGGAGCGTGTTGGGTTCGCCTTGGGCATCAAGTACGAATAACAAACCAAGAGCGAAATCTTGAAGCCCAAGGTATGGTAGCATAGCCGACTTTGCTGCCTGCCTGCGTCTCGTGTTTTGGCACGGCTCAAACTTGTGAACTCACGTGCTTCATTCTGCAAACTCTCGCTGGGTGGAAGGAAAGATAAATGATCCGAATCCCATCTCAAAAAGCCCACGGCATGGTTCCAAATATGGAAGAGACTTCATAAGGCTGTCATATTTAATATCAGAAATCATGCCCGGCAGCCGATTTCGCACTCCCACGCCCTGATCGCTTGACCACAGCTCATCCTCACACACACACAAAATCTCAGCCTCACTCACTGGCTACCCAGCTTTCCCTCTTTCCCAACGCCTTACGAACCCTTCCCGTCCCTGACTCACTCAAGCCTCCCAACGCCCATGTGAGAAATCGCACACATCACAACCATGATGGGCAAATTGCCCATGGCAAAGCACGGAAGAGCCTCGTCGTGGCAAGGAGTTGAGGAGAAGTAACCCCGCACAACCCCTGCCAATCACTCGATTGTGCCATGCGCCACATTTTAACGCTGCGCTGTGAGCCAACGCATGCGGATTTTACCAGAGGGTGGGGGAGGAGGGGTGGAGAAAGACACCTGGGGGGGGGGTTCATGGGAGGATATGAGGACGAGATGGAGGGTTGACGCAGAAGGATGGGGATGAGGTGAGAGTTGTGTTTATGTTTATGTTTATTATTTTGTTGTCATATTGGGTGAGGCAGGTCGAGGGGTCGAGGGGAGGTCTTGACCGCTTGATGAGGCCGCAGATGGACGGCCATGAAATCGATAGTGGGGAGCTACAGCTTCATGTCTTGTTGTGGAGGTAAGCTCCAGGAGGACCTGGTTGAGACTCGTGGATGGGATAGAGGCACCGGGTGGGATGTCTCATCTATTCGTTACCACTGAAACAAGTCCACTCGCTTGCATACATTCTGCACCTCTTGCGCCGAATCGCGGTCTGATACCTGAGATCGAGGATAGCGGGGCAGGTTTGGAGGAATGAAGGCATGGGGACCTGAATGGAGGAGGGATGTGTGAATGGGGTTTGGCACGGGGCTCCCGCTGTTTGGCTGCGTCTGGGATGGGCTCTCTGATCTCCCGTTCCGTGAGGACAGTTTATGGCGCATATCCACGTTGCTGCTGCAGCAGCAGGTGAGGTGAGGTAGAATTGGTTGGAGCCCATCCACTAGGGGCAAGCTGTGACGAGGCAGATTCAAGCCCTCCACAGAATCTCAGCAGCCAACTGCGAATCAGTGGATCACCTCAGACGGAGGGGATTCGTCCAGCAGGGAACCGATTGGCAGCGCGACTTCGGCAGTACCCATAGTCCAGCTGCAAGTGATGCTTGAAGAAGCTAACAGAAGGCTCAACCTTAAGCCGGCTTCCCGCCAGAGCCAAAAGGTAAGATGGGTCTGTCGGCCTGGATCAGCCACGCACATGTGAGGGTCAGTTGTGGAATGGTTCAGGGTCAGGTTCACCGCTGAAACTGGTGTATCGACTGCTGCCGATTGGGTCAGGAACCGGGTGTGCTGCCATTTGCCAAACGCTGGTGCTTGTGAGCTGCATTTGGGCCTGACAGTGTCCAGGATTCGACGTGGGAGGCCCGTGAGAACTGGGCCTGACTGAGGTGTCGGCTCTCCGCCAGAGGCGCCCAGCCAGTGGAAGAGGGTGTACCTGCTCTGGCCCCCATTCCCCCGATTGCACGCTGGTTGCCCACCGTCACGCATCGTCACATCTCGTCACATCTTTTCTTGGGATATATATATGAGGCTAGTTCTTTCTATGGCGGCCACGGGCGCCTACGCGGTCGGATAGTCGTAGTCTCTGGGGAGAGAGCACTAGGTTGATGACCATGGCAGTGCAAAATAGCACAGAGCTACAACGGTCTTTTTAACTTGGCCTTCTCGAGCGTGCAGGGTGTAGTAAGGTTAGCCTCATGCACTGAAGGGCCATTTCTGCGCCATTCAGAATGCTTCCTACTGGCTCAATAAAGTCGCTCGAGGGTGGGCGGCCTCTGGTCGCGTCCATTAGGGATCTTCGGACGGGGGATCAGTGATATGAACGGGTAGAAATGGGACGATGTTCAAATAGCAAGTGTGATCTGCTGCCTCTGTTGAAAAGTGGACTTGCATCCAGTAGTCTCCAGCCAGCTCAGCTTTCGAGCGTGGTTCTCTCTACGAGTCGACTGATATCTTCACTGGTCTTCAGCTTCCACTGCCAGCTGCGTGCTGACATCAATGCTTTCTGGTCCAGCTCAGATTACTTCTTCCTCTATCGTTTCCTCCGAGGCAGACGTTGCTGAGACTCTTACCTGTAGGAGTTTTCACTCCTGCGAGCCTGCGGCTTCAATAATACGTTTTCAATCCACTTTGCATCTCAGGTCAGGCTACCCCCCGAGCCCGAGCCCACGCACGGAGAGGAACATCTCTTCTGGCAAGAACACCTCGCCGTTTCGTATCTTCTCGGGATCGTTCACTCTGAGCCTCTCAGCTCAGCCGCATCGATTCTATTGATTCATTCTTCACTTCCGTGCCCGGGAACCTCACCTGGGGACGACGTTGCCGCGATCTGGCACTTGCACTGCTTCATATTTCGCCCTGCTGCTGCTTCCCCCACCGTCGAGGCTCCGACTCAAGGCTGCTGAGGACAGGCATTGCTTCTGGAGCTGGAACAGGCGTCGCTTCGCGAATCGTCTTCATCTCATTCACCGCCTCGACCTCATCGTCTGGTCATTATCCAAAGCCCCAAGGCGCGACCCCAGATCCAGGGACCGTTATCTGCTCTGCTCCGACCACCGCCCAGGGACGCCGGACTCATCTGTTCTTCCATTCACTTCTTCAATCGCCGCTGACCTCGGCCGGGCTTGACCTCTCTCCTTCGCATCGAACTTCTCTTCGCGACTTGCAACTTACGGAATTATTGTTTAATACACGACACGACACGACACGACACTACACCACACTACACCACACACTACAGTACAGTACAGTACTACGAGGAAGCTTCTCGCAGGCAAATTTATCATTGCCACCACTGCTGACGAACAACCGCTGCGGCCTGCTGAGTAAAACCGACTCGCAACGAATTTCGCGCACCAAGGAACAGCACCGCCAGCGCTCTCCAGCAGCGACAGCACCCGATCCCGCTTCGGGCTTAGCGCACAGCCACGCGACGTTGTTATTGGCGACACCAACCGGCCCCCCCAATCCCCATCCTCCCCCCCATCCAAGTCGGATTTCAGGAACATCGCCGCTGTCCAAAGTATCGCTATCGCCATCGCCATCGCTCCCGCACCCCCCATCGACCAAGGAGTGCGGGATAACCAGGAGTGCGAAGCCGTCGTTGCCTTCCAAATACTTCGCCGATATTTCCATTCCACATTCCATTCCCTTGTACAAAACCGTGTCGTGTTGCTCCGCTGCTGCTGGTCCCAACCGAACTCTCACTTTCATCGCCGTTACCATGCAATAGGGCCCTTGGATGCCCTCGCAGACGACGAGCAGCGACATCCACCACCACTACACCCTCAGCTGGTTGCCACTCAGCTGGAGTCATCTCCCCCAGGTCACTAATCTCCCCACATCACTAATTTCGCCACGTCACCATGGCTACGACATTACCCCCCGATCCATACCAGCTACTTGGAGTCTCGACGGATGCCAAACTATCAGAGATCCGGAGCGCACATCGAAAACTCGTCCTCAAGTGCCATCCAGACAAAGTGCAGGACGCCGCTCTGAAGGCCATCAAGCAGGATGAGTTCCAGAAGGTGCAGCAGGCCTATGAGCTGCTCAGCGACGACAATCGCCGGATGCAATACGATGACCAGGTCAAGTTGTTTGAGCTGAGGAAAGAGATGAGCAGGGGCAACCCGACGCCGAGGAGTAATCCCTTCGAGTATCAAGTTCGGACTGCGGAGCCTCGTCCCAGCTCGTATGAACGATCAGCCCCCACCTCCAATGTCTACACCTACCCCGCCGTTGTACCGAGATCGCACGAGCATTTGTACGAAGAGCCTCTCCGACATGCACCCAGGAAGTCATCGAGCTATGATAATTCAGATCGGAAGCGACGAGAGGAGGAGCGGAGAGATGACGACGAGAGGCTGAGACAGCGGGAGAAGGAGAGCAAGCGATCGGCACACAGCAAGAAGGAGAAGTCGAGAGACAAGGAGAGGAGGAGGGGTGCAGAGGAGAAGGTGCGAACTCGAGGAGTGGGCGCCTACGTCGAAGACGATTCGGATGACGATTTCCCACCTCCCCCGCCTCGATCATCGGACAAGAAGTCGAGTCGGCATAAGATGGAGGAGGAGATCAGGATGCGAAATGAAGAGGCTCGAGCTCGAGAACGGGCGACTGCTGAAGCTCCTCGGATCAAGGAAATCCCGCTCCATGAGAAATGGGACAAACACAAAGACGTTGCTGCGAAGTATATGCAAGCCGCGCGGAGGAAGGTCGGTGCGGAAGACGACTTCCCTCATCCCGGAATGCGGAGAGCGGAAACGTTTACTCCAGCGACTGCTGCGTACAATATTCGGTATGCTGCCCCGCCAGCTGCACAATACAGCGACGACGATTCTCCACGAAGATCGTCAGCTCGACCGAAAGAGAGTCGAAGAGCCTCGGATACCCCTCGCAGAGATAAGTCGAGTAGAAGGTCACCAGCAGCCGATCCATATATCGTCTCGCCGCCTTCACCTCCTCCAAATAGAAAGCCGAGTCTGCAAACACATTCTTCAGCACCACCCGCTGCTGCGGAGTTTGTACGCCCAAAGCCAGTGCCCAGTCGATCGAAAACTCAAGATTACCCTCGACACGAGACGATTCCTTCCTTACCTCGAGCAGCAACTTTCCAGTCCGGGGACCGAGGACGTGATCGAGGCGGTAGCAGACTAAGAAAGGAACTCGATTCAGATTCTGAACCTGATTCTCCCACCTATGCTTCACCCCGACATTCACACAGCCCTCCACGGAGAACTCAAACTCGATACGTCTACCAAGACGGCACTACGGTCCCTGTTAAACCATCCTCTCGCCACCGCGAAGAGCTCCATGACCTCAATCATTCATATTCCCGTGATCGCAGCGTGTCTCCCCACGGAACACCGACTCGGCCTCCCCTCTCCCGCAATCCAGGCAGTGGAGATCCTCATTCCCGAACTCGCTCACAGTCAAACCTCTACTACGGTGCTCCTCCCATAGGCCCAGAACCCATCATCCACACCGCGCGTCCCAAGATGGCTCCTCGCACTGACTCACATCGAGGCTCAAGCCGAACAGTTCCCCAATTTTTTGGGGAGGTGAAATACAGCAAAGGCTTCAATAATGTGAGCTATGCACCTGACCCGGCAGATATGTATGCACATACTCATCAGCGGAGGGGTAGCGATGATAGGGGGTATTACGGGAGGAGTAGAGGGGAGCCAGTTTATTGATCATTGATCGAGAACCTTATCCGAGTACACCACACACATGAGAGATCACCTCGACTCTCTACCCTCACTCCCATAGTCGATTCAAGATCTGATTTTTTTTTGAGTCTGAATCTCAATCTGAATCCAAGACTATAGGGAAGACGACACCCTTTCCTTAATTTGAGAGAGATTCGCTTCTTGTACCGTATTACGAAAACTATGACAGTAACGCCTCTCCTCATTTCTTTTATTTCCTTCTTCTCGCCGACACGGATCACTGCACATAAGAAAGAAATCAACGAGACGACATGAAGTGATGATATACGGTACATGCACATGGCCATGGCTTTTTTTTTACCTTTTTCACTGGCAGTGGGCTCTTCTCGGCGCCTTCTCGGCGCTATACATGGAGGGCAGCATGGCATCTGGGTTTGGGAGGGGTCATTCATTTACACGCATAAGGAAGGGTATGTTCGTTGTTGTATTTTACTACACTCACGCTCCTTTGAGAAGAAAGGGGTGTGGGCAAGTTTTTTTTCGAGAACTGCGAGGATTTGTGACGAGTGAGCAAATGGGCCTCGAGTATGAGGACCTGACCTGGTTATCGGGACGGAAGGGTAGAAGGGAAGGGGGATGAGAATCACGATGGAATGAATAATGATCATGGCAGATCGATAGCGATCGAAGCCGTGTGATTAATTGAATGAAATTCGATGATTTGAACTTTTCTTCTTTTTGCTGCGAGTGGATGTGAGGTGGCCACCAGTGCGATTCCTCAATCTGTGTTGGCCGAGCATGATGAGCGGATAATTCGTTCCATGTATTTGGAAGTCCCGTTCATGGAGGAAGCGAGTTCAGTTCTCGACCCTCGTTCCTATTCTTACTCTCTCTCTCATCTCTATCCTTCCTCTAACCTTCCCAGCCTTTTTAATTCTTCATTATTTTTTGATTCGTTTCGAGTTCTCGAGACGTTCAAGTCCCGGTATCCAAGTGTCTGATATTTCAACATTCCAGATTCTCTAGCACATTCAAGTGGACAATTTCTCCAACATCCTACATTTCGCCTCCTAAAAATTCATTTCAAGTGAACGGATTCCTCTACCTCAGCTCGCGGCAAGAAAGACTCAATGCAGTCCCCTTCATTTGATAATTCCAACTATCCTAGTCGTCTTCTTCGGATCCAGCCATGTTATTGTGCAGCTACTTTCTAGGACCGAGATTCCTGGGTGAAAGCCACAACATGACCAGGGCTGCAGCGACCGATTTTGTCAGTCCGGCCTTTGGCCATTTATCTAAGGGCCAGGGTCGATCATGAGATAGTGCAAATGGTCCGAGGAAAGACGATTGAAGGGTTGCAACTGAATCATGGCTCTTATGGAAGGTGGACCTTTTGCTGCTGTTAAGCATGAGAGTGTGTCCAATCTGGTTGAAGAGAGGATCAATTGGAGAAGGCCGAGGTCGAGTTGGCTGAAGCTTAGATGCACAGAAGTTCTGTCTCTTTTACAGGGGACCGAGGGTAGCGAAATGGGAAACACACGTGACAACCCACCCAATGACTCGGAACTGTTCAAGGTTTCTACTCCTCGAACTGACGTATAGAGGGCAAAAATTGAAACCCTGCAGTTTGGTGCTATCAAATATCTTCTTCAACTTGAGTTGCTAAATATATGTTCATGGGGAAAGACTTGGGATTTTGAAGTATTGAGGGTGAGATAAGCGAAGCGTCCCTTCGCCTCGCCCCCTAACTTCCGAACACGCGTGTTTGTCATCCTGGAAATTTCGACTTGGGAAGCCAAGCAACAGAGGCGCTTCTAGCTTCGAATACGCGGAAGTGATTGGCATTGAGACCATAAGAAGTTATCCACCAGCAATCATCGGCCGTCAGCCTTCCAATACGCATGATGAACCCCTCAAGATGCCCTGAATGTCCACGTAACAATAAGTGGCACAGATGAGCATCCGAGGGACGTCTTAAGATAAGCACGGCCACATACGTACCGGATACGAGAAGAAGGTCTTATATACTTCGATCGTCATGTCGCCATTTCATAGAGATCAGATCCGCGGAAAACCATCAACCCACTGCCTCGAAGAGAAAACAGAACCTCAAACCTCTAGCAAGCCTTACCATTGACATTCGCTCTCGATATTTTCCATTTTCAAACTTTAGTCAGGCGTGATGGCAGTCCTTAAGCCCTACCCAGGCTCAACAATTTACCTATGGAAATATATTCCGAGTCTTGCTGGCAGTATCATCTTCGCGATTACCTACCTCATCACTGGATCCCTGATCGGCTTTCGTATGTACAAGACGAAGACGTGGTTTTGTGCTGCTTTTGTCGTTGGTTGCTTCAGTAAGACCTCTCATTCAACCTAGTGTTGCTTGCTGACTTCCCGACAGTGGAAGTCATTGGGTATATCGGAAGGGCATTCGCCGTCAACCAGACTGACGCATTGGGACCGTTTGTCATTCAAGCGACCTTCATTCTCCTTCCGCCCGCCTTCTTCGCCGCCTCATTCGCCGCCTCAATCTACATGACCCTTGCACGCATCATCCGCACTGTTGACGGCGACCACCTCTCCATCATCAACCCACGAATCGTTACACGAATCTTTGTCCTTAGCGACCTTGCCTCCATCGGGGTCCAAGGCACAACGGCTGGCTTTTCGGAGCATGAAAACCTGAAAACTATCGCTACAGTTCTGGTACTCATCGGACTGGCCATCCAGTTTATATCATTCGCGCTCTTCGGTGCATGCGCCGTCATCTTCCACAAGCGCATTCGCCGTAATCCAACGGCACGCTCTCATCAAATTGGTCCGAAGTGGCTTCATACTCTCTACATGCTCTATGCTGTTTCGATACTCATTATCATTCGGTCGGTCTTTCGCGTTGTTGAATATGCTTTTGGCAATGATGGGTATCCGATGGCTCACGAGTGGACCCTGTTTGTTTTCGATAGTGTGCCGATGACTTTGGTTACTGCCATATTCTTCTTTCGCTATCCAAGCAACTTGGCACAGAAGCTGGATGATGATGCTGCGATCCAGCTAGAGTCTTGTGGCTCTGTGAGGCAATCCGGACAGAGCGTCAGCGAAAATCGTGTATGATATTGAGATCTGCAAGGGTTTGGTCTTTTAATTTCATGGTGGCTGTATTTATGTTGGCAGATTAAGTTTTAAGCATCGCGGGTTGGAGAAATAGATTCCTAAATGTCAAATTCGCGGCTTTAATAGAATGTACTGAAAATTTAAGAGCACCATACTTCTCTAGTAAGTGACCGAATCCGAGACTTGACATCTAAGTTCTAACTAATCAAGTGGCTTTCGACAAAAAAAATTGGCCACGATAATGCTCCGAGCCACGGCTCCTCGAGATGAGCTTCGACAACCAACAAAAGCCTTTCTGCAGCATCTCCAACATTCCAACAATCCCTAAGTCTATGTAGCAGTATTGCAAAGTAACCCAAGATTACCAATGCTTCGGGTTTTCGCTGAACAAGAAGTTCTGTATAGCCCGGCGGTACAAGTATCAACCATCGGGTGGAGTGTTGGGCAGCAGCTTGTTCTTCAGGCGTTGGCTCGCGCCCGTGGGCAAACGCAGCTCTGTAGACGTATATCAACTCCTCTATTGCCTTGTCGCACACTACTGCCTGAGCCGGGTTCAGTTCGGGCGACTGTGAAATATGAGCGCGGATGCTTTCGAACCGATCCACGACCTCGTCGGCCCAGTCCAGGTTCACAGTTCTGTCCTCGTCTACGTCTAAAATGTCCTTGATTTCTGATGCTAGGAGAAACTGCCACCAGGGGGCCACGATGGCTCGAACCCCTTGAAGGAGTCTGACGGATTGTACGACATTGTCAAAGAAAGTCGTGTAGTCACTCGCTTCATACGTTGGGTCATGGAATGTCTCAAAGAAGGTCACAATGCCCTGGAGAGCCGAGAAAAGGAAAGCCGGAATGATGTTCTCGTTGTTTAGATCCTGTGTCGTTTCGTTAAATAGTCGCAGGCCTTGAGACTGCAAACGAGTAGCTTCATCGCGGTAAAATGATTGTTGTGCTGGCCGACGAGTGCTGAGATGTAGTGCTGAGACGGCGAGAAGCTCGTTCAGGAGGAAGGGGTGGGTGAATGCGTATTTCACTATGTGTGGCCGGGATCCTTTCAGGTGGTCGCCTCCAGTTGTCCAGTCCGCGCCGTCGATAATGAAATAGAAGAGTTCCATGTGGGTGGCATTGACGTATGGCTCCGCCTGCACTAGTGCCGGATGAATGCAGCTTGAGGTCGAGGTGGGTGAAATACTCTTTAACGCTGGGTCCAACGTCATAACGGTCATTGGTTCGTTCCTCCATGGAGCTATTACAGACAGAGCGGGTGAAGTAAAGGAACATTGCATGCTGGCTGTCGAGCAATTAACGCACACCGGGTGGTTTTCATCACACTATGATTTTATAAGTGAAAGGTCTACCAGGAGTAATACATGTCACATGTGAGAAGAATGGAAACAACGTAGAGCCAGATTTTACCTTGATATGACGCTTTTTACATTCCGAACATCCTGCTCGGGACTTTTTATGACTTCGACGAAGCATTATTGGCGTAATTCAGAATTGATGAAAGTTTCAGGGTCAAGGGGGAAACAAGTCACATGTGACCATGAAAAGCTTGGAACTACCGGTAAGACAATACTCGTATCCGAAGTGAGGTTGTCCGCACTTTTTGCGAATCGATGCTTTGGAATACCGAGAGCCAGCACGAACAAGGTTGCGAGGTGGCTGCAGATGAAATGCCCCGCCCCCTGCTGAGCCAGTCGATCCTGCTTAACTAATACGCGTGTTCTGAGGCATCGTATTGGGTGGCGCGCAGCTTCAAGAGGTTGTAACTAGGCAGCAAGAACCCACAATCTTTAATAAGCCAACAATCATTATCGTTGGGGCTGTGCTGCTTATAATCTAACATTCAACTCGAAGGACGTGTCACCCTTTAAATTCTCTTAAATCCACCCAAAATCATTTTCTCTCTCAGGGGTTAAGCGAAGGGATTGGAGTCTCGCACGGGGAAGTCATTCTCAATTATACCTAGCCCTTGGGAAGCATGAGTAAGTATATTTCAGACCTGCTAAGCTTGGCGAGTGCCGCCACTTTCTCGCACTTCGTACGATTCTAACGGTAACACTTGCGAGGCGCCCATGAGGCATCTCTGAAAAGCCCGGGACTGATTTCGGTGATTCCAAGATTCCGCAATCCGTTACAGCTCGGCGTGGAGATGCTTAGAGTAAAGGTCGTTCAAGGAATATTAATACAAGCCCTCGTTCCCGAGCGAATTAGCTTCCATTGCTGGGATTCTCTATCATACCACTCATGAAGTCATTTTCGATGAAGTCACGCCAAAACACTTCTCCAACAGCATCTTTCCGGTTGGCGAAGATCTTCTGAGCAACGTTCGTCACCTGCCGAAGACCAATCTCAGCAGAAGGCCAAAAGGGGGCTACGGCTTTTAAAGCTCCTGCGTTCATTCGTATTTGCTGTCTCAGATCCTGATCTGGAGACATCACAGGCAATGTTGCCCAGAGTGAAAGGTGGGTAATGGATGAGAGGGTGAGGGCACAGACGAAGAAGTGCGTGTGTTTTACCAAGGGTCCAGGGAAACTGACAAGCTTGCTGATATTCGACGCTGCTTGTATGGTCCGTATTGTGTGCATATTATCTGACGCTCGCGCAACAGGGACTTTGGATTCTCCCGTGCAAGATTTAATTGTCCGGACGGTGAGACCATCGAGAGGAGAGAAATGTCGGTAAAGTAGCATTGTGCTCCTAACCTCAATCAGCCCCGAGACACTGAATAACTTACGAGGGAAAAGAGAAAGCTTACGCGTTCGCGATCATGTGTGCCTGAAACAGCATCTCATCTAATATCCCAAACTGGTCGAATAGATTTCTTTTATTGTCAGGGAGATGGAGATGCCAGTTTGTTAAGTGGGCTTCCAATTTGTATAAGGCTGGATCATCTGGAAATAGAATTTCTTTTGACTGCAGTACTCTATCCAGGTTTCGTGCCGCCGCAATTCGATATGCATACGAGGACCAGGCTATTTCTTCGCTGTCGAAAGACCCATCATCAAACTGGTCGATTGAATGAAGTGGTGGTATAAACTAATGAATCCAGTTAGCTCTTTCGCTGCCGGAGGGAGAGAGTTGACATACTCCCGATGCGAATTCTTTTTCTTCGCACGGTAAAGGTACGTTTGACAGAGGGTCCTGCTGATGGAATATCTCGCTTCCATGAAATCCCGTCATCATTGTGCTTACAACATACAGTTCCCACCAAGTCCTTCGAAGACTTTCCTCGTAAACTGATGATCCCCGTCCATTGACCATTGTAAACTCTCGCCGGTTCATGCCGAGCTCTACAGCCAAGTTTTGTGCCTTGATAAGAATCTCAATGGCCTTTGTTTGCTCGTTATTGCCGTCCAATCCAAGTGCGAAGAGAAGCATTGCTTGGACCATAGATTCATCCTTCGGTGCAGGCTTGGTTCCTAATAGGAAGGATTCAAATTCGATGGCGAAAGAGGCGGCTGATGCACCAGATACGTATCGAGATCCAACGTAATATATTGCCGTCTGAAGATGATCCATAGAATTTGTTTTCAGCACTTGAAGGAGGTGGTGCCGTGGAGGTAGGAATGGGTGTGCATCGTAGAAGTATTGGTAAAATGCCTCCACACACCGCTGTGGTATATTCGGTCGAAAGAGACCAAAGTAGATCCCATTCGAATCCGTACTATCGCTCGATGGTGGAGTATGGCATTCGAGGGATGAAGATACTGGTGCTTCTTCCCCCACCGAGGGCATGAGAGAAACACTCGAGGGAATATTCGTGTCGTTGAAGGCTTCTGAAACCGTCATTTCCCCATCATCTGCTAATTTCGTCAGCTAACAACTTACTTCTTAGTTCAGGGAGAAATTACAGTTTGAAGAAGATATATATTTACCTCGTCCTCTATAGCCCCGACGAGACTTCAAATAGACGCAAGTTATACCCTGGGCAGTGCATCGAGTACACTTTCGCAACCCATCACATTTCAAATGCTTCTCACGACAGGAGATGCAAGCGGTAGAGGTAGGATTCTGAGTGTCTGTTGAGGTGGTAGTGTTTTCTGCCGGGGGGTTGCACGGCCTGGTCAACACTTTGTTTGATCCATTAGAATTTGTGTCCCTGGATTCCATGCTATAAATAGTTGAAGCTCAATCGAACAAGCTTTTCGATGTGATTCGGATCAAGAAGAGGTTACCAAATTAATCAGAAGATCACTTTTTCATATATTGTACAGGAAATGAGGCAAGGTGCTTTACTGTCCAGAGTTGAAAGCCCCTGTCATGACCTCGTGCCGGGAACCTTTTGAATGCCGGGCGATCTTCCGGGGACCAAAGATCGTTGTGGACCCCTGGAAACAGGGGCATCAATTGGCCCTATCGGGTTCATGCTTGGCGCAGCCTCCCAACTTCTGTAACACTGTTTAGCCAACGTCGCCGAACAAGAGTTGGTCGGCGATGACCTCTCGGCAGGATCAGCCACAACGGTCGTATGATTTTCTTCGTCTTTCGTAGGCGTCGTATGATCAATGAACATGATTTGGGCATTTAAGGACCCGAGAAACTTATTAGTGGCGTATATCTTGAAACGAATTCTGTTACCAGGTCCCCGACACTACTTTACACTCTGCCACGAAAGTCGTGAATTTGCTATTCCCACTTGAATAAACCTACAGTATGACGATATTTGTAATGCCACGCTAAGCTCTTGTTCAATGTCCACGAGTCAGGGAATGTTAGGTGCTTTCGAGAACCGTTAATTCGCTAAAAGCTCTTGAATTGGCCAGTGCTTCGCTAGTGTTATCCTTGGACCCACTACAAGTCTATTCAAGGGGGAGAATAGTTGAATATTCACCTATTCTGAAGATGAAAGTTAGTTTCACTGCAGAAAGCACAAGTTTATGCAGCTACTAAAGCCTACTCAACTGGAAAACATATTTTGTTCAAACTTCATCGTGACCAACTCTCCAGTTTCCAAATCCAAGCCCGAGATTCCGGGCCAGCGCCGTCACATACTCTTCAAAAACTAGGTCAAATCCTTGCTGATAATACGAGGCAGTGCATACATCCGGACTTGGCAACCAATCACATACTTTCAAGAGTAATGTATTGTTCATTTGCACATATCACTAGACTGAACGAACAATTTTAATCCAAGTAATCCGGAAGGAGATCCCTGACGTACCATCCTTTAACAACAAAGAGTGACTCTTGACAGCAAGAACTTTTAGAGGGGTAGAGATCCTGATTTTGAATGTTATAGCTGCGGCCTAGCTCAGTACTTCCCCCGTTTACCGCCTCCTTTTCTTCGCCTGTATCATCTCATCCACTGCGTCTGATCCGTCATCCTCATCATCGTTCTCTTCCTCTTCTTATCAATCAGCTTTCTGGAAAAGGGTATCTTGACTCCAACAGACTTTTTTTATCTGCAAACTCGTTCTGTTAACATTCTCCGGTTGCACTTGCGTGCCCAATGAAGCAAAAAATCGTAACTTCTATACCTGTGCCCGAAAATCGAAAATACTCTGTCCGTTTCCACAATACCTGCCATCTTCTTCCTCTATATAAATATGCCTTGGCATGTGAATCAAAGGGAAGATGCTACACGTCTACACATGCCAAAGAGGTTCAGTGCAGAACTCAACTCGGACGCGCTGACATGGAGCGTTTCAAAATACCAATCACTATCACGCATCGACACCGCCGCCTCAGAAATGTGAGCCACGCTACTTGTTCGTATTTAGAAGCAGCAAGCCTGCGTTTTCTATCTCTTACTATCCAAACAAGTGTTCTTATCAGTTTCCTATTTACTGTCACTGCAATGAATGGGAGTGGAAGTGGAATTGGAAGCAGCTAGTTGTGAACTCCTTTTCTGTATCGTCTGGCTCCTAAAAATTAGGGCCGTCAGTCATGGTGTTACAGAAGTGGTGGTATTTCTGTACCTGATCGAAGTACAACCCGAACCCAGGGAGTGCGCTTGCCATGTTTCCGGTGGTGCGTGATGTGCCATACGTTGGACAGAACAGAGGACATATTTTTGCTTAAGGCGGGAAGATCCAGATCCAAGAAGGAAGACTGACGGAAGGCAAAGTGACGAAGGGCAGAAGGAAAGGGAAAATTACTGCTGGCTCTCATTGTGAGCCATGCCCCAGCACCTGGAATGGCAACAGAGAAACGGGTGCGGCTGGGAGTGAACAGAAACGGTGAGTTCAGGCCCAAGGGAAGAGAGCACATTCTGCTGATTCGCAGGCAAGTCTAATCAACTCTCCCCACACTTACCGCCTAGCATCCAGCACACATAAAGCTCACTCCTAAGCAGTGGAAGCACCAAACACAATTGGAAAAGACACGTGGACCACTGATTGGTGAAGAACCCACTGTTGGACACATTCTCCTCAAGAAAATCACACCAGTCTCATACACATTAGCTTTCGAGAGCGAGAGAAAGTTGGCTGTGGCAGTACTTTATCTTTACATTAAAAAATTGCCTTTAGTGTTGTCAAAGAGATTATTGTTATTAAGTTCAACTAAGCTGCGAAATGGAAGTTGACGCAGGACTGAAGAGAAGGGAGGAAGATACAAGTGAGGAGCCGCGAGTTCGACCCAAGAAGATCTGAGGGGAAAATGTAAGAAGAGACAGTTTTTTGAATTAGCCTGGCAAGGGGGGGGGGTCATCCACTTCGCCCGGTACATGGAGGATGGAGCTTGGCATTCTCGATCTGGCAGGTGTATTTATAGGCAGCTGAGATCCAACGACTTGTCACATTACAGCCACTTCCATGATATCACACACGAGGGAAACAATAATCACCAAAGACTCAAACAATGCTAACCAGCATTTGCCAAATCCCAGGTTAGCCTCAGCAGACATTAACCGCCGAAAAGCAAGCAAAACGCCAAATTGAAAAAAAGAAATACTAGAAATCGAGATTTCAAGCCGACAGCATCTGACGTCTCCCAAAGCTCCTACCATTATGCCGCAACAGGAAGTTCGCTGATATCCTTCTTTGCACTTGTGGCTTGTTCTTTCCCAGTCAGAAAAGTATCCGTATCTTCTGTCGTTTGCTGTCAAGGGAAAGGTGTTGCGAGTTCTTGCAGTGCTGTCAAGCTCGTAAAGTGAATTGCAAATGACGGGTGATATCTACAGCACATTTGAGCAGGGGAAGATCTGGCATGATCAAAAACGAGGTTGAGGCTGAAAATCCGAGCAGATGGTGCGAGAAGCTTGTGAATATCGGCCATTCCGAGGGAATCCGACTGGGTTCTTGGATAGAAGTCTCTTTGCTTTATTTTTAGACTTCAGCACTCCGGTTCTTATAGGCAGCAGAGCAGATGATGCGTCTCACTGGTGACTCACCAGAGCATCCCAATAGAGACAATGAGGAAAGGAGTTGGAAATGGACGGGCCACGTGACAGTTACCTCCGGCACATGCACCGAAGCACGAGAAAGGTACTCCATTCATTCTATCGACTGAAGTACTCCTCAACCCACACGTAACGGAACCGATGAACCAACCAAGGCCACGACGAAAAATCATCAATGCACAAAGAACGCCACCTATCAAAACACCACACTAGCATAACAAACACATACACGCCCGCCCTCTTCCCGATCTTCTTCTTTCCCATCCATGATTTACCGCCAATCATCATCGGAAGACCAGACCAAAGATTGCGAAATCCATAATTCCCTCCTCTCCATTTCGATTATTGTTGTTCCCGAGTTATGCAAGTCGGAACCCCTCTCTCGATCGCCTTTCGAGAGCAAGATTCCAAACACCCATCAGTTCCATTCCACGCACAATGCCAGCCAGACCAGACCAGACCGCCATCCTTCAAGTACAAGCACGCCCTCGTGCACACTCACGAAAACCCCAACGCCTGCCTGTTCGAAAGCGTAGATCAATGCTAGGTTCTCCTCCGATCATCCCTGCGACCCGAAGGGCCAAAATCCGGTTCCTGGAGCGCTTTCTTCATCTTCGGGCCCTTGATCGCGAATTCCGCCATCAATGACAAGTGATCACTGGGGAAATGGTAGTTCGGGAAACCGGGAACGGTGCGCATGTATTCTGGATCGACACGTCCGAGTAACGAGGTATTCTCGAGGGCGTTGGTTGAGTACCAGATGTGATCGATCACACCTCTGAAGCCAGGCGTGTAGTTCGTGAATGGTAAGGCGTCCGGAGTCTTGTCAAGATTGGTGTAGGCTGAGCGGAGTGAGAAGGGATGTTCCATGCCATCTTTGGTGAAATTGCCATAGCTGTGACCGAGCAATTCGGGATGGTCGGGTCTGACGCTGCCTTTGGCAAAGAGCTCGAAGACACTTGAGTCGGCAGTGGAGTTCTGGTCTGCGCAGATCACCAAGGGAACCTGTGTCTTGCTGGAATACTCCTTTGATGGCTCGGGTGTAATTTCTGGGGCCAGCTCAACATCATCATCATCATCATCCTCAGTTGGTAATGTGTAGCTCTTCTTGTCTTTGCAGGCTGGCCACTTAGCATACTTTTCCGCTAGCCTGTTCACCTCGCCCAACAAAATCGCGGTTTGGATGAGCTTCACATCACAGTATGCTGGATCCCAGTAGAGATGGGTGTTGACCACGATCAACCTTGATCCAGTCTGCCTATTCTCAAAGAAGCAGACCACAGCAATGTGATCCCTTGGCATGATCCGGTTAAATATATCATGCTGGTTCTTGGCGTCTGGTCGGTTGATGGCAAGATTCCCAAAGTCGACGAGCTGTTTGTCAAGTAATATCCATTCCTCGAATTTGTAGAAGGTCGCACATCCATCCACATTCTTGGCTTGGCTTTCCGCCATCGTCTTTGCACGAGATCTTGGCCAGAAAACACCTTTGTACTTTGAATAGGCAAGCTTCATGCTGAAATATTCCTTGAATGTCTCGGTGTCGACCTCTTGCAGGCAAACGAAATCGGCGTCGTTTGATTGAATCTCCTGCAACACCTGTTCCTTTCGATATTCCCAATCCAGCGCCGCTTTGGGAGAGTATCCGTAAAGTCTTTCAGTGCATGCTTCGTTGGTTAGGATATTGAATGAGAAAACCTTGAATCGTTCTCTGTTCGCAGAACTAACTTCTCCTGAAGTGAGGTCGAGCATTGAGCGAGGCGTAGGTGGCATTGGAACTGTTTCCCATTAGCAAGTATCAGCAACAAAGGGGCAGTAGCCTTACCGGGAGCCTCTTCCCTCAGACGTTCAATGAGCTTCTTTGTGCCGTGTTCGATGACCACCTGTTTCATTCCCTGATCAATAGGATTGCCTTCGATGCCCAGTATATCCAATTGATACAAAGACCCTAATTCATTTGGCAGTGTCTGAATTCGATTATCAAATGCCAAGAGTTGCTTCATGTATACGCACATCCCCAACTCCGGAGGCAGGTCCACCAGCTGATTATTCGAGACATCCAGAAGGGTCAAATGACGTAATTGACCTATCGTTGGTGGTAAGTATGCGAGCTTGTTGGATGCGACATAGAGTTCCTTCAAGAAGACATAGTTGAACACGGGAGCTGAAAGCACTCGAAGTCCTTGACCACTCAAATCCATGTTGTGCCAATCTTGACGTTTGAGGGGGCTCTGCTGATCAGCCATCCGACCAAGATCTCTGCTCTCGCCATTGTCCTGTGGATCATCTGAGGCTGCTACGGGTTGTGCAGGTGCTGGAGTAATGCCCCGGTTCTCCCCTGCTCTGAGCCTCGCATAGTGGTTTGGAGCACCCTCCATCATCAGTGAGTGAGCTTTCTCAGACTCCTTGTGCAATCTGATTTGCTCCGCCCAGTGCTCAGTTATCTGTTGTGCCTGGCCCCCGCGTGTCGTCGCCGAATGCCCGTTTTGGAGATTGCTGGGTGTGAAGCTCGGCGTTGAATTCGACAAGACGCCGGACGAGTAACTCGCATGGTGCCCAAGTACCGCGCCATTGGTTGTGTGTGTTGGATGGTCCTGTTGAATGTTCGCGTGGTGTTGCATATGCTGAGGTTGGTGGGTGTTCTGATGTTGGAAATTGTACATCGCTGGCATCCCTCGCCCACCAGCTCCATTAACCCGGCCATGCTGCCCTTGCTGGTGATTCTGATTGAACATGCCGTAGAGGTTTTGTGCCGGAGAATGAGAATCCGGTGATCGAGAAGGCGAAGGGGTGTCTGCGCTGAAGACAGACCGGATGTTATTGGGAGGCGTGCCGTTGCGGATGATCTGGTGTCTTGGGTGATGGGGCTGTGTATGTTGTGGATAATAGTAGTTCCCAGCACTCTGCTGTGGGAATCTGTAACCATCTGCCATCTAAATCCTCCACTGGCAGATCAAGTGACGGCGTTGGCTCGAGGGTTGGAGCGCAGGCCGAGTTGGTGTATGGTGGGACCTGGGGGAGATTTAGGTAGGAGGTTTGGAGAGCGGGGATCGGATCCTTCTTCGTTGGCACATAGGTCTGCTGAAGAGGTCTTCTGAGCATCTACCACGATTGGATCCTTGGTGATGCGCGAACGCCGACGTGTCTTGGAGTGAGGGGAGCTATCGGGGGCTGGAGAAGGGTGTGACAATGCAGCAAGCCTTGATTCAATTGACCAGCGCTGGCGAGGGCGCAGAATTCGAGGATTTGCTCTGGGAGCTGAGATTAAGTTCGAATATCGTAGGATGAAGGTGAACGGCAGACTTTGCAGGATCGAGGAGGGTGTTTTGCTGCTCTTGCAAGGTCAGTCAAAGTCTATGGATGCGCCAGGGTTAAAAGGAGGATTTGTGCCAGGAGGGCGCTCTGGACGGGTGGGGGAACAGTATCGTACCTTGCAGAGGTGCAGAGGTTTGCATTAAGATGAAGTCCAAGTGGCTGTGAGCTGGTTGTGAGCTGGTTGTTGGTGGTTGTGCTGCTTTCGAGTGGTTATGCTCCATATCCATGTTCGCTCGACGGAGGTTAGCAACACGTGACCAGCCAGCTCGTCTAAAGGCGAGCTAGGCCGTATGCGATCTTGAACTTTAGCTCCACCAAGAGACAACTAGCGTTATCGTTGTTTTTGTATTTTCAACGAGGAGAGTCATGCGCTAGAAGTAGTTACAGCTGACGTGCAATAGCTCTCCCTAAACCCTAGCCATAGAGTGCTCCCCTGTAGCACTGTACGCAAGAATGCCCGCTAGTAAAGCACCCTAAACATTGCTCTTCCCCTCTATAGTAATTTCGGAGGGAGTACCATATTCTGGGTGCATTTGGGTTATGCCTAACCCGAGGAATCAAGATGTCTGAGTTCTATAGTGCCCAAACAAGTAAGGGTTTGACGAATGCGCCCACTCTCCACCTTCTCTTTCACCCTTCGGGCTGTGCCCTCCAGTCCAGGTCTCCTCTTGTTTCCGAGAGAGTATGTCGAGGCCGTGGCCTAATCCAGGGGAATTGATGGAGAGGTGGCTGCTCTCAAGTGACCGACGAAACTAAGAGCCAGTCTTCTAGGTGTTTGTATGGTCCCTAGCGCTTCAACCTGCAGTCGTTTTCACCAAGAGACAACAGATTCACTCATTCACAGTCTGGCAAAGTATAGAGCTTTTGGCCAGATGCCTGGGTCCAGACCGTTAAGTAACGCCTATCAATCTATTAATGTTCCTGAAGCTCAGTTCTATCTCGTTTATCTCGGTTTCGTCTTCAGATCTCTGTGAGGCTGCGAGCCAACTCCGCAGCCTTGCGCTTATGAAGTAGCCCCTGAAAATTTTGTATTCGCTCCTCCATTAAGAACATCGTCTCCTATTCCTGGCGTCAAAATAATAGTCGGACTTAACGTCGCGCTAAAGGGGCCCTTCCCTTTAGTCGGGGAAAGCAAGTTGTCCCGGGAAAGCAAGATGTCCCGCACCACACCAAAATTTCTATGCGATTGCAGACACTTAAATTGCACCACATAACCAAATAACCCTTAAATTAATGCGTAATTGAGGATATAATCTCTTATTACTCTAATACTACAAAATCTGCATTTTGAGCTATTGAATTAGTCAATATTACTAATCTAGGTAGTAAAGAATACAGAACCATCCCCTCCCTACTAACCCCACTATTTATACCCTCCTCTATCCCCTTATCTGATCCCCTAGACTCCTCTAATATTACCCGTATACGTAATTGACTGAGAGGGTTCCCCTTTACCCGATGAGCTTGTTCAGATGCGAGTACTACAGGATTAATGGGAATATCTATAAAGATTGCGGGATTTTCGGCTTATATATAATCGAATTTAGCTTGCTCCTTAGCTACCTTATTATAAAGTGATTGGTGCTTAATTCGAACAGCTTCAAGCTCGTTTTCCGTAGGTTCGTTCTGGGGATCGCGAATTGGTATTCAAAGCTCGGGAGGGATAATTATAACCTGCTTCTTTGCTTGTGCCTCCAAATCTCTTACTATCTTCTTCCTCTCTCTCTCTGCTATTCGTATAGCGATTCCTACTCTCTTAAGAGCTTCCCTTTTAGCTGATTTGGCCTTTGCAAGCTGTCTTTTAGCCTTCTTTAGCTCCTTCTTTACTGTGTTCCTCACTTTGATCTTCTTCTTTTCCAGAGTATTAGATACATTTATCTACCCCCCTCTTTGGAAACTAAGCCATGCGTTTAGCTTAGCCTTGTAATATTTAACCTGTGCCTTGCGAGTATTCTGGGTATCTAGCTCTTGTAAACTTCCAAGTATTAGGTGGTTCTTGGTAGTCTTGATCGTAATTATATACTCTTTGCGAGGGGAGGAGCTTAAAGTATCCAGAATCTTGTTATCGAGATTATCGAGCCGTAGAACGCATTCGTTATATGAAGAAGGAGGTTTTGGAAGGGTAGGTAATTGGTATTCGTAAACAGGAGCAGGAGTAGGCGTGGTAAATTGTATATTTTCTGTGTCTGATTCGGTTTCCGATTCAGATCCAAACTTCAGGAATTAAAGGCCAGTATCTTTCCTTCTCTTTTTGCCATATTCCTTGAGCTTTCTTTATACTGCTTTAAAACTAATAGGCCAAATTCCAGTATTCTAAAAGGCGTATTTAATTATACGAACCATAAATATCTTCTCCCGTATTTCAGGAAGATTACGAAAGAAGTACTAAACGTTATATTCCGGCTTATATAAGCGAATCATATTCATAATATTGACCTGTTAGTAGTGTTTCCATTCCCTAAAAATACTAATATCGTATGGTTAAAGCAGGTAGGTTTGGTAAGAGGGGAATTAAATAATTCATATCTTATTATATATAGCTTTTAAGATAAAATCGTCCGCTTAGTAGCAGGTTACTCCGTTAATCAAGAGAATATGCCATTCCTTATTAGGACCGTAATTATTATACTTAATAAAATGGTCTAGCCAAACTATATAAATACCCTCGTTCGTATATCCTGTAGGAGAGACTATAATAACCTTATAGCCGGTTATATTTTCGTAGAACCAAGAAACCATAATCATAACTCCAGGGACAATTACTACCAGAGGAATTACCTTGCTATCTATAGATATATATTCAATTATTATAAGAGATATGCGATTTTCTGGTATTCCTATATATATCTCCTTGATTCTAATTGGAATAACTACTTCCTCTCCTGCAGGTATATAAATTCGTACTCCTTTCTCGTCCATATTATATATCCGATCCCTATAGCATATTCCAGTTTCCTCTAATACCGGACGATATTCAGTCTCAAACCAGTCGCATAGGCTCTGTTCGGTATAGAGATCAATACGGTGGCTCGCAATAGGCTTTGTCTTAATTATATGGAGTTCTGGAGTATTCTTTAGCCATTAAGAGAACCACTTCCAAGATAGAGCCGTCTTATTATCCTCCGTTCGCATCCATATCGTACAGTTATATATTATTTGCTTCGTAGCTCCCTTCCCTCTATTAATCGCATATGATACTATATACTGAATCAATACCTCGTATTAATCAGAACATAGGATCTTATTATACTCTCCCCATTGTCCGTTTACTGCTCCCATTTTCTTCCTCTCTCTCTGCCATGCTTTCCTTACTATATCTTTATTTCGTATGCAATATACGCGTGCTGCAGTCGCAGGAGTCTCTTCTGGGTTGGCCTTGAGGAACTGAATAGCCTTACGAAGCTTATCCTTCTCTGGCATATTACGGAGGAGTGTATATTTGGGGAGGTTGCTTAGGCGAGCCATTACTATTGAATTTGACAGATTTTCAGGGAAATTTGGGCTGGTGGTAATCAAATTAATTGATTTTTACTATGGGTATTCCATACAAATTAGAAATTTTCGCGATCGGTGCGGGACATCTTGCTTTCCCCGACTAAAGGGAAGGGCCCCTTTAGCGCGACGTTAAGTCCGACTATTAGTAGCCTTTTAACTAATCTCAACACCTACGCCCAGTTGAACATCTCGCATCACAGCACCAAAAACTTCCCCAAGTTTGCTCAGCACAAAGACTCGCCATCTCGCTTCGAATATATTGATACTGTATCACTTGATATTTTGTGGATACTTGATTCGAGGTCGCATCGACCCATTGGAGTTGGAGCCTGTTGGGGTGACACCCGTGATTGTGCAGCCCAGGCAGTTTACGATACATTCACAAGACGACCTCCTTTGTCCCCAGACGCGGGCATCCATTTTTATTTGGGAGGCTGAGATATAGCCCAGGCATTAGACTCTGTAATATGCTTATTTGTCGAACAACATCTCGTCTCTTTTGACCTGAACCCCTTGAGTCTACCTAAAAGTCTTGGAGCCGGGATTAGAAGCAGCTTCCCTGTTGTCAGAACCAAGGGTGACAGGTTTGATGCAGCTGCTCACCGAACCAGTCTTGAAGCCGTCCAACACTCCAGCTTTATGGGCAGAAACAGACGCAGCAATAAGGGGTAGGACAAGTGCATCGTGGGCGAATGGCTTCACCAACCACTAAATTTAGGTTTCCGACGACGGAGAAAGCCTCCACTTCACCAATCATGTTTGAAGACGACCGAGAGCGGCTCGGGTGAGAAGCCGTCGACACACCCTTCTCTGCATGCCGCGGTCTACCGTATGCAGTCAGGTTTCAGACTGGGATATCTCTCCAACTGAATGCGGGGAGAACTGGGAACGAGGAGAACTTTGCCTGGTTTTCTTGAGGCACAGCCGGTCTAACGCCAGCTTATTAACACCAGCTCGGGTTGGTGGGCCTTTGATTTGGCGGGGCCGAGGAGCTGGGAATGTGAAGAGTTCGGGGCGACGGCCAAACTGGACTGCGTAACTGCGTTATCCCGAGCACGGCACGGTTGATCCCATGAATCAACCGCAGCTCGCCCTGAGGCCCGGCTGGAGACCCTGCTTTCTGAGTTGGGACCGACCCCACCGCATAATAAGGCTGAGATTGCCCTCCCCTCAACTCCTGAACCTCCAACTCCGTGCACTGAACTGAATTCGAAAGCAAAAGAAAGGTCTGGCGTGCCTTGCTCATTCTCTTCTTTTGACGGCCCGCAAGTCGAGGCCCCGCGGCGCAGCCCTACGTCCGAGGATCACAGTGTCACACATGCCTAAGTTCCAGATGCGGAGGATGACTGCTGCCCCCTGAAATCCATGAATTCAGCTCCAGCTCCAGCTTCACATCCATGGCCATAGCGACACAGCTTGGTAACGAGTACCGTGTTAGACCAATTAGGAAAAGAGGAACACCAGCAGCGTCGCATTGCCAGTGATCCAAGGCTGTATTGCGGTGTTGCTCTGCTTCCCCTCGCGTGGTTCAGCGGAAGCGCTTTCTCCAGGTTGAATCAGGCAAAACTCGCTACCGGATCACTCCTCGACCTCGACCTCGACCTCGACCCCTTGAAAATCGCCATAATGTCGGAGGCTGCATTCTTCTACAACCTCACAACCCAACGACCACCACGACCCAAGCCCCCCGCTGTGCAAACGAAATTATCTGCGCATCCGCAGACGCAGGGTTCGGGGACCGCCTTCAAGAAAACACACGCGACTCAAAAGCATTCGTTGAATTCGAAACAGAAGACGCGTCAACACTCCAGCTCAGTCTCGACCTCGACGGACAGCCGTTCGACAGCTTCAACATCCACAGAGACCGCGCCACAGGGACTCGAAGAATCAAGACACGGTCCTATGCCCTCAACACCATTACCTGACTACAAACACGCTGCAAACCAAACCGCTAAGGCAAGGGCCGCTGCTCAAGCTGCAAGCAGGAAGTCCTCCCCGAGCGCAGCGATCAGCGCCGCCGACCGCAAAAATGCTCTCCAGATTGCGGCAGAGCAGAGAGCGGCGGCGGCGAGTGCAGCCAGAGCGGATGCCCTTGGCCGGTCCGGCAGCATCTCGAGCAATACAGCATCAAGCGGTGTCACGGCTCTAACCTCGAGCGAACCTGCCTCCAACGACGAATTGGGCGCACGGCCCTTCACGCGACGCAACGGACGGCGATATCTACGAGACATGAGCCTCTCCTACCCATTACCATGCGATCTCGCCGAGATTCACAGACAAACCTTGCGCACCATGCTCCTATGTCAGGTCTTCAATGGCCCCGTCTGCTCGCCCTCCTTCGTCAAGAAACCTCCAAATCGTGTCCTCGAGGTGGGCTGTGGCACGGGGTTCTGGAGCGTGATGTGCCACCGGCATTTTGCGCAACGGGGCTTCCCCTCGATCCAGTTCACGGGAATGGACATTGCGCCGCTTGCGCCGCGGATGGACTCAGACGACGACATGAAGTGGACCTTTGTGCAACACGATCTACGGCGGGTACCGTTGCCATTCCGGGCAGACGAATTCAACTTGGTCATGATTAAGGATATGAGCATGGTTACACCGACGACGGGCTTGCAGCAACAATTAATGGACGAGTATATACGGATTTTGAAGCCGGGAGGGACACTGGAGATCTGGGATGGGGATCACTCCTTGCGGATGCTGTTACCGCATGCCCCGCCGACACCGAGGGGCGACGACGAGAGTGAGGGTGGGGAACAGGCGCTCACGAATGCGATGGGCACATATACTTTGACATCTTCAACGCCATTGGCAGCTCCACAGAATCAATATCTAAACGACTACAATGCCTGGGTATCAAAAGCGCTGGAGGCGAGGCAGTTGACACCTATGCCGTGCACAACCATCCGGCCCATGCTCCTCCAAGAAGCAGAGGTCCTAGTTGAAATCGACTGCAGACGCCTGGCAATTCCACTGGGCGAAGTACGCTGGGAGCGCGAAGGCGTAGGCGGAGCTGTAACCCAAGGGAGCAACGGTCATGTCATCTCCTCGAAAGGCAAAGCCAAGGAGCTCGATAGGAGGGCCTTGACCGCAGGCCAAGCCGCACTGAGGAGGACCGCCCTCATGACCGTCATTGGCATGATCGAGAGCCTGGAGCCGCTGCTCAGAGAAGCGAGCGGCAAGGGCCAGGACGAATGGGATCGCTGGCAGGGCAACATGATGACGGATCTGCTGAAGAGCGGAGGTACCTCCTGGGGAGAGTGTCTCGAGGTCGGAGCCTGGTGGGCGCGGAAGAAGAAACCGCCGCCTTGAAGCTACGACACTGCACTTTATTCTGCAGTATCCCGGGGAACTGGCCAGACCTCGGCCAAGACTAGGATAGGCATTCGCATTTACCCGGCATCACACACGGCGTGAACATCACACTATTGCGGCGCTCTGAATGCCGAACGGCTCATGTCCGTGATATATATTGAGGCGGGGCGATCTTTGTGGGGTGTACGCAGAGGGAAACTGCGGAGGAGAGGGGTATCCCTCAACCAAGGCCATGAGGCTAGAGCTTGTCATATCGTTGGCGCATCGAGCGGTACTTTTTCAAGTAGTACCTAGGTAGATAGATACCCATTAACATCAAAATTCCTTACGAAACTTGTCTTATAAACCTCTTCCCATGCAAGACGCGTTCATCCAGTCAAAATCACATGTGAAAAATCAGACACTGCTTACAGGGCTTCGATTTCTGTAAACGTGAGCAGGTGAATTAGGGAGTGGATGAGGGGAAAGTACCTTTCTTCACGAACTCAGCGCGCTCAACACCCTTTCGAATGTCTTTCTCCTCTGTGAGAGATGCGTTGCTGGCGAATGCTTTGTGGAGGCGAGGGCGGAAATAGTCGTAGCCAAGGGGATATGCTTTGCCCAGATTCAGAAGCTCTATCACAGTTCAGAGTCCGAGATCTTGATAAAAGAGTGATAGGAAAGAGTCATGAAAGACAACGGCAAGCGAAAGGTCTTACCTTTGTAAATGGCAATGACCTCCCTTCTCAGCGCTGGATTCGGGGTCGTCATCCTGGTGAAGCAAGTCTTGGATGCAGTTTCACTCGCCCTTGATTACCGAGTTAATCACGACGTCTAGAGGACAATGGTTCACTGAGTGGATAAGGAGAAAGATAATGACTGAAGGCAATTAGAAGTGGGAGGATTGTTGAAGCAAGAAGAAAGGTAGATGATGCAAGTTCATTTACGGCTAGACCAGATTTCCCCATCTCCGGAAGCGGCCGCCTCGGCCCGAGAAATGACGAGCTTCGAAATCAACATCCTCCCCACTCTTCACTTAAATTCCTTCCCATTTCCTCCTCAACCAGCAAAATGAAAGTCCGACTCCCTTCCTCCCTCTACTGGCCTACAGCTCCCGCCCGACCTCTGCTCCAATGCTTTAAAAATAACCGAGCACTCTCGACTTCCTCCCCGCACCTTTCGAACTCGAACCCCTCCTCACCCCCACAGAGCAACAGCGATTCAAGATGGCTTTCCTCAACCAAAGAACGAATAGGAAAATGCATCTCCTTCGGCCTCTCCGCCCCGCAATCCACGAAAGCGGCCTCCATCCTCAAAATCCTAGCCACAGAATGGCGCGACCTAGTCGCCGGCCGCGAAGGCTTCCTCGTCTCCCCAAACCGAGCAGGACTTCTGCGTCAAGGTGTAGTGTGGGGCGAAATGGACAGCATGGGGCACGTGAACAACGTCATGTATGTGCGGTATGCGGAGTCTGCGCGGGTCAATTGGGCGTGGAATTATGCGGTGCATATTGATCCTGGGAATAGGAGGGAGTGGATTGAGCTTTGTACGCCGAAGGGGGATGGGCTGATTTTGAAGAGTATTGGGGTTGAGTATAAATTCGTGCGTGCTTTTGTGTTTCCAATGGACGAGGTGTGTGGGATGAGTGTTGAGTGGGAGCTGACGGGGAATAGCCTATGACTTACCCAGATCACATCTCTGTCTTCCACAAACTGCGGTCCCTCCCTTCCCCCGACTCGTCCTCTTTTATTCTCGATGTCCTTATTTTATCAGAGTTACATCAACGGCCGGCAGCCAGGTGTGTAGAAGATATTGTTGTTTATGATTATAAAGCCGGGAAGAAAGTGAACATCAGGCCGTTTATGATGAGGGCTTTTGAACAAACCTGGAGGAAGCAGGAAGAGGAGAAAGCGAGAGTGGAGAAAAGGATACAAGAGGTAGAAAGTGCGGTTGGCGAATTGGAGAGGGAGACGTGGAATAGGGAGGGGGCGGTGGAGGATTTGGGGAGTGGGACCTGAAGTTAAAGATATTTAGCGGAATTAGACGGAAAAGGACGAGGAAATCTTCGGGATTGCAAAGAGGATACCGGCGGTCAAGAGGGTGATTGGAGAGATGGATTAGGAGGTGGGTGCTTTTGGGAAGGGGGGCTTGGGTGGCTACGTGCTTTGAGAGTGGCTCGCGAGGCTTAGAGGAGGCGTATATAGTGGAGTTCAGGAGGTACGTACATGGCAGAATATACTTCACGATTTTTGAACATAGAGAGCATGACCATATTGGAGAAAGACAGTTCAAGCGACTATTGGTGACTCGAACCCGTGTCAAAAGGCGGTGTAGTTCACCGCCTTCGCCATGCCGTGTACCCTCATTTCTCTTCCACGAGTACTCGATTCACTCCCAGCCTCAATGGTGAAGCATCTACAGTGTGTTGCTGCCTAAACCTTTCTTGGGGGCTTTCTTGTTGGCAGATCGATCTCCCCTCTGTACCGCTCAAATTGACTACCACATGATCTGCATGTTCCAAACTTCTCATCCTCCTCTCGTCTGTTTCTACAGTATTTCGAATTTTCCAGGGGACCCTCAAACCAAAATGGCTTCCCTTGAGTCTGCTCATCTCACTTCCCGTGCTTCGTCTCAAGCATATTCAACTCGATATGACAACACTCAGCATTTTCTCTCAGACTCGCATTCATCTGTTGGCATCAAGCCTTCGAGATCGAATCTTGCTGGTAGTGCTGATATGGCTGCACATCCTTTATCAAATGAAGGACCATATTTTACGCGGCCACCGACCGCTACTTGCTCCCCTCCCCAGTCTCTGCCGGATGTCTATGCTTCTACTCCAGAAGACGCCGAAGAAGGGCACTTAGGAAAGGATTCAGACACGGTACGGCGTGTGCTCCAACATCTATGTTCTCTTTGTAGAATGAAGAATGGCACGCACGCTGAGTCACCGAAGGGGTACAATCCATTCAAATACGCAACTCGTTCGTTCTCTTCGATATATCCTTCGAATTTTAAGGACATCGTGCTGACTTTTGCAGTCGAGGATGTCGAACGGTACCCAGAAGGATGGTCACAAATATCAGCATTTCAAAATATAGATGATCGCCTTCTTATTTTCAGAAGTTTCAACCAACTTCACTGCCGTATTCTTCAAAATCTGCAACACGAGATCAGCCATCTTGAGAGAAACCTTCATAACCAAGACATGCTCAACAACGCTGGCAACAACTTGCGGTATGGCTTAAGAACTGGGGAAGGGCCCGATGAGTTTTCAACGATAACTAATATATACCGGGAACTAGAGAGGAAGTTTCAGATATATGGTATGTTAAGATGCAATACCTGGCAGGGCGATCAAACTTAATGGCGGTGAATAGATGATCTTCTTTTGAAGACGAGGGAACTGACGAAACTGCGTAATATCCCAATGAAGAGTTTTCGAGAATTCTTCACTTTCATGTGGACCTACAAACCTGTAGACAAGGAAGTTTTGGAATCGTGCTTCCATGTGGACGATCTGGTTCATCTCTCTGAGTTCGACGACGTCACATCAGCAGTAGCAGGGACTTGCAGTCTCATTGCGGCGAGTTTACCCCCTCCCATTCCTACTTTTCATTGGGCTTCGTTCCGCCAAAGCTAACTCTAGCCAGATTTTCTTCTCGCACTGCTATACCAAGCTCAGACATTCCACTGGCAACGATCGTTCAAATATCACCTTACCCACCACCAAATATCAACCACAAGGGAGGATATTCACTGTAACAACGCATGCGGTTAGCGCAACATTAGTTCTTGGAACGTTGCTGATTCCAGTATTTCTGCTCCTCTGGATACCGATGAGTCGATTCTTGACCTCTGTTACGGTCTCCGTATCGATGTTGATCTTTGCGTTCGTGATGGGGAGTTTCCCTAAGGTCAAGACTCAAGATGTTCTCATTGGCACGGGTAAGTCATTCGCATAAGGAGGAGATGAAGATGGCTGACGCTCTCAGTAGATACTGTGCAGTGCTCGCTACTTGTGTGGCTAATTCTGGGGTGGCTTAGTGGATTCTTATGAAGTGTCAAGAGCTGAAAAATCTCGCTGCGGTCGTCAGTTGGCTTGCATCGAGCAACCAGACGATGGCCATTCTCTCAAGCATCGCTTTTGAAGCTGTGTAGTTCGCAAGCTCATGTAACAAGCAAGTAGACCAATCAGTTCAGCCTCTTTCGCTTTCTAGTTCACAGTATTTTGAGAATCTTTGTCCAAAATCTCATGGTTCGTTGCCCGATTCCTGCAAAGGATATCGAGTGAGTGCGAATGTTGGATAGTATAAATGACGAAATCTCGGTATATGTCTGATATATGTGTGTCATTGTTAATTTGAAGAGTCGACTTGTATCGTGTCTTGTTGTATTCTGGAATCAGTATCCTTTTATTCCGTTTTGGGCCGTCCTTTGCCATTACTATTGTAGAGTATATTCTATCTGTAACGGCTGGCATAACGGCACGATCTGCCGGGAATAGGAATTCGGAAACAGGTCTAAAACGGAACTAAGCCAGAAGGCATAGGCAAAATGATACTAAAGGTCGAGGCATTTCTCTCTTCTTTATTCCCTAGCTTAATATTTTTAATATATAAGATTTATTAAACTTTAAGCCTTTAATAATTATATTAATTTCGCTATTATATAATATTAAGCTTAATTAATTTGGCTTATAAAAGTAATATAATACTATAAATAAAAAACTTATATTTATTTTTAGAAAATAAAAATAAAATATTACTTTTAATATTTAATAATTTTCTTAAATTAAAAAGAACTAGAAAACTTATTTAGAAATATAGTACTTTTTATAATTTAGTTAATCTCGAAGTTTGGCTTTTAATTAAAATAAATAAATTTTTTTAATAATTAGTTCTTTATTAATTTAAAAAAAGAAAGATTTTATTTTTTATAAATTTATTAATTTCGAAATTTAGCCTTTAATTAAAATAAATAATATTATTTTAATATTAATAAAAGCAAAAGAATTAATTATAATTTATTAATTTAAAATAAAAAAGAATAATATTAATATAATTTTTTATAAAAAATTATATATATAATTATAAAATTTAAAAAATGAAATATAAATAATAAAATATAAGTAATAAAATATAAGTAATGAAATATAAGTAATAAAATATAAGTAATAAAATATAAGTAATGAAATATAAGTAATAAAATATAAGTAATAAAATATAAGTAATAAAATATAAGTAATAAAATATAAGTAAAATATAAGTAATAAAATATAAGTAATAAAATATAAGTAATAAAATATAAGTAATAAAATATAAAATACAAAATATAAAATACGAAATATAGTTATATAATCTTATATTTTATAAATAATTCAACTAATAAACTAGATTTTATTAGATTTAATAGTTTTAAAAATTATATATTAAAATTATAAAATTATAATTTTTATTTCTAAATATTAATTATTTTATTAATTTTATATATATTATATAATAATATTATATATTACTAATAAAATAATATAAATTAGTTAATATTTATAAATTAAAGAAAATTTTAAATTAGTTTTAAAAGTATTTAATAATCTAAAATAAATCTAGTTTATTTTATATTAAAAAAAAACTATTTATTAATTTTATAAAAGTATTTAATAATTTTATAAAGAAAGTATCTAGCTTTTATTAATTAATAAATTAATAAATATTTATTTAATTATTTATTTAACTTTTATTATTTTTTAAAATTAATTTCTTTTAATCTTAAAATTACTTTCTTGAATTTTTGTTTATTTATATAATATTTAAATTTATAGAATTTTCTTTTTCTAGAATATATATTCTATATATATATTTAAAGCTCTTTAATTATACTTCGATTTTATTATTAAATCGAGTCTTTTAAGCTTTAGATTCTTTTAGAATTATAATATTTTATTTCCTAAATTTCTTATTATAAATTATATATATATATTTATATTAAAAAGAAACTAAACTCGATTTAGAATAAATATTAATAAGAAAAAAAAAGCTAATTAAAAAATATTAATATAATAAATTAAAACCCGATTTATATATTTAATTAAAAGCTTTTATTAAATTATATAATATATTTTTTTAAATTAATAAAATAATTATATATTATTTAGAAAATTAAATATTTTAAAAAATATAATTCTACTTTTTTTTATTTTTCTCTTTTTTTTTTTATAGAAATTCTATTTAATTAATATTAATATAGCTATTTCTTTAGAAGTTATATATATAGTTACGAAATATAAAATATAAAATATAAGTAATAAAATATAGAATATAAGATATAGTTATATAACCTCGCGTCCTATAAATAATTTAATTAGTAAACTAGACTTTATTAGGCTTAATAGATTTAGGAATTATATATTAATATTATAATTTATAATTCCTATTTCTAAATAATAATAATTTTACTAATTTTAATATACTAGTATTTTATATTTATATAATAATATTATATATTACTAGTAAACTAATATTAATTAGTATATATTTAGATTAGAATAAAACCTGTTTTATATATATAGATTAGAAAAGATTTTAGATTAGTTTTAAAAGTATTTAATAGCCTAAGATAAATCTAGTCTATTCTATATTAAAGAAGAAAACTAATTTCTTTTAATTCTGAAATTACTTTTTTAAAAACTATCTTTTTTATTTATATAATACTTATATTTATAAAATCTTTTTTCCGGAATATATATTTTATATATATTCTTAAAGCTCTTTAATTATAACCTTTAATTTTTCTATTAAATTAAATTCTTTAAATTCTAAATTCTCTCGAAATTATAATATTTTATTTTCTAAATTTCTTATTATAGATGAAATATTTATTTTAATACTTTTAATATATCTAGTATTAAAATCTAAAATCTAATATCTTTATTAAATATCTAGATATCTAAATATTTAGATATCTTTATTACTAATACTATTAAATTCTTTTTATAAACCTATTATAAACCATTTTATTTTTAAACTTCTTTTATTATAAATTATATATTAGAAAGAACCTGAACTCGATTTAATATAAATACTAATAAGAAAAAAGAACTAATTAAAAACTAGAAAAACGGTATTAATTTAGTAATTATAATAAAGAATAATTTTTAGAAATATTTAATTACTAAAATATATTAATATATCTTATATAAAAAGAATAATAATAATTTATAGAATCTTTTTTAGAATAATTTTAAAAGCTTTAATACTATAGTATTTAGTTAAATTAATTATATATTATTATAAAATCTTTAAGCTTAATTTTAGTATAATAGTATTTATATTAAATAGAATTATAAGAGCCTTATTATTATATAATTCCTTATTAATTTTATTTAAGAAAAAATAAAGAGTATATAAAACGAAGCTAATATTATTAATAATAGTCTAATTAGATTAGATCTTTTTTAGAGATCTCTTATATTAGTTTATTTTATTTTAGATAAAACTAAATATAAAAGAATTAAATATTCTTAATTAAGAAATTAAATTATTTATTTACTTTTTCTAAATTAAGGCTATTTATTATTTCTATTTCTATTACTATTATTATTATTACTAAATCCGAACTTCTATTAGTTAGTATTTATTATTATAGCTAAAAAGCTTATTAGAAAAATAATAAAAATATATTCTAAAATATAGAAATATAATAAAACTAATAATAGTTTTAATTATAAATTTATTATTTTTCTTAATATTTACTAATATATAAAGCTTTTAGAAAAGATACTAATAAGAGCTTTTTTTATTATATTAAAGAAACTAGTATAAGACTATTTCTATAATAACTAGCTCTCGAATTATATATATAAAAAGACTTATATAAATATTTATAGTTTTTTTAAAGGCTCTAGTTTCTATTATTAAACTTTAGATAAATAAAATATTATTATTTTAGTAATTATAATAATAAAAAACCCTAAAAAAACAATATTCGAGCTTATTTAAATACTAATTAATAACTTATATAAATTACAATATAGCCTTATTTCTATTTTATAAAATACTAAATTCTTATATAATAAGATTATTATTTCTTATTAAGGCTTATTAGTATACTAGTATATAGTTTCGGATTTTTCTAATAAACTTAATTAGTTTATTACTATTTATAAAAAAAAGTAATAAATTAATATTAAAACCTATTTTACTAATTAATAATATTATTCTTAAAATTCTATAAACTATTATTTACTCAGAAATTATTAATATAAATCTAGCTATTGGTTTACTAGTAATATATAGTACCGTTATATAGGTATAGAAGTACTATTTGCATATAGTTAGTAAAGTTATTATTCAGAAATAAGAATTATAGTATTATAATATTAATATGCGATTCCTAAATCTGCTAAGCCTAAAGGGGTCTAGTTTACTAGTCGAGTTACTAATAGGACGCGAGGTTATATAATTATATCCCGTATCCCATATCCCGTATCCTATATCCCGTTACCTATATCTTATTATTTATGTTCCGTATCCCGTATCCCGTAACTATATATGTGAACTCCCAAAAGAATAGCTATACTAATACTAGAAACTCTCTAAAAAACGCGAAAAATAGTATCTCTCTCTAATTACATACAAATTCCCTAATCCGGCCTAGTACCAAATTCCCAAACGCTCTATATATTCATATTACTTCTAAGGGTTTTAGTTATATACTAAAGGCTATGGCCTTTTATATATGACTTCTACTCCTATAATATTCTTTTATTCCATATATTTATTTTCTGTCCTATT